TATGTTTTCTTACGTTATATCCTTCGCAAAACTTTGTTTAGTGATCTCGTGAATACGACCAAAAGGAGAAAACTGCAATACAATAGAAACAAATTCGCTAGGTGTTATAACCAAGGGTTAATTTATCTTTTGCTTAAATAATAAATATTTTATTCCTCCGTTACTTGATATACCTGTTTTTGTTTATAAGAAGAAAAAAAAATCGAGGTTTACAACTTGATACGTGTTAAGAAACTAAACTGTACCACTATATATTATGTATAGTGGATTGATTAATAAAGAACAAGAAGATGTGAGAGAAGGAGAGAGAGAGATTTACTATGTAGAAAGATGGTGGTTGGTTTCGTAGAGAGAGTTATTGTACGTGAGAGAATGAAGAGAGAAGTATAGAGTTTCTTTTGTATTGAACTTATGTTTCAATTAGTAACTGAGTACACATATTTATACTAGAAGAGAATTAATAGAATAATGACTATAGCGGTGGATATAAGACGGTGAAAGAACTTACCTATAAGTAAATAATAAAATATTCATTAGAGGATAATTATCCTTTCTAACACTCCCCTTAATTATCCGTCTTTGTATTATGTACGGTCTCGTTAAAAAACCTATGTCATAGAAAAACCCAATGGGATAAAAACTATGACTTAGGAAAAAGAGTACCGAGCATAATCTCCCCTGGAAAAGATAGAATCTTTTCTTTTCACAAGTTTTGTAGACGACGCATTCCGATACTGTGAACATGCTTCTTGAACACTGTAGTAGGAAGCGCCTTTTGTAAAAAGATCGGCTGCATTGTCACTTGAACGAATATACTCGATGTCCACTTCTTGATTTTTCTGGAGTTCTTGAGTATGAGAAAAATCTTGGAGGAATATGCTTCGTTCTGTCACTCTTGATATAACCTTCTTTGAGTTGTGTGACACATGCAGAATTGTCTTCAAATATTTTTGTTGGCTCTTTCTCTATGATCATTCCACTTGATTCTTGTATGTGATGAGTCATAGACCGGAGCCACACACTCTCTACATGCTTCATGGAGAGCAATAGTTTCTGCATAATTTGAAGACGTTGCAACCAAAGTTTGCTTTTGCGAACGCCAGGAGACCGCAGTTCCACCAATTGTGAAAACATAACCTGTTTGCGATCTAGCTTTGTGTGGATCTGATAGATATCCTGCATCAGCAAAACCAACTAAAACACATTTTGAGTTCTTAGGATAAAATAATCCTAAATCAATTGATCCTTGAAGATAACGAAAAATATGTTTTATTCCATTCCAATGTCTGCGCGTAGGGGACGAACTATATCTTGCAAGCAGATTAGTAGCAAAAGCTATATCTGGTCTAGTGCAATTTGCAAGATACATTAGTCCACCAATAGCGCTCATGTAAGGTACTTCAGGACCTAACACTTCCTCGTTATCCTCACAAGGACGGAATGGATCCTTTTCAACATCAAGAGATCTATTAACCATTGGAGTACTCAAAGGAGTTGCTTTGTCCATATAAAAGCGTTTTAACACTCTTTTAGTGTAATTTGACTGATGCACAAATATACCATCTTGGAAATGCTCTATCTGGAGCCCAAGACAAAACTTTGTCTTTCCAAGATCTTTCATTTCAAACTCTTCTTTCATATGAGTTCTTGCATCATCAATTTCCTTTTGAGTTCCAATCATGTTCAGGTCATCTACATATACAGCAATAATCACAAATCCTGACGAGGATTTCTTAATGAATACGCAAGGGCATATCGCATTGTTGACGTAATCTTTACTCAACAAATATTCACTTAAGCGATTATACCACATGCGTCCGGACTGTTTTAGTCCATAAAGTGATCGCTGTAATCTGACCGAACAGATCTCCTTAGCCTTTGATTTCAAATCCTCAGGCATTTTTAATCCTTCTGGGATTTTCATATATATCTCATTTTCAAGAGATCCATATAGATATGCTGTCACAACATCCATGAGATACATTTCAAGATTTTGAGACGCTGCTAAGCTCATCAAAAATCTGAATGTTATGGCATCCATTACCGGGGAATATGTTTCTTCATAATCAATTCCCGGTCTTTGAGAAAAACCTTGAGCCACAAGTCGGGCTTTATATCTTGTGACCTCATTTTTCTCATTTCTTTTTCTTACAAAAACCCATTTGTGCCCGACGGGTTTTGTATTCTCAGGAGTTGTGACAATAGGTCCAAAAACACTTCTTTTATTGAGGGAGAGTAATTCAGCTTGGATGGCCATTTTCCATTTCTCCCAATCAGGTCTTTTCAGACACTCTGATATTGTTTCTGGATCTGGATCATCACTTTCATGATCAATTTCTTTGTATACAGAAAAAGAGAATATTCCATCATCATCTTCTATTTCATTTCTTGTCCATACTTTTCCATTTTGGGCGAAGTTGATGGAAATCTCAAATTTTTCTGTATCATGTTCGTCTTCTGGACGAATCTCTTTCTCTGGTTCTTCAAAAACCAGTTTGTTTATGTCTTCAGGACATATTTCTTTACTAGGTTCTTCTTGAACCTTTCTCCCAAATTCTTTTTCTTTCGGGGATTTTTATCTTTAGAGCCCATCGGCCTCCCCCTCTTTAATTGGACTTTGGGTGCATTTGCTATGCTTCCATCATTTTGTTCCTTAGAACATCTATCTTTGATGGAACGTTTGCAGCGGGTATATATGATTTCGTCACTCTTTTTGTATCTGTGAACGCGTCTGGTAATTGATTTGCCATATTTTGTAAATGTATAATTTTCTGAACTTCCAATTCGCGTTGTTTTGTCGGGGGATCAAAGTGTAACAAATTCGGTGTACACCATGTGAGGTCTTTTGGAACCTCTTTAATTCCTCCCCCTAACGCTGGAAATTCATCTTCATTAAAATGGCAATCGGCAAAACGTGCCGTAAACATATCACCAGTTTGAGGTTCAAGATACCGAATAATACTCGGTGACGTATACCCAACGTATATTCCCAATCTCCTTTGTGGCCCCATTTTTGTTCTTTGTGGCGGTGCTATCGGAACATAAACCGCACAACCAAAAACACGGAGATGGGATACGTTTGGCTCCTGACCAGATGCCAATTGCAATGGGGAATATATATTATAAGCACTTGGTCGTATTTGGAGCAACGCTGCAGCATGCAAAATAGCATGACCCCATATAGAAATTGGGAGTTTTGTTCTCATTATTAACGGTCTTGCAATCAGTTGCAACCGTTTAATCAAAGACTCAGCCATGCCATTTTGTGTATGGACATGTGGAACCGGATGCTCAACATCGATTCCCAATGACATGCAATAGTCATTAAAGGCCTGTGAAGTGAATTCACCAGCGTTATCTAATCTCACTTTCTTAATAGTATAATCAGGGAACTGTGCTCTCAACCTGATTATTTGGGCAATGAATCTTGCGAAAGCCGTATTTCGTGTTGTCAAAAGACACACATGTGACCATCTACTTGATGCGTCAATTAATACCATAAAGTATTGAAACGGTCCGCATGGTGGGTGAATAGGCCCACATATATCACCGTGTATTCTCTCTAAGAACACAGGGGATTCATTTCCAACTTTCGCTGGTGAAGGCCGAGTTATGAGTTTTCCTTGAGAACATGCATTACATATGAACTCGCCCGTTTCTAAAATTTTCCCGTATTTCAACGGATGGCCATTTGAGTTTTGCACAATTTTTCTCATCATGACTGAACCTGGATGCCCTAGCCTTTCATGCCAGATTTTGAATGTACTAGTAAACTTCGGGTTTACTGTAACATATGATTCAGTCAGAGTAATATTTGTGCAATATAATCCGGAGGACATCATTTTCAACTCTTCCAATATTTGTCCCTCCGATTTGATGCAAAGGATTTCAATGCCATTCTTATTTATAGTCTCTATGTGATATCCATTTTTACGGATATCTTTGAAACTCAATAAGTTTCTATAAGACTTCGGGGAATATAATGCATCATTTATTTCAAACTTTGTTCCCCTTGGCATTGAAAAATTGGCTCTTCCAGAGCCCAATATTATTTTTGCACCACCAGAAATGGTATTCACGCTTTCAACGGAATCTTTAATTTTGAGACCGGAGAAATATCTTTTATCTTTGAGTATTGTGTGCGTTGTAGCACTGTCTGCAAGACACATATCTCCATCACGAGTCTCAAATTTCGTCATTTCTGGATTTAACAAAGATGCATTAATAAGTATTAAACAATACAAAGCTTATATCACAAGATACAAAATACCACATTAAAAACTATTTTACAACAAAAAGATCAAACTTTTAGGTTATCTTATTCAGGAAGATAACTATGTATATCATGTCCTTTTAGTCGTCTGTTTTTCCGTTGATCTCTTCGGAGTCAACCAGAAAATCTGAAACATCAAGATGAGTATCATCGTTTAGGCCGTGAAAGGAAGGACCGGGTTCATTGGAGATGAAGTTAGTCTCACTTTCTTTCTCCTTTGCTTTTTGTGATTCCCGGTACAGATCGGCTAAGTGTCTGGGTGTACGACAAGTACGCTCCCAGTGATTTTTCATGCCGCATCTGTAGCAAACACTTTCTTTTTGCTTTTTAGAATCTCGGCCGTAATCATTTGCTCGAGATCTTTTATATTCCTTTCATTGTTGGACTCGTCGGGACGGTACTCTTTTCCTTGTCCCCGACCACGTCCACGGCCACGGCCACGACCTCGGTTTCGACCATATCCACGTCCACGTCCTCGTCCATTATTTTGGCTGGACGATGCTACATTCGCTTCTGGGAATGGAGCAGCTCCAGTGGGACGAGTCTGATGGTTCATCATCACAAGCTCGTTATTCTGTTCTGCAACAAGGAGAACATTCCATCAATTTTGAATAACGAGTATAGCCATTTGCCCGATATTGTTGTTGCAGGACTATATTTCCAGGGTGAAATGTGGAGAGCGTTTTTTCAATCATATCATAATCGCTCACATTTTCTCCACATAGCACCATTTTGGAAATTATTCTGAACATAGCAGAATTATATTCAACAACACTTTTATAGTCCTGAAATCGGAGGTGTAGCCACTGGTATTTGGCTTTGGGCAAATCTATATATTTTTGATGGTCAAATCTTTCTTTCAAAGATTGCCAAAGATCCGCAGGATCTTCTTTAGTGATGTATTCATCTTTTAAACCATCGTGGATGTGATGAAGTAAAAGATCATGGCTTTCGCCTTTTTCTCATCGGATGTCTTTTTCGACTTGTCAATGGCATCAAGAAGCCCATTTCCTTTTAGATGCATTTTTGCACCTATTGCCCATGTCATATAATTGTTTCCAGAAATATCAAGGGCGGAAATTTCGAGCTTAGCCAAATTTGACATGATATCTGCATAGATCATATACAGTTCATTAATTAAATTCAATTAAATTCAAATTTGCGTAATAAAAATTTGAGCATTATAACAGCATGAATTTAGTAAAAATTAAGGTGCTGAATTTAAATTGCAAAAAGTAAATAGCAGGAATTTAAATGGCAAAAAGTAAATAGCGAAAAAGTAAATTACAGAAAAGTAAATATTCAGGAGGAGGTAAAGTCTCAACTCCAAGAGGAGGTTTTTACATCAACTCTTATATGATCTAAGGTGACATAGTCTACCATATGATCATTTGCTCGGAGTAGGTACAACCTAGCATCCCGGCATATCAATAAAATTGAATAGACAGAATATAAGAGCAGTTCGTGCTGATAACGTATTAAGAAACTAAACTGTACCACTATATATTATGTATAGTGGATTGATTAATAAAGAACAAGAAGATGTGAGAGAGAGGGAGAGAGAGAGAGAGTTTACTATGTGAGAAAGATGGTGGTTGGTTTCGTATGTGGGAGAGGAGAGTTATTGTACGTGAGAGAATGAAAGAGAAGTATAGAGTTTTTTTGTATTGAACTTATGTTTCAATTAGTAACTGAGTACACATATTTATATTAGAGGAGAATTAATAGAATAATGACTATAGCGGTGGATATAAGACGGTGAAAAAACTTACCCTATAAATAAGTAATAAAATATTCATTAGAGAATAATTATCCTTTCTAACAATACGTACTTGATTGAAATTTTGGTAGAATTTATGTTTTGTATTCTTCTACATGACTGATAAAATCTGGACTAAAAAAATGAAATTGTATTCTTCCTTTCATTGCCTAAATCTCGTGCACAAAAACCATAAACATCTTTGTTTATAAATGTTTCCCCAATATAACAAAAGTAAGAACATCTTTGTTTATAAATGTTTATAAATTTTCTTTAGAGGGTTTGTTAACTAAAAAATAATTAAAAGAAATGATATAATTGAAAAAATCAGTTCCAGTGCAATCCCTCTTCTGCTTCAGCTTTGCTGAGGTGGTATACTGTGGACATAATGCATTTGGTATCAGACTCGTCATGCATTGCAGTGAAAGCAGAAATAAATCAAACAACTAAACATATCGTAAACATCACTTGACAATATAGATCATAGGCGCTTATAACAGAACAATGAAATGATTTTTCACTTTTTCAGGCATATAAAACCAGATAATAAAAGTTGCAGTATGTATAGTTTCAGAGAGGGGTCGTAGAAGCTTACTAGTTCTGAAGAATATATAGGCCTATTATTCCTGCTTCATCTTTTCAGTATCACTGATCAAGCCATCGTACTGAAGCACTTCTGTCGTAAACACAGATGAGAAGAAATTTTGATGACACTAAGGCATAGCTTTTCATATAAGGAAGTTGCATGCATTACTTAGTTAATTTCATATAAGGCAGAACTAAACCTAGTGGTTGGCTAAAGGTTCATTAATGGCTTCTACACCAAGAGGTATGAGTTCTATTATGAGTTCATTAATGTGATTTCTGTAGATTATTAGAGGAAAGTTTGCATAAGGAAGGCAAGAGCATATAAGGAAAATTTTCAGAACATGTGCAAGATATTCATGATAGGTTCACATACAAATGGACATTGATTGAATAGTTGAATTATCCGTTAATAATTTGTCCTTGTAAGTGTCTTGATATTTAAAAAAACTAAGACTTACCGTTTTGAAATAAATCTAGGATATGACGCTCTAAGTGCATAAGATAGATGTCATGAAGCTGATCCTCTTCTGTTGCTGCTTCACGGGCATCCTGTGTGACATGTACGGTAAAATACAACAAAAAAGAAATTGATCAAATGAAAAGAATAGGCTTGCGTTCAAATATTTACCATGGACATTGTGCATTTCTGGTTAAAGAAGACGAAGCAGTATGTGCAGAAGTACATCCAATGGTAGCAATATGATCCACAGACAGAACAAGTCGTCCCCTAATAAGCATAGATTAGTCTAACAGTATGCTGATGGCGTTGATTCTTCACATAGGATGGAAATCCAACACACTCTGCATGGGCGGTGAAATCACAATGATCACAGCCCTAAAACGATGAACCACATGGTCTACTGCAAACAGTGCAGGGCTGAGCCAAGGACTCGCTCCAATAATTATAGAGATAATGCTTGTGATTCTCGATCTTCCTTGATATACCCATGGCGTGGAGGCATCTAAGATGGAAACATGTATAGCAAATACCACAAATGTAACCATACTCTATAATACTCATTTTGCAGGCGACGCATGTGGCTCTGCTAGTTAACAGTTTCATCGTCAATATGTGATCATAATGAAGTGGATGACTCGTTACTTGTAGCATGGCAAGCTCAATACACCGAGAATGATAAATCTGCTCACAATCCATGCATGAGACTATGTTTCCATAAAGCCTGTCGTCACAAAGAGTGCAAGCCACCGGATAAGACCTTGAGACCAGAACTTGAACCAAGGTATGCTTTCCATCAAAGCATTTTCCTTGGTCATATCTGATGAACTTTTGTCCCCTTTGTAATTCTCCAAGAGACTTTTTAGCTCTTACCACGCATTTCGTACATATGATGAAATTGCATACCCGACAGAAGAGTTTGAAAGAAGATATATATAGTCTCTTTGCACGTGTCGCAACTCATAACAAATTCTCCAGGGTGACTTGGCAGAAGTGTCAAAGGATGATTCAAATGGAATCTGTACATTGATGGTTTCCTCATCTTTACACAAGAACCATGTGCCCAGAAATCACAAGTCCGGCATGACAATATATTCATACATGAATGCTCCCCGAATGTGACCTCCTATAATCCATCACGTGATTATGCACCATATCATTAACCTACAACAAATATAATAACAAGATTAAGGCCTACAAAAAAAAAAAATGTAGGGATCAGATTATAGTAATGTCATACCACGAATATGTCATCATATGTTCCTTCGGTTTCACATTCTTCTTGATGAGCTGTCCTTGCGACGTTTCCACCACAAGAATAGAGATCTTTCAAGTATAATGGGGAAGGCGTTTCCTGTTAATGTTTATGAGTAAGAGCAGCTCGTCATCGTCTGTCAATCAAGAAAGAAAGAAAAGGAAAAAAAGAAAAAACCAGAAATGCAGTTACATATTATTAGTTACCTCTGTAATGCACTCAAAGTGACCCACAAAATCACATATATTGCAGGAATAAACATGATGTCCCACATGTACCAATGTCTCACAAACACCACAATACTCGATAGAATTTTCTTGGTTTAGGAATATCTTACAGAAGAGAGGATGAACGTGACAAGATTTCTTAACAATGGACTCGTGTACATCAACACACTCGAAATGACACTCTGCATGACATGCCACACAGCGATAGATGGAATCAAGAGAGATGACAGCATCTCCTTTGCATATGAAACAACCATCTTTACTAGCACCACTAGCTCTATAAAACAGTATGTGTTGTGTTCAGGAGAGTAGTGGGTCACACTTCGCAACAAGGAATCTGCACACCTCATGTGTAGATCAAAATCACATTCCGGGCAGCCTAACGGGACACCTTCGATAGCTAGTCCGCATGCATCACATTCTCTTGGAGGACCACAAGTATTTGTGAAATCAAGGCGTATGAGAGGGTGAGCCGGATGCGCTGGATGCTGAATCTCTCTCGGAAGATCAAGGCAACTCTCGTGAACGAGCGACTTACATAGAACGCAACCGTAGCCTATAGCAGATGGAGAAAGAGGAAGCTCACAGAGAAGGCAAGAGCGGTCTCTAGAATTTTTTCCGGGTCTACACCTTTTAAGCAAGTGGGCATGGCTATAATGTAGCTTCTCTTCGGCATCCCAACCCGTTTCGATGCTCATCAAGACCGCACAACTCAAATCAAGATAGATCTCAAAATCCTTACATTTATAGTAAAATGCCTCAGAAAACAAATTCCCACAACCAGAGCAGAGCATGTGTCTAGTTTCCCCATCTTTCTTTCCTAAGCAAAGCTCTAGAGAACTTTGGTAACGAAGATTTACTGTCTTTTGTGAAAAATATGCCATTTAAATTGTATGAAAAGTCATATTTGGACGCATAACATTTTCTTAATCTTAACGGAGACACAAATGTCAGCATAATTTACCTCCAAGATAACATGTTTTGGTCGTACTTAGTATTGATTTTTTTGTTTTCGCTAAATAAAAGAAGAAAGGATTCTCGTTTGGTTTGTTTTTAAACAATAAGTCTAATAACTAATGATTTCTCTCTTTCCAATATGTCTGATTGTTCTTTGAATATAATCTCCGACTTGGATGAAATTAAGCATCTATTAGAGATACAAAATAATGTAGATTGTACTCTTCTTTTCCTATCGGAGTGAATTTCTAATGTAAATTTAGTTGCATTTTCACAGAAATAGGATATACGTTACATTTTGGGGCAGAGAAATATAATCTGTCTCTCATCTTAGCTTACTACAGCTGGAGGATAATGTATGTACAGAGAAATATAATCGTAACCTCTTTCCATGCTTATAATGTCATTCATATTAAGAGACCGCAAACAAATCCATTTGCAACAAAAACACAAAGTAAGGTCCAAGCGCGAGCTACAAGAAAGTGACGGGCATGCTGGAAAATTAAGAAACAGTCGAAAAATGCTAAATTTTAGTTTCACTGCTTTCTTATGTTTAAAATATATTTATCTGTTGAATATAATATTTAAAATATAACTGTAGCTTTTGTTTATTTTTTTGTTAACCAGAAATTGTTTTATAAACATAATGAAGCAGTGACGCCAAAATTACAAAGAAAATCAATACTATGAAACAAGGGCGCCCATGAAACAACCACTGTTGACGGTGATGAGGGCAACCTCCTTGCTTCCATTCGTCTCCACATATGTAGCAAAACGAATACCCACACCTATATATCCATCAACAAGAAAATACACTAAAATGTTAGTATACAAGGGAATACTTGATATCATTAGATGAGAGATTACAATATATATACAGGATTATTGAGGAGTGTTTAGGGTTTATACAAAGTCTAATACACCCTTTCCATATCTACACTCTATACGCCCCCTCAAGATGGAGGGAGTTCAAACACTCCAATCTTGCTAGACAAACCGTGGACGTGGAAGCGCTTTGGTGAGGGCATCAGCCAATTGGTCATCAGTGGAAACATGAACAACGCGGAGGACACCCGACTGAACAAGCTCGCGAATGAAATGATAATCCAAGGCCAAGTGCTTCATTCGAGAGTGGAAAACCGGATTCGCGCATAAGTAGGTGGCTCCAACATTGTCACAATAGATGACAGGAGTGTGAGTGAGAGTAACACCAAGTTCAGTGAGCAGATAACAAACTCAACGAATCTCCGATGCCGTGTTTGCAACGGCTCTGTATTCGGCCTCCGTAGACGACCGAGAGACGCCTTTCTGTTTCCGTGAAGCCCATGCGATGGGGGTCTTGCCGAGATAGAGAATATGAGCATTAGTGGAGACATAATCGTCTCTATCTCCGGCCCAATCTGCGTCTGAGTACGCATGAAGATTGAGAGGAGTGTCGGCTCGGAGATAAATACCGTGAGAGGAGGTGCCTGCCAAGTAACGCAACACCCTCTTTGCAGCTTGCCAATGTGTCTCAGACGGTGAATGCATGAATTGCGAGAGCCGATTCACTGCATAAGCAATGTCCGGCCGAGAGAAAGCCAGATATTGCAAACTTCCAACTACCATTCTATACTCACTCGGTTTCTCAAGTTTTGGAGATCCATCATGTAGGATGAGGCGTGGATGAGGAGCGAGAGGAGTGAGAACAGGTTTTGCATCCACCATATTGGTTTTGACCAGTAAATCGAGGATGTACTTGCGCTGCATCAGGTGGAGTCCCTTAGGAGTGCGAATAGCCTCAATTCCCAGAAAATAATGTAGATCCGCGGGATCTTTTAACGAGAACCGATTCGCCAATGCATTGATGAAGTGAGCGACGAGAGTGGTGTTACTGCCGGTAATTACTATGTCGTCAACGTAGACGAGAGTGTAGGCAAGGTCAGTACCTTTGATGTACACAAAAACAGAGGTGTCAGCGACAGAGTTCTGAAAACCCAGTTGGAGAAGAAAACCACGGAGCTCTTGATACCAGGCTCGTGGAGCCTGTTTGAGACCGTAAAGGGCCTTGCGAAGACGACAGACGTGGTTGGGGCGATCCTTGTCAACGAAACCAGGTGGTTGAGTAACGTAGACTTCCTCCGTCAGAGTTCCGTGGAGAAAGGCATTATTGACGTCAAGTTGCTTGATTGTCCAGCCACAACTGACCGCCAATTGGAGAACAACGCGGATGGTAATGGATTTCACAACCGGGCTGAAAGTCTCAGCGTAGTCGATTCCGTACTTCTGTGTGAAGCCGCGAGCTACCCAACGAGCTTTGTTCCTGTCAAAAGTTCCGTCAGCAAGATATTTGAGAGTATAAATCCACTTTGTATCAATCACGTGTTGACCAGGATGTCGTGGAACAAGATCAAACGTGTGGTTTCAGATCTGAGCATTGATCTCATCTCCCATGGCAAAACGCCAATTCGAATCTCGCAGCGCCTGGTTCACGGTGGTATGGATATAGGGTTTGGTTTTGACGGCGGCAAGGGAAAATTTGGTATTGGGTTTGGTTATGTTGTTTTTTCGACATGTTTGCATAGAGTGGCGGTTCAGTGGTGGAGATGGGGCATCGTCCTCAGAGGAGGAAGACGACGGAGGGTCTGGTTCGAGGGTCGGATTTGGTTCAGGATTTGGGCTTGGGGATGGAGTTGGGCTTGTTTGGTGATTAGAGGAAGATGAGCTTGTTGAGTTATTTGAGGAGGATGGGCTTGTGTGGTGAGTAAGCGGAGTTGGGTTCGGTGAGGATGGGCCGGAGTGATGAGTGGAGGTGGTTGGGCCCGTGGAATTTCCTGCCAAACCCAAATTCAAGTTAGATTCTACCTGATTCGGCAGATCTAAGACACGATGTGTGTCCGCCGCCGACGGAACCGGACGACTGTCTGGTGCCGGTGACGGTGGACTCGTGTGGTGAGGATCCGGGATGGGGGACGCCGGAGGAGCAGCTATGAGTGACGATGTCGGAACCGGAACAAAGGTATGGGAATTTGAGTAGGTTGGCGACTCGAGACAAGATTTGGATGACGGAGTTTGAGGTGGAGTTGCAGCAAATGGGAACTCCGATTCAACAAACCGGACATGACGTGATGTGTAGATCCGGCCAGAGGTTCGGTCCAGGCACAGATAGGCACTCTGTGTGAGTGAATATCCAAAGAAGACACAAGGAGCCGACCGGTCATCAAGTTTGTGGTTTGCATACGGACGCAGCCAAGGAAAACAGAGGCTGCCGAAGACACAGAGTTTGAGGTAATTTGGTTGTTGATGGAAGAGCTTAGTGTAGGGTGACTCATTTTGCAGAAGTGGAGCAGGCAATCGATTGATGAGATAGATGGCTGCTGCGAAGGCATAAGTCCAATAGCTTTTGGGCATGGATGCCTGGTGGAGCAGAGTGAGGCCTGTCTCGACGATATGCTTGTGCTTTCTCTCAGCGACACCGTTGTGTTCCGGCGTATGCGGCGGAGACGTCAGATGTGTAATCCCGTTGGTTGTGAGAAAGGAACGGAGAGCAATGAACTCACCGCCGTTGTCGGAGTACATCGTTTGGATCTTCTGCTGGAAACGGTTTTCCACCAGTGACTTGAAGGCAATAAACGTTTCCCGAACATCAGATTTTCGCTTGAGTGGATAGAGCCACGAGTAGCGAGTATAGTGATCAACGAGAATTACGTAGTATTTGAAGTTGTCAACGGAGACAATGGGTGATGACCAGACATCAGAATAGATGTATTGAAGAGGTTTGGTAGAAGAGATGGTGTTTGAGTAAAATGGTAACTTGTGACTTTTATTAATGAGATAGTGGGAACAGGACGAGTGGTTGTTTGAAGAATCAGAAAAAGGCAAAGCAAATTGAGAAACAATAGTTTTTAAAACAGATGGAGAAGGGTGTCCGAGTCGAGAATTCCAAGTGTGAGAGGCGGTTTTTGGAGTTGGGGAAGCAAACAGGGAGATGGTGTTCTTGGTCGACATCGGCCACTCATATAGCTCATCCTTAGTTTGGCCTTGGAGTAACCGCGCCCCCGTTCTCAGATCCTTCACCTGAAAATGGACAGGAAAGAATTCCACAGAGACTTGGTTAGCGTTACATAAACGGTAAACTGATATGAGGTTTTTGTAGAGATTAGGAACATATAAGACATTCTTTAGGGTGAGAAAATGGGATTGAGTAGGAAGAAAAGCTGAACCAGTGTGCGAGATGGGAAGGCGAGAGCCATTTGCGATGGTCACTTCTTCACCACCGTTGTAGAGTTGATGTAGAGAGAGATTGTTCAGATCGGACGTAAGATGATGCGACGCGACACTGTCAAGGAGCCAGTTGTCAGAGGATGTGGCTGCAGCCATGTTCGCTCTCGGCTGCCATGGAGTAGGAGCACGAGGTGTGTAGTTGGAGGAACTACCATATTGAGGCAGTTGAGGGCACGTGCGTGCGCTGTGGCCATGAACACCACAGATCTGGCATCTTCCTTGATATCCCCTCGGAGCCGTCGAGTCGTGAGACTGGTAAGGTCGTGGGGAGTTCTGATTTGGGCGTTGTTGAAACTGCTGCTGCTGCCATGTTTGATTGTTGCGATTGTTGCCTCTCGACTGTCCTTGGTAGTTGTTTCTCGGCTGTCCCTTGAATGAGACAGCATTTGCAGATATCGGACCATAAGAGCCCACCGTGGAGGTTGCTTGAAGTTTTGCCTCATGGTTCAACAGCTTCTCATGGATTTCAGTGAGGGAAGGCGCAACATCTCGACCTTCAATCTGATCAACAACGGTCTTGTAGTCGTCAGGGAGTCCTTCAAGAACATACTCGACTTGATCCTCATGGTCCATTGGTTTCCCAAGAAGCGCCAATTGGTCAAAGCGAGTGGTAAGTCCTTGAAAGTACTCATGGATTTGGTACCTTTAGTCCACTGTTTGATTTGATGCTTGAGTTGTTTGAGATGGCCACGGCTCGGTTTCGCATAGGTGGACGAAAGGATCGTCCAGATCTCGGCAGCGGTTTCGGCGGTGGAGAGAAGGGGCTGAATGGAGTTGGTGATTGCACCAAGAAGCGCACTGTAGATCAGCTTATCTTGCCTTTTCCACAGTAGGTAAGCCGGATTCTGAGTCACGACATCAGCAGTTGTGACTGTGGGAGACGGTATGATGATCGAATCGTCGACGTAGCCAGCCAAGTCATAGCCATCAAGCAAGGCATGAACTTGACGGCTCCACATCAGGAAGTTGGTAGATGTGAGCTTTGTGACGTTCGTCATGTTAACGTTGAGGAGTGATTTTTGTGAACCGGAGGAGACCGTGATGGTCTCGTTAGAGGTGGGAGAAGTATCCATTTAGATGTGAAAAGAAATTTTTGAAAAACAGGGAGGCGGGAGAGAAAAACTATGTTTTTAGGTTAGGTCTTTGGAGCGATATGCTCTGATACCATATAGAAGGGAATACTTGATATCATTAGATGAGAGATTACAATATATATACAGGATCATTGAGGAGTGTTTAGGGTTTATACAAAGTCTAATACACCCTTTCCATATCTACACTCTATAGTTAGGTAGGCTGAAAACATAATCAAAACTCCAAAAGGATAACTATAACAAACTAGAAAATGCGATTCAAATATGATGATATATACCTGCAAGTTACTTGAACAAGTCCTTTCGAAAGTTGGACCATATGTTGGCATTTTCCGCATTTGACACAACAACTCATAGATCATCTTATTTTTTTTTAACACTGGATTGACTAATCTAATACAGAATATGAAAACTATTATAAGACAATTCTACAACGGACGATTCTACCAAGGCTCCACGGCCGACGGCTCCACATGCACCATTCTGTAGACCTCCTGTAAAGTTGTCTCCAATAATCTGCATAAATTATTAGCAAATCACATCTGCCGGAATTCGAAACCCAGACCTCCTGATATAGAAGCATTAAATCCTTTCAACCACTAGGCTAAGGGGCTTCCACAGATTCATCTTCTTTATCAGTAGATTTTGAAGAAGGGATAAGTATACTGATATTGGAAACTAGTTCATATGCAACCTTTGTTTGATTTTCAGCCATCAGAATAGTGATGCTAGATCTGTTGGAATTTGTGTTTAAAGCTAAAATACTGAATTGCTCTCGGAATAAGAAGAAAGTTTGAATTCAGAATTCTGAAAGCTTATATTATAATTGATAAATTTTGGCTCTGCAGAGCTTACATACTTATAGCTAATAACTTAACTAGGCCTGGGCATTTTTACCCAGACCACGGATCTGACCCGGAACCGATTCGAAAAAATCGGTTCGGATCGGATATGGGTAATTGGATTTTATCCAATCGGGTCCTTTTTTTCACATACCTGCAGGTTTCGGTTCGGGTCTGGGTATTACCCGGAACCAAATGGATACCCAAAGCCCACAACTTTTTAACCCTGATGATTATTACTAAGCCTACCCAAGCCCACACCTATACAGCCCAAAACTAAACTCACAATATTTTGTTTGGAGATTTGTCTTTTTTTTTTTCAGTTATTTGGCATTATTTTATATTATTTTAGGATAAAAATTAGATTTTGGGTACAAAATAACCAGAAAAAAACCGAATCGAATTCGATCTGCCAAAAATAAATTATTTTATATGCATTGAAGATTAGGGACCGAACCGACCCGGAATCGAACCGAACAGAACCGAAATTCTATCGGTTCCTATATGGGTCTAAAAATTCTTAAATCCGAAAGAACCGACCCGAAGAAGGCCTGGACATTTTTACCCAGACCCGCGGATCTGACCCGGAACCGACCCGAAAAAATCGGCTCGGATCGGATATGGGTAATTGGATTTTATCCAATCGGGTCCTTTTTTCACATACCTGCGGGTTTCGGTTTGGGTCCGGGTACTACCCGAAACCAAATGGATACCCAAAGCCCAAAACCTTTTAACCCTAATGATCATTACTAGGCCTACCCAAGCCCACACCTATACAGCCCAAAACTAAACCCACGATATTTTGCTTAGAGATTTGTCTTTTTTTTTTCCAGTTATTTGGTATTATTTATATTATTTTAGGATAAAAATTAGATTTTGGGTACAAAATAACTGAACCGAATTAGACCCGCCAAAAATAAATTATTTTATATGCATGGAAAACTAGGGACCAAACCGACCCGGAATCAAACCGAACAGAATCGAAATTCTATCGGTTCCTATATGGGTCTAAAAATTCTTCAACCCGAAAGAATCGGACTTGACAAGAACCGACCCGAATCCGAACCGAAGAACCGAAGAACCGAATGCCCAGACCTAGACTAAACATTGTTCTAAAAGGATAAATCTAATTAAGAGCATTTCCATTGGTGAGATATCTTCACCAATTAAAAACTAATAGTTTCAATATTTTTTTTCTTTTTTGAGAATTTCATCATAAATTTGACTCCATTGGTGAGATTCTCATTGGGACACCAATAAAATAACTTTTTATTGCTTTTTGTATAATTTAAAAAAAAATACTTATATATTAAATTTTAACTTAAATAATAAAATATTTTATTAATATTTCGAAAATACTAAATAATATCTTTAATATAATCAGATCTATTAATTAGCTGTACTTATTTAGTAACCAATAAATAGGATATTTATTTAAATATAAATCCATACTATAATAGTTTAATATCTCTCTCCCATATAGTTTGACTCAGCATTTTTGTTTGATATGGTGATGACATGTAACATTTACAAAGTAAAAAGTTCTTAATTGTCTTATAATTTTTTATTTTTCTGCATTCAAGTTACATCTTCATATTCTCAGGTTTAAATAAAAATTATCAGAAGAAAAAAGAAATTTAGTGTTCAAAAATTTAGAGAAAAATAATACTAACTAAGTATTCATGAAATCTCTTTACAAATTTGTGTATAAATGTTTTGTTCGTTTGTTTATATATAGAAATATGTGAGAATAATACGTGTAAATGATAGAATTATAGCAGATAAGAATCGATAAAGATAGTTCTTATAGGAAAATAATATTCAAAATATAGTTATAAATTTAGGATCAAGTAATAGTGCGGTTAAGAGCTGATAGTTTAAATCATTATTTTCAAAAAAAAATCAGAATTAATGAGATTGATCCCATTTTCATCTCCGTTTTGGAGTTGAAGTTTTTAATTTATATAACAGTCCTTGAAGTTTTAAATTAGTTCACTTTAAGATATATAATTAATTATTTTGATGTTTATTTTTATTCTGAAATACAAATAACACATATTTAATAAGAAATTTAATTATTTAAGCTAAATAACTTTAAAAAAACACTTTTATTAGAAATAACATCAAAAATAAATTTATTAAAACAACTTATTACTAACTTTTAATTTATTAATCCCCTAATCCATTTCTGGATCCACCAATATCACTAAAATATTGTCCAAAAGAAATAGTTTGTGAGAGTTCATATTAATCTTGTTGTTGTTCAGCTCTTTTCCTTAAAATCCTTGCTTGCTCACTTTGAACATAAACACAGGAGATTCAGATCTTGTATTGAGTTCACATCGTGGAACAAAAAACTGTTTTCTTCCTTTTTTTTTTTTTTTTTTCTAAAACGATTTTATTAAAATGAAAAGATAGCCATGACATAAAGCCATGCAGAGAGTCTAATAGCTTAGCTTACAAGAAATGTAAAAGATGAAAAGTCGAGTCTTCCGAAGAAAACTGTTTTCTTCCTTGATTTCTTTCAAAGCGTAGTTTTTACTTTGAATCTCCAAATGGTATTGTCTCTGTGCACTTGACTTCTTTAATTGCTCCACATATTGTTTATTTCCTTCTTCGAAAGTGTTGATAATAGCTGAAGCTCCATCATCCATTTTTCTTTTCAGTGCACCAATTGAAATTGAAAGAGAAACTCCACCTCCAAAAGTTGAAATAGCCGCAAACGATGATATTCAGTTTCCAGAATTTTTCTTGCTCGATTTAGAGGGATTAAAGATAAAGATGCTCATTTCTCTCTTCGAAATGGTTTAGTTGATCATTTATGGGAAATATATTCAAATGGTTATAATTAAAAATAAAATCCAGCTTGTGTTGTTATTTTTAGTCTTGTAATAATGTATTATTAATATTTTCATAATTAATTTAAATAATTATAATAAATTGTGAAAGTTTTGAAGAAAAAAAAGTATGGGGCAATTTGTAATAGATATAAATATACAATATAAATTTAGTAATTAATAAAAAGTTTTGAAGCAAAAAATGAGGCAATACATTGGAGCAAAACCCAACTCCATTTTGAGATTTCTTCATTTTGAAGTCAAATATTAGGAAATACATTGGAGATGCCCTAAGGTCCAAGCGCGAGCTACAAAAAATCAGTCGGAAATTGATAAATTTTAGTTTCACTTCTTTGTTATGTTTAAAATATTTATTTGTTGAATATTATATTTAAAATATAACTCTAGCTTTTGTAGATGTTTTTTTCGTTTTCTAACTAGAACCAATAAACCAATGAAACTACAATTAGAAAGACAATCAATAGTATGAAAGAACCACCACACAGTTCACATAACCACCTTTCACGGTGAGGGCAACCTCCTTCCTTCCATTCGTCTCCACATTTGTAGCAAAACGAATACCCACACCTATCCATCAACCATAAAAATACACAAATGTTAATTAGGCTGAAAACATAATCAAAATTCCAAAAGAATAACTATAACAAGCTAGAGAATGCGATTCAAATATGATGATATACCTGCAAGTTATATGAATGCATCCTCCGAACGTTCGACCATATGTTGGCACTTTCCACATTGACGCCACTTTTTCTCGTTTGCTAGAGATATGAGCTTTATATCATTTTCCGTAGGATTTGGACCTAATCTCTTGTAATCGTCGCACGACAAGTTACTATGCCATGCAACTTTGCAGTTGATGCAAAAGGGTTTACCGCATTTGACACAACAACTCATAGATCCATCTTCTTGATCAGTAGATTTAGAGAGCTCGGCATTAGTTCCGAGCACCTCGGATTTGGGCAGTAAACTCTGTCTGCCACAGGAACCGATTCCTCTTCGATCCTTCGTTCCCACATCTCTCTTAGTTTAGGTGTCAAAAGATTGACACAGCTTTTAGGAGTTAGCTTAGACTCGCATTGATAATGGGGACATCCAGTGCACTTCCCTCGAGTAGTCCCTCTTCTATACCGTTTCATGCACTCCATGCAGAATTGATGACCACATAAAGCGACAGAGAACATCTGATCATCTTCGAGATCATCATCGAAACAGATGCGGCAAGTGTGCTTCTGAGCAGAAGGGATACGTATGCTGATCTCAGAAACTAGTTCATATGCAAACTTCGTTTGATTTTCTGTCATCAGAACAGCGATGCTAGATCTGTTGGAATTTGTGTTTAAAGCTAAAATACTGGAAGTTGCTCTCGGAATAAAAAGAAGAATGCTTTTCAACAAAAAAAATAAAAAGAAGAAAGCTTGTATTATAATTGATAAATTTTAGCTCTGCAGAGCTTACATACTTATAGCTAATGACTTAACATTGTTCTAAAAGGATATTGCCTAACCTCTCTAACCCAAAAGGATAAAAATTTAAGAGCATTTCCATTGGTGAGAAAATCTAAGAGCATTTCCATTGGTGAGATATCTTCACCAATTAAAAACTAATAGTTTCAATATTTTTTTTCTTTTTTGAGAATTTCATCATAAATTTGACTCCATTGGTGAGATTCTCATTGGGACACCAATAAAATAGTTTTTTTGTATTGCTTATTGTATAGATTAAAACAAAAACTTATATGTTAAATTTTAACTTAAATAATAAAATCTTTTATTAATATTTTGAAAATACAAAATAATATCTTAATATATAAAGTTGGATACGCGCGACGTGGTTGCGACACATAGGATTTTTATAAATTATAGGATCGCGACATGTGTCACTTTTAATATTAAGTCCTTTAAGATCATGACACATGTTTTGAAAAAAAAATATATTTTATTTTATTTAAATACTAGATTAAGGCCCTATTTTTATTTTTTTTTTAATTTTTTTTTTTTTAATTTTCCTTTTTTTCTAAGACATGTGTCACGATTTTAACGGAGATAAACTTAAAAGTGACACATGTCGTAATCCTGAATTTTATAAAAATCTTACGTGTCGCAACCACGTCGTGCGCATCCAGCTTTATATAATAAGATTTGATAAACGAAAATTAAGAAAAAAGAGGAAATTTTAATCTATTATATTTATGAAATCATAATAGAAAAAGGTTTCTCATTCATTAAAATTATATTATCTTAATACATATTAAATTTAAAATAATGTAATAAATAAAATTCTATTAGTACATGAAATAGGTTATGTAAACTAAATTTCCTATAACTGCATGAAATATGATAAGTGAATCCGTGTTAAAAAGAAAGTTATGATAGTTTCTCTTTTTTTCATCCAATCAGCGCTTTTTGCTTCTTTCCCACACTGCCACATCAGCAGCCGAAAAAACGAGCCACAGCAACCTAAAAGGACTGAAAAGAAGCCCATATCTATGCTTACTTATAATAAAAGCCCATCTAACAATCTGAAGAAGCTCTGCTAGATCTGTTGGAATTTGTGTTTAATGCTAAAATACTGAAAATTGCCTTCGGAATAAGAAGAAGAAAGTTTGTATTACAATTGATAAATTTTAGCTCTGCAGAGCTTACATACATAGAGCTAATTAATGGCTAATTAACATTGTTCAAAAAGGAAATTGCCTAATCTCTCCAAACCAAAAAGGATAAATCTGAGAGCATCTCCATTGGTAGATGATAAGTTGTTGGAAAGAAAGAAGTTTCAACATAGCATTTCGGTTGATAAAAAATAGCCTCTTTGTTGAAGAATGTTCTTGCAGAGGACAAGTTATTGTTTTTTGTTGGGATGATCGCTGGTACGTTTCTATGTGGAGAGGAATAGTGTTAAGAGAGTTGAGATCCGAGGAAAGGATGGGTTTAAGAATTATAGAGTTAAGATCTCTCTTGACCATGTAGAGGACGTGAAGCTTATGGCAAATGTTTAGGATTTTATATAACTTGAGAGCAGATCATGGGGCTCTTACTTCTCTGTAGGCTATCGGATAACTATTTTCTGTTATTTTGTGTGTGATTGTGTTCATACACTTCGGAGGAGTTGCATCGACACCACTTTTGTTTGTGTCTATCCATCAGATTTGTTCTGAGACGTGCCTCTCCATCTCTAGCATTTCCGGTATTTGTAATTACTTGAAAAGGAACCTGAAAATATAATCACTTGATATATTATTATTTTCTAGAAGTTTTCCTTTGCACTTAAATAGTTTTCGTCATTAATTTATTTATTAATAATTTTAATATTTTTGTCTAACTAGAAATAAAATCGGAATCATATCGATCCTTATTGGGATGCACCGAACACTGTCTCTACGTTGTCCTCTCTAACATGGTTAGCGGTGATCACGAACTGTATATCCTCCGCCGGGAAGCCAACGGAATCAAGGCTTGTTCCTTATCCCTTCACTGCCCTCTATGCCTCAATTTGGTAGCTACGTCGCGATGGGCTCGAAGATATATGTGTTCAACAATATGACATCATTAAGCATCGACTGTATATCTCACACAGCGCAACCCCTCCCGAGCATGCCTGTGGTCATGGAGGTTACCATGGCTGACATGATCGACGGGAGAATCTACGTGATTGGGTACAAATCAACTCGAAGAAGAGTGATGGTTGTGTTCAATACAGAAACACAAACATGGGAGCCTGAGACGATAAAGATTGACACTGAGGTTAACATGTGGATGTGTGAATGTGTGGTGATGGGTGGTAAGATGTACTTTAGGGATCGTAGAAGAATAGCATTGTTTACGAGCCAAAGGGAAGTAAATGGGAAACAGACGAGATGGTGAATGCTAAAGAGTGGGAGATGCTTGTGTGGTTGATGATGTTTTGTACTATCACGATACGTGAAGAACAAGTTAAGAGCGTATGATTCAGAGAAGAAGTGTTGGGGAGTGGTGAAGGGTGTTGAGGAATTGTTGGCTATGGAGAAGGTTCTGGGTGGTGGAGACTGCGAGTTACGGTGGGAAACTTTTTTTGTTCCGTGATGAAGATAGTTACGTTGGAGTGATTTATTTTGCGGAGATTTCCTTGAAAGAAACCAAAAAAGGGAAGATTCGGGGTAAAGTTGAGTGGTGGATGCGGTTGAGATTGCTATGAGTGTTGAGGTTATAAAATCTCTAGATGTTATAGTTTGATGCAGAGAAAAGTTACACATGCATGTTTATATAGGGAAGAAGATACTAGAGCTAATTAACCTAGTTTCCATATATAGTTACAAATCTACTTATTATGAACAAATATATTTACGGATCTCCAAGATATTGTTGATCCTTCTATAATATATACCAATTCTCTTCGTCACAGTGGTTGCTCCCTCTGTGTCGTTGGTTTCAAGATTCTTGTTTCCAATCCGCGAAAAGAAGAATTTCAGTGCCAATAAAGCACGGTAACTTCAAGTCTCAAAAATAAGAAAAGACACCTTGGTTTGAACATTTACGACCTTCCTTGATTAATCCAAGATTCCAGTCTTTTACTTGATCTCATTCTTTTGGCAGTAATCGACATTGTAGTGGCAGTCAAGAAAGTGTTAGCCAGAGTAAGCCAAATAGGAATTGAACAACCAGGTGCTTCCCATCTTCTACAAGGTGACAACAATCGATGTGAAACAGCTAAAAGGAGTGTTTGGTGACCATTTCAGAGATCGAGAGTGGGAGTATCGGTTCGACAAACCCCAAATAGAGCAATGGAGAAAGGCGTTGGTCTTTATTTCTAGTCGGTTCGGCCAGACGTTTGACGGAACAAGGTATTGCAATCATTCCCCTAGATCCGTACTTCACAAGTAACTATTATATACGTGAAATATGTTTTAAAGTCTCGTAAGGGACATATCTAAAATCGTATAAATTACAACTAAACATACATAATTTAGATTGAATAAACTTAAAATATAAAACTTTAAAGAATATTGTATTAGCTTAAATGAAATTAATTTTAAATTTAATAAGAATGTATTAGTTATAATTGATATCAATTAAATATTATAAATATATAATTCAAATTTTCATAATGGAACTAATGCAAAACAGAAAAGATTAGTAAGATGTAATATTTTTGACGCTAAACCAAAAACCTATGTAGTTTACATGACTCTAGACTATGTAGAGGAGGACGTAAAGCTTATGGAATATGTTTAGGACTAACTCGAAAGATAGATCAGTCCGGTCGTTCCCTGTTTTTAGCATTTCCTGTTTTTTTTTTCTTTGTTCTTGTTGTAGTGTTGCTACCTTAAGTAAGAGAAGTGAAGTTACTATTAGTTTATATGTTACTGTTTCTATTTCTAACATCTTATCCATGAAAAAGCTATATAACTCGTGTGGCAGATTCAACGAGGGGATGATAGAAACTCTTGCTGTTGCAAACTCTTCAAATAGTAATCCGAAACAGAGAAGTCTAAGATGAAGAAATGACTAGAATGTTAAATATCAAGAAGAAGAAAAACTTGAAAGACTAGTCATGTTTGAAATTTTTAACCGGTCATGTTTGATACAACCGCTAACATCGTCGACGGGAGAATCTACGTGATTAGACTTATCAACTCGAAGAATACGAGGATGGTTGTGTTCAATACACAAACACAAACTTGGAAGCCTAAGATGATAAAGTCTGACTTCGAGCTACGTGGCATGTGGAGGTGTGAATGTGTGGTGGTGGCTGATAAGCTGTACACAAGGGATTGTTTACGCGCCAAAGGGAAGTAAACGGGAAACGAAAGAGATGGTGAATGCTAAGCTTGTGTGGTTGATGATGTTTTGTACTATTACGATAACGTGACTAACAAGATAAGAGCGTATGATTTAAAGAAGTGCTGGGGAGTGGTGAATGGTGTTGAGGAATTGGTGGCTGAGATAAGACTTGGTGAGTGTGGGTGGGAGACTGCTGTGAGTTACTAGTTCTGTTTTATGCTAAAAGAGGGATTTTTTTTTTGGGGTAAAGTTGAGAGGTGGGATGAGGTTGTGATTGATGGGAATGTTCGTATGAAGAAATCTTTACCTGTTATAGTATGATGCAGAGAGAGAGTTCTTGGAGATGGAAGAAGATTGGGGAGCAAAAGGAAATTTAGAATATAATTGATTGTGTTAATTAGGAGAAATCAAATAACAAATCATGAGGCTCTTACTTCTCCTTAGGCTATCGGATGCATAGTTTACGTTATTTTGTATGTGATGGTGTTCATACACTCACACCGGTGAAGATCAAATTGCTGTTTTAAGTTAAGTTTTAGCTTCTAAAAGTCGCCAGTTTGTGAGTTACGTGTTCATGAGTTCTATGTTAATCATCTACCGGTAAAGACAAATTGAAACCACTTAACAAGGCCGAAGAGTGTTTGCGCTATTCCATCAGAGTTGTTTAACCTGGAAATAACTCATTGTGCCTCTCCCATCTCTAGCATTTCCCGCATTAAGTGTTTAGATTTTTGATATGTGTTTGCTACTCTAAATAAGAGCTGTGAAGTTACTTTTATTTAGTGTGTTTCCATGAAAATATTTGAAGTAAGAGAAGTGAAGTTACTTTCAGTTCATGTGTTAATGTTTGTAACATCTTATCTACTTGATAGATGTTTCAAAAAAAGCCAACTCGTATTTGCATGACAGATTCTAGAAACTCTTGTTATTGATTCACTCGCAAGTGTCACATACAATTCATATAATTTGGTGCCACCAAGTCACCATAGTATTAGATGATAATAGACGTATAGAAATCTGTGCCAAAAATTTTGAAACTTGAAAGGCAATAGTAATTATCAAATTATCAAGAAGCGGTCCAACTGAGAAAAAGGTTTCTTGTTGTTTTCACAATTGCCTAATTTGGTTATGACAAAAAATTACAATGGCAGATCAAACCGGAAAAGCCCGGTTCTACTATAAAGAATTTCCTTTTTACTAATAATTAAAAATGAACCGAAATCAAGATCCACGCAAACCAAAACTAAGGGCTTAACTGTGTACGAGGAATCGCTGAATGTAGAGGAATTCAGCTGAATTTTTTGTTTATGTTACCAGTTGAATAAAAGTGTGTTCAGCTGAATAGTAAGAAAGAGACCACTAAAAGACCACAGTATGAATTGATTTCATACTTATTTCTTTACATTTTTACATTTTTGTTAATTAAATAATCTGTATCTATGTTACGTATGTTTGATCTTATAAATGTAAGTTTTCATATTATAATATTATTATTAAAATTATTTATTTTGTAAGTATTCACATTATAATCATTATTATAAATAGTTTAATCAAAGCAATTGTAATTTTTGAAGTATAAAGATAATATTTAGAGGAGTATACTCAGATATAGAGTGATAAATTAGATATTGTAATACATTTAAATAATAACTAATTTAGTCTAAAATAAATACAAAAATATGGGAGTAAAATAATAGGCATATATGAGATGATTTTCATAAATGAATTGGTAATATCAAAAATATTATATTTTTAAATGTCTATTATTATTATTTTTTAAACTTTGATGTTTGATAAAATTTTATGAATCCAAATTCCTATATAAATAATATATTTTAATTAATTCCATTATTTAGATATTTCACAATTTTTTTTTCTTTATTTTATTAATTAACATAGGTAAATATTTTATTATTTTGTTATACAAATAATTTTTCAACTATTTATTTTGCATTCAGCAACATTCAGCTGTTATCATTCATATTACAAACTAATCAGTCAGATTTCGCAAAAAGTCATCATTTTATTCAGTCAGATTCCAAATTCAGCAATATTCAGCGGTTATTTAGACCCTAAACCAATGGCGACTTTTGTTATCGTGGGTGGGGTTGGTGGGACAGCGTGTTATTTAAACGACAGACATGTGGAATAATATGAATCAGAGTCATTGACGTTGACTTAAAGATTGGAACTTCCATATGTTTGAATCGGTCAAAATTGCACGCTTCTCTGCTAACAATCCAACCAAAAGTTCCAAAACTTTTCGACGGCTGCTGCTGCTTCTTCTTCTTCTTCTTCTTCCTGCTCCTCCACCTCCACTTCCATGGCCAAACTACCCCCTCCTTCAGTGTTCGTCAGTATCCGAGGTGATGAATCGTGCTTGAACTTCATCAGACATCTAGAGAAGGCCCTGGGAGACGAGAAGGTCCCTTACTTCATTCACAATCTATTCCGAAGCGGTGACCTGGCAGTCCGTTGTAACGATATTTTTGGAAAGTACCAATTCAAAGATTCCATAACCCATGTCAAGGAGATCGAGGATTCAGAACTCGCACTGGCCGTCTTCTGCCAAAGGTACCCACAATCAACCATAGCCTTGAACAACCTAGTTAAGATAGTGGAGGAGGTAAAAGCGGACAGACTCAAAGTAATCCCAGTCTTTTACAAAGTGAGTGTGGAAGATGTGAAACACTGGAAAGGAGACTTCGGCCAGAATTTATTCTGCGGAGGTCGCCGTGAAATGTCCAATGTGCTGAAATGGGCAAACGCTTTGAGATATGTCGCCGCGGAAAACGGTTTGACTTCTGAAAACTACAGGTAGAAAAACTAATCAATAAACATTTTCAATCTCTTACTTGATTAATCCAAGATTCCGATTTAAATTGTCCTTACGCGTTTGGCAGTAACGAGAGCGATTTCATCGTCGACATTGTAGTGGCAGTCAAGAAAGTGTTAGCCGGAGTAAGTGTGATTAATGAAAAAGATAACTCAATTAAGTGTCAATGCTACTGGTACGTAGTATTTTTTTCACTAGGATATTTCCTAGAAATTCTATTTTCTGATTTAGAAAATTATTTAGCAGGACGTCCAAGGTTTGGAGGAGTTATTTGTTCAAACAAGATTGCAGGTAGTTGCCGAGCCCGAGCGTGCTGCTGAATCTCCTCAAGGGATTCTCCGTACACCTGATACAGTCCCCAAAGTCCGGGTATTTTTATTATAATTTCATAATTATGCGTTGGTTCCGTGTTAAAACGTTTAATGATTATACTGTAAATTAAACTACAATATGGTAATATAATTTTGTAGAATGTTCATGTATGGACAAATTGCTCCATTGTTACAATATTTTGCGATTCTTTTGACAAAAGGAAAGCTCAATGCAAATGAATCATTGGAACTAGCTTTTCTTGTTGTGAATCAGAACGAGAAGGACAAGTTGGAATGTACCGATGAACTTGGAGACCTTGTCAAGGTATAATAGTAGTCAAACTGACTTATTTTTATTTAGAATGTTTCCTTTTAGTCTGTTATAATGGTGGCATAACTGTGTTGCTTCAGACTGTGGATAATGATCTTGCTCTTAAAATACACACTAAAGCTGCGACCAACCCAGAAGTCGTTGCTGAGGGAAAAGAGTTTGGCAAAACACCTATCTATTCAAGAGAGGTAAACAACAAAATCTAAGTTAATTTGTCATGTCTTGTGATAAAAGCTACACTGCTGCTTATAACATCATTCCCAAGAGTTTAGAATTTGTGCTAAGCCTACTAAGTTATAAAGTTTAAAAGTTTATAACCCTTAATTGTTTCTATTGCATGTGGTCTCTTCGAAATGAATCACAAGGCTTCTCCGCCGCAACAACATCAAGTTTTTATTAATTTCCGAGGAGAGTTGCGCAACAACTTCGTCAGCCATCTCGTGGAGGCCCTTAGGAGAAATGAGATCAACGTCTTCATAGACAATCAAGAGCTTAGAGGAGAAGAAATCGGCATTCTTTTGAACAGGATTGAAGAATCAGTAATCGCCCTTGTTGTATTCTCGACCGGGTACACGGAATCAAGGTGGTGCTTGAGAGAGGCTGCAAAGATAAAAGACTGTGTGGAGAACGGCACGCTCAAGGTAAGATGATGATAAATACGCCATGTATATTCGTACATCATAGTCGTAGGCTCGTGGCTAGAGAAAGATGTAGCCAAATGCTGCTACTAACAACAACATTGTGGATGATTAATAATTTATGTATGATCAACAAGGTGCTTCCCATCTTCTACAAGGTGACTACAAGCAATGTGAAACAGCTAAAAGGAGAGTTTGGTGACCATTTCAGAGATCGAGAGTGGGAGAATCGCTTCGACAAACCCCAAATTGAGCAATGGAAAAAGGCGTTGGCCTTTATTTCTGGTAGGTTCGGCCAGACGTTTGACGGAACAAGGTATTGCAATCTTTCCCCTAGATCCGTACTTCACAAGTAACTAATATATACGTGAGATTTGTTTGATGCTCTCTTATGTTATACATAGTTTGACACATTTACATGTAGTTTCATAGAATTGTTGGTTCATGGGAGCTCTTGATAGCTAGTTTTTGTGTACTTCAATTACTCCCTTAGGAATGATATTTTCAAGCAAGATAGTCTAAATGTATTTTGGTGTTAGGCATGTCCGTCCAATGGTTATGTAAAGCATATATTACATCGTCCTTTTTCTTTTCTTGCAGTCCGGAAAGCGATTTCATTGAATTAATTGTCAAGGATGTCTTGAGAATGCTAGCAAGCATTGACTGTACAAACTGAGAATTCTTAGATCTCTATATTAAAGGTAACCGAGGGAGTGTGCACTGTGTATCAAATGCAATATTTATCTTGAATATAAACAAATCAACAGTTGATTTGTCTGTTTTTGGCCTTTTCGACGACCCTTATATATATCTCCCTCCCACTAAACATATTCACAACATAAAGCTATAAGAAAAAAACCCTGAAACTATGTCTTCTAGTTTCTTAAATCATCGAGAATGGCTTTTACTTCTCCTTAGGCTATAAGATGAGTATTTTTTGGGGTTATTTTCTGGCTGTTCTTAGGTAAGGTTTAGCTTTTGAAGTCATTTCTTCATGAGTAAGACAATTTGTGAGAGTTATGCGTTCATGAGTTCTATGTTAACTATCCGTTAACCGGATTCGATTCTCTCTATTTTACTTTGGTCTTAAAATTTACAAGCTAACAAAATATTCAATCAAACTACAGTACTACCTAGGTGTAATAGAAAACAGATAGGCTAGCTAAAATAGCGAATTAAGCAAAAAACAAAAATAATTTTTGGCTCAAAAAAAAGAAACAAAAAGAACTGAAAATATAAATGGTAGACATGAAAGTCCTAGTGTCGAAAAAACTTTCCCATTCTTTAGTACTTTGCATCAAAACAACGTTGAACAGAAATTCCTCTTTTTATCTTTTATTGGTCAAAACAAAATGGAATCTAGAATAATTTGATTACTAAGGAAAGTTGGAAAATTTACTTTATACGTGTTCCACCAGTCAATTCCCTACGTAAAAATTAGTAAATATTTGGTCGTACGAGTCAAGTCAATGTTGTTTGATCAAAGGTTGATTACATACTTAACTGATTTAGAAATTAGGAATACGAATATAAAAATTCCCATGCCTTAAGTTAGTAACATATCTTGAATTCGTATGTTAAGGTTCTTTTCCTAGTTGACCATCTTAAGGACACTGAAATAGAAGAAACATGAAATGTTTCACTATAAATTTAGAAGAAGTAATCTAAGAAAAGAAAACGAAAGATTAAACAAAAGAAAAGAAAAAAATGAATTCTCTAAAACAACTCATAGTTCTCTTCGTAATGACTATGTTCATAAGTGCAACGATGTCTCATGCCAAAACGACAGTCGTGATCAATAATGATCTTGGAGGTGGTTTAGCGCTACAATACCATTGTAAATCGGGTGATAATGATCTCGGAGCTCGGAGTTTGGCACCAGGTGGATCATGGTCATTTCAGTTTAACCCTGATATCTTCGGCCGTACTTTGTATTTTTGCAGTTTTAGTTGGCAGAGCGAGTCGCATTATTTCGATATCTATGTACAGAAAAGAGACAAAGAGTTTGAGAGGTTTGGATGCACGAATTGCTCGTGGAAAATACGCAAGAATGGACCTTGCAAACTCAACAAAAACACTAATATGTATGATGTTTGTTTTCCTTGGAATAAATGATTCTTTGGGTTTAATTTTAATATATTCTATGTACGTGGTTAATCACCAAACTGTGGGGATTACTTGTATTCTACGTTTTAAAAATCATCTAATACACAACAGCTTTATTTGCAAATTACAAAAGACAAAATACCTCAAACACAAACAAAAGCAGACTGTGTTAGCTTTATCAAAAAAAAAAAAAAAGTCAATTTGTGAGAGTTATGTGTTCATGAGTTCTATGTTAGCTATCCACTCCACATGTGAAGTCTACGTCGACATCACGTAAATAAGGCTGAAGAGAGTTTACGCTAATCAATCTGAGTTGTTTAACTTCGAATGAAACAATTTTGCCTCTCCATCTCTAGTATTTTCCGATTTTTGTTGTGTTTTTTTTTGGCTACCTTCGATTTTTGGCTCTTTCTTGGGTTATATAAACTTAATTGTGCCTCCCCCCATCTCTAGCATTTCATGTATTTGTAATTATGTATTAAGTTTTTTTGTTATCTGTTTGCTAACTCTAAGTAAGGGTTGTTAAATTATCAAGCAGAGAAGTTTAAGAGCAAACCGTGTTACATATATATATTTAGGAATATTTAGCTTTTATTAAGCCGACTTACTCTTTCATAAACCCTTATAAAGGATTGTTAAACTTATTCAAAGACTCTCTCTCTCTGTCTCCATTGTTACTATTACTAAGCTTAACCCTATCTTGTATCCAAAGCGCCATGGAAACACGGCAGTGGCAGTCCGTCTCTCGAGCTTCTTCGACCTCACCAACGAATGCAAAAGAAGAAAACTCAGAGACGATCTCAACTGATCTCATGATCGAAATCTTCTTGAGATTGCCGAGGAAGTCTAGCGAGATGTCGATGTGTATCAAAGCTCTGGAACTCCACGCTTGACAGTCCATATTTCATCGAGTTTTTGACTCGCCCTCGGTTCTTGTTCTCCTTCCGAAAAGACAGTGAGCTCTGCTTCTTCTCGTCACTTCTTCTCGTCCCTCAAGATGAGAACTCGTCTCCTGTAGACGCAGATTATCATCTCAAGCTCAAATTGGAAGACTCCTTTAGAGTTTGTGGTCATGTCCGAGGTTTGGTCTGCCTTGATGATCTCCGGGTGATAAAGGAAAGGAAAGAAACGGCTCCGGTGATATGTAACCCAAGAACGGGACAGTTGTTGCCTTTACCCAAAGTGAAGACGAAGAGGAGCGTTCCAGTGAATAGTTTTCTTGGGTTTGATCCGACTGATGAAGAATTCAAGGTATTGACCATAACCGTGGGGTTGAGCATCGAGTTCTGACGTTAGGGACTCGAAAACTTGAATGGAGAATGATCGAATGTGGCATTCCACGTCATTATCCTACTAGTGATGGGATATGCATCAATGGTGGTGTGTATTATAGAGCTTGGGCATGTATGCTCGTGCGATAGTTTGCTTTGATGTTAGGTTGGAGAAGTTTAGCGTTATTAACGCAGCTGAGGGCATGGATCTAAGTCTTGGTACTCTTGTAAACTACAAGGGTAAAATTAGGTGTTCTTACTAAGAAAGCAGACATTTTGAGCTGTGGGTTCTAGTAGACGCAGAGACGCATAAATGGTCGAAGACCACGTTATACATTGTTGGAGTGGCTGGTGGTACCGATGAAGTTGTCTTGTGGCCGCGATCTGTATGTGTCCGTTCTATGTTTACTACTACAACATGGAGAGGAACACTTTGAGAAGAGTTGAGATCAAAGGAATGGACGCGGTTAGGGACTATGAGAGCATGACTCTAGACTATGTAGAGGACGTGAAGCTTATGGAACATGTTTAGGACTAACTTGAGAGATAAGATCAATCCGGTCTTTTCATTTCTTGTTTTTTGTTGTTGTAGTGTTGCTACCTTAAGTAAGAGAAGTGAAGTTAGTTTTGTAATTATGAATTAAGATTTTTGTTATGTGTATTATATAAGGGCTGTGAAGTCACTTGTATTTAGCGTGTTTCCATGGGAATCTTTCGAGTAAGACAAGTTGTGTTATTGTGTATGTGTTATACTGTTTCCAACATCTTATCTTACAGCATATTCAACGAGGGGTGATACAAAGACTTGTTACAGCAAATCTCTACATATTACAGCGAATCCAGAAATTATTGAAAACTTGAAAGGCTATAGTGATAACTGATAAGTCAAGTTATTAAGAAGCCTGATCGAACTGAGAATGGTAGCGACAAAAACATTATTCAAAGTTATTGTCCACAAGCAATATGTATTCGGACGTGCATCATGTTCTGAGATTAGGGGCTCAAGAAATCGGAGAATGATCGAATGTTGCATTTCCAGTCAGTATCCTATTAATGATGGGATATGCATTTATGCGATAGTTTGCTTTGATGTTAGGTAAGATCGACAAGTTTAGCGTTATTAACGAAACTGAGGGCATGCTTCTACGTTATTGCCCAACTCTTGCAAACTACAAGGGGAAATTACTTGTTGGTCCCTTACTTGTTCTGCTTCTTCACTCTCGTGACTGCGATGATATAGGAAATATTACATATTTATTTACGCATATTAGCATATTATTAAGCCGACTTACTCTTTCATAAACCCTTATAAAGGATCGTTAAACTCTCTCAATAATTCAATTCAGAAAATTTAAAGAAAAAATTCTTCTTCTATCTGTCTCAACTGTTACTAAGCCTAACCCTAGCTGACGAGGGGATCTAGTATTCAAAGCGCCATGAAAACACGGCAGCGGCAGTACGTCTCTCAGCTTCTTCGACCTCAACGAATGCAAAAGAAGAAAACTCAGAGACGATCTCAACTGATCTCATGATCGAAATCTTTTGAGGTTGCCGAGGAGGTCCATAGCGAGATGTCGATGTGTATCAAAGCTCTGGAACTCCACGCTTCACAGTCCATATTTCATCGAGTTTTTGACTCGCCCTCGGCTCTTGTTCTCCTTCCGAAAAGACCGTGAGCTCTGCTTCTTCTCGTCCCCTCAAGATGAGAACTCGTCTCCTGTAGACGCAGATTATCATCTCAAGCTCAAATTGAAGACTCCTTTGAATTTGTGGTCATGTCCGAGGTTTGGTCTGCCTTCATGATCTCCGGGACGTAAAGGAAAGGAAAGGAACGGCTCCGGTGATATGTAACCCAAGCACAGGACAGTTGTTGCCTTTACCAAAAGTGAAGACGAAGAGGAGCTTCTAGTGAAGAGTTTTCTTGGGTTTGATCCGACTGATGAAGAATTCAAGGTATTGACCATAACCGGTGGGATTGAGCATCGAGTTCTGACGTTAGGGACTCGAAAACTTGAATGGAGAATGGTCGAATGTGGCATTCCAGATCATTATCCTATAGTGATGGGATATGCATCAATGGTGGTGTGTATTATATAGCTCGCTTTCTTGGGCCTGGTATCAGCATGTTCTTGCTATAGTTTGCTTTGATGTGAGGCTGGAGAAGTATAGAGTTATTAACGCAGCTGAGGAAATGCATTTGATATTCTCTTCCAACTCTTGTAAACTACAAGGGGAAATTAGGTGTTCTTGCGTCAGATGATGTTTATTGGATAGACGAAAAAGCAGACATATTGTGTTGTGGGTTCTAGAGACGCAGAGACACTTGAATGGTCGAAGCATGTATACGTATTGCCACAACCTCTGTGGAAGAATGTAGTTGGAGAGACCATGTTATACTTTGTTGGAGTGACTGGTGGTACCGATGAAGTTGTCTTGTGGCCGTACTCTCTACGTGCTCCGTTCTATGTTTACTACTACAACATGGAGAGGAACACTTTGAGAAGAGTTGAGATCAAAGGAATGGACGCGGTTAGGGACTACACAGCGTACATGTCTCTAGACTATGTAGAGGACGTGAAGCTTATGAAGCATGTTTAGGACTAACTTGAGAGATAGATCAATCTGGTCTTTTCACCCACTGTGAGACTCTTGTTGTTGCAAACTCTTCAAATACTAGTGCAATATATGAGATCCTTTGATGCTAAAATCTAAGGGGCTGATTGGTTCACCCGCTGCCACCCGGGTGGTAGTGGCTATTAATGTTTGACAACAATCAATGAAAATGCTTTCTACCGCTTCAAAAATGTTCAAAACAGCTCAAGATCCTCAAATCAAAAGCTCCTTTACAGTAAAGTTTGTTGTTGCTAGCGATTGCAAGTGGAATGTTATATATATATATATATCTTTTTATTTAAAGCTAGATGCACACAACGTTGTTGCGACACGTAGGATTTTTATAATTTATAGGGTCACGACATGTGTTACTTTTAATGTTATGTCCGTTAAAATCGTGACATATGTCTTCAAAAATATTTTAAAAAAATTGTTAAAAAAAGTAAAATTAAAAAAAAAAAATCTATTATAGTAAAAAGAAAAAATTATAAAAAAAATAAAAAATTTCATATCCTATCCTGATAGGAAAAATTTTCTCATTCATCAAAATTATATTATCTATTAACACATCTAAAATTCAAAATAATGTAATAAATAAAATCCTATTAATACATGGAATAGGTTATATAAACCAAATATCTTATAACTGTATGGAATAGGTTATCTGAACTCCTATAAAATAGAGAGTTAAGAAAATCTTTTTTTTTTCTCATTCACAAACTCATCAAAGCAAATTTATCAAATCTCTTTGATTATCTTTCTCATATTGAAAAATCATATCTTTGAAAGTTCAAGAAAAGAGTTGAGATTATTTGACGATAAGTCAATTGGATCGAAATTAAAATTATCGCCGTACTACAGTATCCTAAAGAAAATAATATCCTTATGAGAGTTGATCTTCTATTACTTGATGAAAAAGTTAGTAACATATTATATTAATATCTTATTATATAAATATGTATATAGTTATAATATAGATTAACATTAAATGTTTAGTTTTGTTGGAAACAGGAAAACACAATTCAAGTTTTTGTGCATTATTCACTACTTCAAAATTTCGGAGATCAGATCACTATGGGAAACATCATCGAAATTTGTGATATTAATGTGCAGTCTGCTCATAAAATAACTTACAAATTTTCTAGCCATCACTCTGTTATAAGAGCAACAAAACGAACCAAGATCAAAAGTATCAGCCAAAGTTTCTGCTAAATGAAAAAAATTATAATGGACCGATCTTCTAATTTTTAATTTTTTTGTTAGGTAAAATAATATTATCAATTGAAATCTCTTGAATGGAATAATTAATCAGTCGTTCAGATTTAGATACATGTAAATCTTTTTATTTTAGATAAAAAGGAAAATAAAAAATTAATTCATTTTTTATAAAATTGTAAAATGATTACCAATTTAATTTTATTTAAAGATTTTATCGGATTTTTAATGTTATTTTACTTATTTTTAAAGTGATCAAATTTTGTTTAATATTTTTCAAAATAACCGGCGTATACGTAGGACCTAATCTAGTATATCTTATATATAATAGGAGAGTTGCTCTTTCCTCTTAGGTTATCCACATCAGCAAAAAAATCATTAATTGTATTTAAGATATTTAATATATGTGTATTAATATTTTTTATATATATTCCTATTTTACACATAAACAAAACTAAGAAAAATACACAAACAATTTAATTGATTAATATAAAGTATGTGATATCTTGATGTTAAAAGTTAAAAGAAAGTTGTAATATAAAATGGAATGAAATAAAGAAATATTTAACTTGAAATATATGTATATAGATTAAGTTAATATAAAATTATATATTTAACTAAAGAATTTATTACTCAAAGGATTTATCCTATTTAAAAATGTTATAATGTGCTTACAAGTAAAAAAGGTACAGTATAAATTATTTAACATAGTAAAAAGCTAATAAAAAATTAGAGTTAGAGTTTGTTTTATTAAAAAATAGAAGTCGAGTTATTATTTAAATTTCATTGCAACGAAAAGCATGAAAATTTTAAGAATGGTGACATGTTTGTTTCAAAAATACAATTTATATTTACAAAACTAACATAATAGAAAATAATCAATTGTCATATGCTACCACAACAAAGCATATATGTAAGAAGTTATACATGTTTTTGTTTTTCATCATATTTTGAGTGCAATTGCGATTCTACACCATGTTTACAAATTTTAACGTTGAGTCAAATGCATATTAAATTTTAGAAATAGAAAACTCGAGATGAAGTAAGGTGTTAATATCTTAATAAAAAAAATTGATGTTAATTGTTGGGTTAACTCAAAATATAACCAAAACATGGAAAGTTAACATATAACCATCATAATTCAAAATTTCAAATCAATGAATATAAATAAAATCAAACAGAAAAATTATCGCAAACAACCTCGCGCTTGCGCGGGGCTTTAGTCCCTAGTGTATATAAACAATAAAAAGAGAGGAACAAAAAAACGTGATTTGCAGAGAGGATGTAGTTGCAGAGAGAGTGTTGTACTTTGTTGGAGTGGTTGGTGGTACAGATGAGATTGTCTTGTGGCCGTGTGAGTCATGTATGTGCTCCGTTGTATGTTTACTACTACAACATGGAGAGGAACCCTTTCAGAAGAGTTGAGATCAACGGAGTGGATGCGTTTAAGAAGTCTTTAGTTCATATGTCTCTAGACTATGTCGGATATATTTGATCATGACTGCAATGAGCCGTTTCCTTTCCTTTCCCTTACGTCAAATGACTATGTCGGAAATATTTGAACAAAGTCTAGAGACTGATCTCTGGGACGTAAGGGAAAGGAAAGAAACGGCTCATGTGATCATGGGCCTGTTGTTGCGATAGTTTGCTTTGATGTGAGGTTGGAGAAGTATAGAGTTATTAACAAGGCTGAGGGCATGGATCTAATTTGTGGTACTCTTGTAAACCACAAGGGAAAATTAGGTCTTCTTAATGGAGGAAGCAGACGTTTTGAGCTGTGGGTTCTAGTAGACGCAGAGACGCGTGAATGGTCGAAGAATGTATCCGTATTGCCACAACCTCTGTGGGAGAATGCAGCTGGAAAGGACAAGTTATACATTGTTGGAGTGGCTGGTGGTACTGATGAAGTTGTCTTGTGGCGCTATGTAAATCGGCTCTATGTTTACTACTACAACATGGAGAAGAACACTTTGAGAAGAGTTAAGATCAATGGAACGGACGCGGTTAGGGACTACACAGCGTACATGACGCTAGACTATGTAGAGGACGTGAAGCTTATGGAACATGTTTAGGGGTTTATTTACAACATCGGCTCTTACTTCTTCTTCTTAGGCTATCGGATGAATATTTTCTGTTATTTTCTATGTGATGGTGAGTGTATGAAGTTGAGTTTTAGCTTCTAAAGTCGCCAGTTTGTGAGTTATGTATTCATGAGTTCTATGTTTGAAGATCATATTGAAACCACTTCAACAAGGCCGAAGAGTATGTTTGCGCCAATCCATCAGAGTTGTTTAACTTAAGCAGTTCAGGATAACTGAATAGTGCCTCTCCATATCTAGCATTCCCCTCGTTTGTAATTATGTATTAAGGCTTTTGTTATGTGTTTTCTAAAGTTACTTGTATTTAGTGTGTTTTCATGAAAATCTTTCAAGTAAGAGAAGTGAAGTTACTCTCAGTTTATGTCTTACTGTTTGTAACATCTTTAACTACTTATATGAGTTTGAAAAAAAAAGCCAGCTCGTATTTGTATGGCAGATTCTAGAAACTCTTGTTATTGCAAACTCTTCAAATACTAATGCAAAACAGACAAGTCTAATAAGATGTAATCTTTTTGACGCTAAACCAAAAAGCATAGAGAGAAGTGTTTTAAATTTCAAGAAATGTTTAGAATGTTATTTATCAAGAAGAGAAGTTTAATACTTTGTTCTGCTTCTTCACTCTCATGACTGCGATGATATAGGAAATATTACACATTTATTTAGGCATATCTATATATATAAAACACAGTTGGGGTCTCTTCTCGGAGCGCCACGTCAGCAAACTCTCTTTTAAACAATGCTCTTCCAATTCTCTTTTAAGACTAATAATTTATTACATCTATCACTTAATCATAATAGAATTTGAAAACTCATTTTGTATAAGAAAATATTTTTATATATTGATCTAAATAAATTCTAATTTAATAATTTTAGTTTTATCAAATAGATTTTAATAATTTAACAATAATAATAATAATAATAAAATGAACGGAATGACGCAAAACTGTATGATAACGAGACGGGAAGAAACAAGAAGGGACAAGAAGAAACAAGATTTTGCTTACTCTTATTATATTTAGAGACGGGACAAGAAGAAACAAAAAGACCAAGATGGGACAAGACAAGACAGGAAAAAACATAATGAGACAGGATGGGACTAGACGGGATGGATATGACGGAAAGGACGGGATGAAAAGAAACATAATGGAACGGAAAAAAGTGAATTTAGCATATCCCTAATTATATTTAGGGACATGACGGAAAAAAACGGAAAGAACGGGATGAGACTGGACAAAACGGGATGGAACAGTCTCAGACATGATGGGATTGCACGTGACGATACGGACATGGCGAATGGGACGGGAAAGAACGGACATGATAAAAGGAACAAAATGGGAGGAATGAGAAATGATGGTTCAAAATTTTTGCGTAAACTTAATTATATTTAATTTTCGGAAATTTTTGAGTAACCCTAATTATATTTGATTAATATGTGTATGACATTTTTAAAATAATAATAAATCATAGAATTAAATTAAATTTATGAAAAATAATAAAATCAACACAACAATTTCAATTCCCGCGCGAAGCGCGGATCACCCCTAGTTAAGCATATTATTAAGCCGACTTACTCTTTGATAAAGGATTTTTTAATTCTCTCAATAATTCAATTCAGAAAATTTAAAGAAAAAAATTCTTCTTCTATCTATCTCCATATTGTTAATAAGCTTAACCCTAGCTGACGAGGGGATCTAGTATTCAAAGCGCCATGAAAACAGGGCAGCGGCAGTCCGTCTCTCGAGCTTCTTCGACCTCAACGAATGCAAAAGAAGAAAACTCAGAGACGATCCCAACTGATCTCATGATCGAAATCTCTTTGAGATTACCAAGGAAGTCTATAGCGAGATGCCGATGCGTATCAAAGCTCTGGAACTCCACGCTTGACAGTCCATATTTCATCGAGTTTTTGACTCGCCCTCGGTTCTTGTTCTCCTTCCAAAAAGACAGTGAGCTCTGCTTCCTCTCGTCGCCTCAAGATGAGAACTCGTCTCTTGTAGACGCAGATTATCATCTCAAGCTCAAATTGGAAGACTCCTTTAAAGTTTGTGGTCATGTCCGAGGTTTGGTCTGCCTTCATGATCTTTGGGGGATAAAGGGAAAGAAAGAAACGGCTCCGGTGATATGTAACCCAAGAACGGGACAGTTGTTGCCTTTACCCAAAGTGAAGACGAAGAGGAGCATTCCAGTGAAGAGTTTTTTTGGGTTTGATCCGACTGATAAAGAATTCAAGGTATTGACCATAACCGATGGGGTTCAGCATCGAGTTCTGACGTTAGGGACTCGAAAACTTGAATGGAGAATGGTCGAATGTGGCATTCCACGTCATTATCCTACTAGAGATGGGATATGCATCAATGGTGGTTTGTATTATTTAGCTGGTTTTCAAGGGCCTGGTCATGTGCCTTTTCGTGCGATAGTATGCTTTGATGTGAGGTTGGAGAAGCATAGAGTTATTAACGCAGCTGAGGGCATGGATCTAGATCAAGGGACTCTTGTAAACTACAAGGGGAAGATAGGTGTTCTTGCGTCAGATGATGTTTCTTGGATAGACAGACTTACCGGAGAGAGTAGACATATTGTGTTGTGGGTTCTAGTAGACACAGAGACACATGAATGGTCGAAGCATGTATATGAATTGCCACAACCTCTGTGGAAGAATGTAGTTGCGTTATACTTTGTTGGAGTGACTGGTGGTACCGATGAAGTTGTCTTGTGGCCGCGATCTGTATGTGCTCCGTTCTATGTTTACTACTACAACATGGAGAGGAATACTTTGAGAAGAGTTGTGATTAAAGGAATGGATGCGGCGGTTAGGTACTATGGAGGTTGCATGACTCTAGACTATGTAGAGGACCTGAAGCTTATGAGACATGTTTGGTGCTCACTTGTATTGTTGCTGCTACCTTAAGTTAGAGAAGTGAAGTTACTTTCAGTTTATGTGTTAATGTTTGTAACATCGTATCTACTTGTAAGGATGCTACCATCCTTACTCTGGTACCAAAGTTCCCAGGTGCCTCACGAATCTCTGACTATAGGCCCATATCTTGTTTAAATACCTGGTACAAGGTTGTCTCCAGACTGCTTGTCTCTAGGCTGAAACCTATCCTCTCAGACCTGATTCTGCCTAGTCAAACTGCCTTTGTAAAAGATAGACTGTTAGTGGAGAATACAGTACTAGCTGGTGAATTGGTAAATGGGTACCATAAATCAAAGGGACCTAAGAGAATTACCATTAAAGTGGACATCGCCAAAGCCTTTGATAGTGTGTCATGGGATTTCCTCTTCAACTGTTTGAAAGGCCTCTCACTTCCTCCGCAATACATACACTCGCTGAAATTGTGCATCTGCACAACAAACTTCACCATAGGTTACAATGGAATGGTTCAGGGTTACTTCAGAGGGAAAAGAGGGTTAAGACAAGGAGATCCTCTCTCCCCCTATTTGTTTGTAATCGCCATGAACTGCCTATCACACATGCTTAACAAAGCGGCTGAGGAAGGAAAAATTAGCTACCATCATCAGTGTAGGGCATCGAAACTTACTCATTTGTGTTTTGCGGATGACCTCCTTATCTTTGTGGACGGTTCCCTTGACTCGGTTCAGAAGGTTCTTCAGGTGCTCCATGAATTCCATCTCCGGTCAGGGCTTGCCGTCAGCGTACAGAAATCGAGTTTCTTCGCCTCTGGGATGTCTGACCATGAATGCGACTTGATCAAATTCTCAACAGGGATGCCCCAAGGAACTCTACCCGTGCGTTACTTAGGCGTTCCACTCTTGCACAAAAAAGCTAAGCATTCACAATTGTGAATTTCTAATCCAACAAGTCAAGGAAAAGGTTACCTCATGGAGTGCAAGGTCTCTCTCCTTTGCAGGTCGACTCCTTCTCATCAAAACAGTGATAGCTGGGATCTCAACTTTTTGGTGCTCGTCTTTCATACTACCTAAAGCCTGCATCAAAAGGATAAACTCTCTCTGTAGTATCTATCTCTGGAAAGGCAATATAGAGGGTCACAACTCAGCAAGAGTCTCTTGGGCGACTGTTACTTTAACAAAAGAGGAAGGAGGTTTAGGAATAAAAGACCTGGTAGTGTGGAATAGAGCATGCTGTCTTAAGCTTATCTGGCTCCTTTTCTTCCAATCAGGCTCTGTGTGGGTAGCCTGGTTCACAAAGGAGGTGTTGGAAGGCAACGTGAGTAACTTCTGGATAGTAAAAACTCACAGAGACAATTCTTGGCTTGCGAATAAATTGATAAAGATGAGGGACGATGTTTACCCATGGATAAAGATAAAGCTAGGAGATGGAAGGGCTACGAGGTTCTGGTCAGACAACTGGTCTCCGTTAGGGAACATAACAGCCTATCTGCAAGGGACAAGAAACACTAGGCTTGAAATTCCAGTTTTGGCAACGCTGGCTAGCTTGAATGGAAATGATAGGTGGTTGCTACCTCTTGCAAGGTCAGAAAACATGGTCAATTTACAAGCTTATCTCACGACAGTTACTCTATCGGATCAAGAAGACACTTATGAATGGGAGGTTGATGGAGTCGTATTAAAGAAATACTGTATAGGAGGGATCTATCACAAGCTAAGAAGAGAGCAACAAGCAGTTCCTTGGTCTAGAGCTGTTTGGCAAAATAGTGGAATTCCCAAACATAACTTCCTTACTTGGTTGTTTGTTCTGAATCGCTGCCTTACTAGAGATCGTATCTTGGCTTGGGGACTTCAAACGGACGCGAAGTGTCTCCTCTGCAACTCTGGAACTGAATCCCGAGATCATCTCTACTTCGACTGTCTTTTTAGCTGGGGAATCTGGAGACATATGGCGAAACGGAGTAACCTGCGACCTGCACGCATGTGGGCAGACTCCTTAGCTCAGATGAACTCTCTATCAGCGGGTAAACATTGGAATAAACTTACGCTCTTGGCTTGGCAAGCTTCGATCTATTGGATATGGCATGAAAGAAATGGGAGACTACATCGACAAATCTTCAATTCAGGTGAATCAATCCATGGGTTAATAGATAGGCAAATCAGGAACCGAATTGCGAGTTACCGAGATGTGAACACAAAGATGGCTTCAAAACTCCTGCAACTTTGGCTTTCAACGGAGAGTGTTGGATGAAGATCTGCGACTGAAATCGTCCGTACGACTTCCTTTTCTCTTTTGAGAATTTCAAGTCTGAAATTAATCACTAATGGGCATATTCCTTTGGGCTGGTTCAATTTAGATCCGAAATTACAACTAGGTGCTTCTTTTGGGCTTCTAAAAAACTCTATAGCCTGTAGGTTTGTAATATTATTTTTTTTCTGCATTAATTAAGAAAGCCAGTTCTAAAAAAAAAAAACATCGTATCTACTTGTAAAAAAGCTAACAAGTGTGGCAGATTCAACGAGAGGATGATAGAAACTCTTCAAATAGTAATCCGAAACAGATAAGTCTAAGATGAAATCTTTTGACGCTAAACGAAAAACCAAAGAGGGAAGAGTTTTATATTACAAGAAATTATGAGAGTGTTAGTTATATGATATCAGGCAGCATAAGAAGAAGAAGTTGATAAACTTGAAAGGCTATAGTGACTGATTAGATTATCAATTTTGTTTTATGGTTTACGTGATCGGACTAATAAAATTAAGAACCTTTATAAAATAATAATCAAATAAGAAAATAAACATTATAAGATAATAAATTTCTTCAGTCCTAATTCAAGCCCATGTAAAAAATAGCAAAATGCGATAAGATAATAAGATAATAACATTTTTGAAACTCTTATGCAAAAATATAGTCCCAACAATAAAATAAAGTAATAACTACAAAACTTAGGCATATATATCTAAATATCTACGGCAATTTAGTAAAATATGACTCTATTGTAGTTTGTCTTTTCTAAAAGTTGGATTCTCATTGGAGTTATTTGAATAAAATTTAGTAAAATATGACTCTAAGACTACAAAGTATAGAGAAAATTTGAATAAAAAAACTGGAAAAAAAAATATATTTCTATAAAATTTCTTGTTTTTGATAAAATATTTTTATAAAATAATAATTTTTATTGATAAAATAATAACTCTATATAATAATTTTTCAAAGTCTCAACATTATTATTTTATAGAAGTTTTACTGTAATTGGATAAAAAAATTACTTGTATTTGCTACGTAGTACACCTTATCTACGGCATATTCAACTAGGGGATGGTATAAATAAAGTCTTGTTACCTAATGAACAAAAAAATAAACTTTGGCCTACGGCATCAATTATAGAAATAGGATCAGAGGCATATTTTATAGTTTCATTTATGTTCATGAGGCAAATATTATGGTTTCACATAAGCGATATTGCTTCCTTACTCGAGCTTTTATCCAATCTTTTCCAGATATTTAAATTATTTGTTTTTATTATAGTGTAAACTTTTTTTGGTGACATCTGCAAAGTCTCTAAGTATCAAATATATATATTGGAATAAATTTTTTTTGCTTATGCCATCCAAAATCCTTGGCTGATATACATTCTGGTCATTGACTCATTTCTTGAATCTAAATATGACTCGTATCATTTTAAGTCCATTTCTGAATAATATTTGATGAGACTTTGTTAGAGACTTAAAATGCTACCTTAAACTTTAGAACATAGAGAACAGGTTACTGTATAAACTATTGCGGATGACGGATGACGGATGGTTGGGAATGTTGTAGGTTTTGCTATAGTTTCTCAAGGCATTGCTATTTTTATAGGCTTTTAGATTTGCTTTGTCTTTTGAGTGTTTATGATCATCGATTAATTTTAAGGTAGATCGTATATCAGGTTATAAACTACACCATTCCCAAATCCCAACCATTCGTCATGAACTACGTATTCTAGGTCACGTTGAAATCTTTCTAACCAAATCTCTATATCTCTACGAACACCTTTGCATTCCAAAAATCTCCATATCGCAACAGCAAATCGTTCAAAATGTTCAAATCCCAATTAATTTGTGAATTCGCACTCAAATCGTTTAAATTAAATATAACAAACTAATTTACTTGTTTGGTGAGAGATAGGAAGATGACTTGTTACTTAAGACTTAAGAGAGGTACGTCGGTCATGTTATTACTATTGGGCCTAATAGGGGTCCATCTTGGGGATCGTTGCCTAAAAAGAAATAACTTGATATCGAAGAAAAAGACACATATTAGGATCTAGGGTTTAGCGTCTCTAGTCTGGCCATGGAAAAGCTGAAGCAGAAGATGGAGGTCTCGTACTCGGACCCGATCCCATCTGATCTCCTTGTAGATATATTCTCTCGACTCCCTGCAAAGTCAATATTTAGGTTTCGTTGCGTATCTAGGTTATGGAGATCCATACTTGGCCTTGCTTATTTCCCTGAACTGTTCTTCACCAAGTCTTTAGCTCGTCCACGGCTCTTGTTTGCCATCCTAGTTGGTAGTGATTTGTTCTTCTTCTCTGCATCTCAACCTCAAAATCCACTTGACAACTCCACTCTTGTAGCCACCCGTTATAATAGTAGGTGTTTCCACAACTACTCTCCATCTGAAACGAGAACACCGCTTAGTGAATTGGTATTTCTTCATGAATGGCAAAGAAAGAAGTGGATGATTTGTAACCCCGTCACTGGGGAGTCCATAACCTTACCCAAAGTGGAAGCCTCAGCTGGAAGAATATTTTTTGGGTTTGATCCGATTAACAAACAGTTGAAAGTCTTGTGTGCGAGTTGGTCATATAATACTCATTGGGTTTTGACATTGGGGAGTAGTGTAAAACCTTTGTGGAGATCGATTGCAGGCGATCCCAAATTTTCTATACGTCAGAGAGCATACAAAGCTGGTGAAATATGCATAAGTGGTGTTTTGTATTACATAGAACATCAACATTACATTGAAGGATCATGTATGTTAGTTTGTTTTGACTTTAGCTCTGAGAAGTTGGGCTATATTAAGATAGATAAAGAAATGTTAGATGGGACTCTGATCAACTACAAAGGTAACTTAGGGGTATTAGTAAAACGTCATTATGAAGTTGTGTTGTGGGTTCTTGAAGAAGATGCTGGAAACCATAAATGGTGCGAGTCTCTCTGCCTACGGTCTCGCATAAGCTTATCGAAGAGGATCGGGAACCAATTTAGCATTGTAGGAATGACCGGTGCAGGTGAAATTGTGTTTTCCAGTTGTGCTCTGGAGGCAAAGGAGCCTTTCTACATTGTCTATTACAATATCGAGAGGAACACTTTTGCGAGAGTCAATATTCATACTCCCGGATTTGAAGAGCTTCACCATCGTACAGTTTTCATTACCACGTCGCTAGACTATGTCGAGAATCTCAAGCCTTTGCAAAGTGTCTTCGACAGCTTCATAACTTGAGACCTCTCTGTTATTTATTTCTAATGTCGAGAATCTCAAGCCTTTGCAAAGTGTCTTCGACAGCTTCATAACTTGAGACCTCTCTGTTATTTATTTCTCTTAAGATTTTGATATTGTTTTTTTTTTGGTGAAGAAGATTTTGATATTGTTAGATTTACATAACGCATTGATTAGGATGCGCAAAATCAAGATGAGAAGGTTTCTAGATTCAAGAAATGACCAGAATAATATTTATCGAGAAGAAGTTGAAACTTGAAAATATAGGTGATAACTAAGTCAAATCACATTATGATCGTCCGGGTCGGGTCAAAACAAGTATGGGCCGGGTCGGGTCGGGTCAGGTTGGATCACGAACCAGTACTAAAACAAGTAAGGTTGTACTGTATGTATTTTTAAAAAATCCCAAAATCTCAGATTGAAATGATGAGAACATAACCGGTGCTCCTACGGTTACTCCTATTTTAATGGGATTATTTCCCCATTCTTTCACGTTTCAATATTTGTAGTTGGCAGTTATTTATGTGTGTATTTAAGAGATGATTGTCTTATGAAATGATATGAAGAAAATATTGAAGTTACTTGTGTCTTAAGAACCAAAGTGTTCTTGTTCTTTGTTGTTCTTGATCATCATTAGTTTTGTCCTAATTTGGGACCTAACATTGAAATCCCTAGATCCGACATTCTTTACAATATTCTTGTATCAAAGTTTCAAAGTTTGGTTGTAAGCAAGCAAATTCGTGGGAAGCAGCGAACAGCTTCAAGGTTTAATTTCTCTTTTTTCGTTTACATTTGTTTTTTGCTTGATGTTTTGTTGGCGATTCCATGAAATTGAATATACGAGGAGGAGCTTGGTTTCGTTTTGATCGTTTTCCCCATTTTGTTGAGAGTTTTGTGATAATGAATTGATATAAGTTTTATGTATAGCCACTCTTTACTTGCTTCACTCTCTTCTACTGTGATAGTGATTCTAAAATGAGTTTAAATTTACGATGACAATGACTGTAACTGAACCTTCAGTGGCTCGAAAGATTCCAATTTCTCACCATTGAACTCGAAAGTTTTGAACTTTGAAAATTACAAGATCTTTCTTAGCTTTCTTTAGCAACCACCCATTTTATAAAGTTGAAGGAAATTGTTTACATTTACACAGGCTGGTGATTGGTGAAAGGACCAGATATTGTTGCTCTTGAATTTTTTTTTACAGAATATTTTGTTTTGGTTAAGAAATACTCTCACTTGATTAGTCTTTTACACGATTTTGTTACCGCAACTTATGCTTTTAGTGTTTCAGATTTATCTAGTTTATAGATTTACCTTGTCCAATTTATTTTACACGATCAAAAGATGTTTTGTAGCCATTCCGACATATGCTGTTCACACAGGTTCTGTCTTTTTTTGCTGCAGAGACGTCTGTTTTGTTGTAGTTCCTTAATTTTGATCCTGTCTTTTTGCCTGTATCAGCCATGAAAACACGTCGGAGGGAGTACGTCTCTGAGGATGGTCTAACCGTTTCCAGGCGCAAATCAACGAATGCAAAAGGAGAAAACTCAGAGACGATCTCAGCTGATCTCATGATCGAAATCTTCTTGAGATTGCCGAGGAAGTCTGTAGCGAGATGTCGATGTGTATCAAAGCTCTGGAACTCCACGCTTCACAGCCCATATTTCATCGAGTTTTTGACTCGCCCTCGGCTCTTGTTCTCCTTCCGAAAAGACCGTGAGCTCTACTTCTTCTCGTCCCCCCAAGATGCGAACTCGTCTCCTGTAGACGCAGATTATCATCTCAAGCTCAAATTGGAAGACTCCTTTAGAGTTTGTGGTCATGTCCGAGGTTTGGTCTGCCTTGATGACCTCCGGGTGATAAAGGAAAGGAAAGAAACGGCTCCGGTGATATGTAACCCAAGAACGGGACAGTTGTTGCCTCTACCAAAAGTGAAGACGGAGAGGAGGGTTGGAATGTGGAGTTTTCTTGGGTTTGATCCGACTGATGAAGAATTCAAGGTATTGACCATAACCCGTGGGGTTGAGCATCGAGTTCTGACGTTAGGGACTCGAAAACTTGAATGGAGAATGATCGAATGTGGCATTCCACGTCATTATCCTCGCAGTGATGGGATATGCATCAATGGTGGTGTGTATTATAGAGCTTCGGTCAATAGATATGCTGTTGGGATAGTTTGCTTTGATGTGAGGTTGGAGAAGTTTAGCTATTGTTCGGTCAATAGCTTCTGTTATTAACGAAGCTGAGGGCATGCATCTAAGTCTTGGTACTCTTGTAAACTACAAGGGTAGGTTAGGTGTGTTTATTGAAGAAAGCAGACATTTTGAGCTGTGGGTTCTAGTAGACGCAGAGAGGCATGAATGGTCGAAGCATGTATCCGTATTGCCACAGCCTCTGTGGGAGAGGGTAGTTGCAGAGCAAATGTTATACATTGTTGGAGTGGCTGGTGGTACTGATGAAGTTGTCTGGTGGCCGCGATATGGATGTGCTCCCTTCTATGTTTACTACTACAACATGGAGAGGAACACTTTCAGAAGAGTTGAGATCAAAGGTATGTACGTGGTTAGGGACTATGCAGATTGCATGACACTAGACTATGTAGAGGACCTGAAGCTGATGGAACATGTTTAGGACTAACTTGAGAGTGATAAGATCAATCCGGTCTTTCCATTTCTTGCATTTCCTGTTTTTTTGTTGTTGTTGTATTGTTGCTACCTTAAGCAAGAGAAGTGAAGTTACTTCTTACTGTTTGTAACACCTTATGTACTTGCTATGACTTGTAAAAAGTTAACGAGTGTGGCAGATTCAACGAGAGAATGATAGAAACTCTTGTTATTACAAAGTCTTCGAATAGCAATCCGAAACAGAGAAGTCTAAACGGAATAACCAAACAGAGAAGAGTTTTTAGATTTCAAAAATGATCAGAATGTTTGTTATATCAAGCAGAAAAAGAAGAAGAAGAAGAAGTTGATAAACTTGAAAGCTATAGTCAAATTATCAAGAAGGTTTCTTGTTTTCACACTTTGCTAATTTGGAACGGATTTTTCTTGTAAAGATGAGACACGGGTCGGGTGGGTCAGGAGTCATTGTGCGGAGTTACCGTGCATTTGTAATTATGATCCAAAACAAGTGTGGGCTGGTCGGGTCGGGTCGGGTCGGTCGTATCAGGTTGGATCATAAACCAGAACTAAAACAAGTAAAGGTCTGTCCATGTTTTTTTTTAAATCCCTAAAACTCAGTTTGAAATCCCTAGATCCGACATTCTTTACCATATTCTTGTATCAAAGTTCTAAGTTTGGTCGTAAGCAAGCAAATTCGTGGGAAGCAGCGAACAGCCTCAAGGTTTAATTTATCTTTTTTCGTTTTACATTTTTTTCTGGGTTTTTGCTTGAAGTTTTTGTTGGTGATTCCGTGAAATTTGAATATGCGAGGAGCTTGGTTTCGTTTTCCCCAATTGTTGAGAATTTTGTGTAATGAATTGATAGAAGTTTGTGTATAGCCACTCTTTACTTGCTTCAATCTCTTTTACTGTGATTGTGATTCTAAATGACATGACTGTAACTGAACCAGGGTTCAAGGTTCCAATTTCTCACCATTGAACTCGAAAGTTTTGAACTTTGGAAAATACAAGATCTTAGCTTTCTTTACCAACAACCCATGTTATACTATAGTTGAAGGAAATTCTTTACATTTACACAGGCTAATGATTGGTGGAAAGGAGACAGATACCTTTTTTATTTACAGACTATTTTGTTTTGATTAAGGAATACTTTCACTTGATTAGTCTTTTACACGATTTTGTTACCGCAACTTATGCTTTTAGTGTTTCGATTTATCTAGTTTATAGATTTGTCTGAAAACTATTTGAGTATGATTTGGTTTGATTGCTTTTAAAGGTCACACTCGTGTCCAATTTAGTGTTTGTAGTTATTTGATCAAGAAATGTTTTGTAGCCATTCGGACATATGTTATTCACACAGGTTCTTTTTTTTTTTTTGCTGCAGAAGACGTTTGTTTTCTTGTACTTCCTTAATCTTGATCGTTTATTTTGGTCCTGTATCAGCCATGAAAACACGGTGGAGGCAGTACGTGTCTGACGATAGCCTAACCGTTTCCCGACGCAATTCTCGAGCTTCGACCTCAACGACGAATGCAAAAGAAGATAACTCAGAGACGACGATCTCAACTGATCTCATCACCGAAATCCTCTTGAGATTGCCTGGGAAGTCTGTAGCGAGATGTCGCTGCGTATCGAAGCTCTGGAACTCCACGCTTCGCGATCCGTATTTCACGGAGCTCTTCTTGACCATGTCTTTGACTCGTCCTCGGCTCTTGTTCTCCTTGGTAAAAGACACGAGCTCTACTTCTTCTCGGCACCTCAAGGTGAGAGCTCCTCGTCTCCTGTAAGCGCAGATTATCATCTCAAGTTCAAATTAGATGATTCATACGAAGTCTGTGGTCATGTCCGAGGTTTGGTCTGCCTTAATGATCTCCGGATCGTAAAGGGAAGGAAAGGAACAGCTCCGGTGATATGTAACCCAAGCACAGGACAGTTGTTGCCTTTACCAAAAGTGAAGACGAAGAGAGCGTTCAAGTGAAGAGTTTTCTTGGGTTTGATCCGACTGATCAAGAATTCAAGGTACTGACCATAACCGATGGGTTGAGCATCGAGTTCTGACGTTAGGGACTCGAAAACTTGAATGGAGAATGGTCGAATGTGGCATTCCACGTCATTATCCTAATAGTGATGGGATATGCATCAATGGTGGTGTGTATTATTCAGCTTGGGTTAATAACTCGGCTCGTGCGATAGTTTGCTTTGATGTGAGGTTGGAGAAGTTAGAGTTATTAACGCTGCTGAGGGCATGGATCTAATTCTTGGTACTCTTGTAAACTACAAGGGTAAGCTAGGTGTTCTTAATGGAGGAAGCAGACGTTTTGAGCTGTGGGTTCTGGAAGACGCAGAGACGCATCAATGGTCGAAGCATGTATCTGTATTGCCACTACATCTGTGGGAGAATGGTGGTTATACATTGTTGGAGTGGCTGGTGGTACCGATGAAGTTGTCTTGTGGTCGGAATCTGTAAATCCGTTGTATGTTTACTACTACAACATGGAGAGGAACACTTTCAGAAGAGTTGAGATCAAAGGAATGGACGCGGTTAGGGACTATACAGAGTACATGACTCTAGACTATGTAGAGGACGTGAAGCTTATGGAACATGTTTAGGACTCACTTGAGAGTGATAGATCAATCCAGTCTTTCCATTTCTAGCATTTCCTGTTTTTTTGTTGTTGTTGTTGTATTGTTGCTACCTTAAGCAAGAGAAGTGAAGTTACTTTCAGTTTGTGTTACTGTTTGTAGCACCTTATGTACTTGCTATGACTTGTAAAAAGCTAACATGTGGCAAATTCAACGCGGGGATGATAGAAACTCTTGTTATTACAAAGTCTTCAAATTGTAATCCGAAACAGACGAGTCTCAGATGACTTCTTTTGAAGCTAAACCTAAAACCAAAAACCAAGGAGAGAAGAGTTTCTAGATTTCAAGAAATGATGATCAGAATGTTAATTATCAAGAAGAAGAAGTTTGATAAACTTAAAAGGCTATAGTGATTGATGATTAGTCAAACTGAGAGAAGGTTTCTTGTTTTCACACTTTGCTAATTGGATAAAAGAAAATTGACTTTTGGGTACGGGTCGGGTCAGGCGTCATTGGGTGGGTAAATCGGAGTTACCGTGCATTTGGTCGCATTGGATAATTTGCCTTTCTTCTTGGGCGGACCAATAAAAGCCTCTCTTTTGAATCTCTCCACAGATCTATCAGACTCTCGCCATTCTTCTTCTTCCTCCTTCTTCTTCACTCTCGTGTCTGCAACAATTTCGTTTGCCCGTTGAAAAAGGTGAAACCTTTATTCTCTCTCGTTTCCTTCAATTCCTAACTCAGTTATGTAAAGAAATGAATTTTCTTCTCTTTTGGGGAGCTTCGTGTCGTTTCAAATTCCGGAAATTTTGAATTGGGTTTTACTCGTATTCTTAGTCTTATGTAATCGAATTGAGGTTATTAGGGAGATTCTAGGTCTGCGCTGGTCACTGCTCTTGTAAACTCATCAACCCTAATCTAAAGTTTTCCAACAATTTTGCTGTAAAAGTTTTAAAGTGAAACAATTTTGGTTCTTGTTGCTTGAAGTTTCATTTTTTATGAGAGTTTTCAATTGGGGTTTCAGGGGAAATAACATGTGCTGGGATTGAATTGAGTACTCAAAATTGTTTTCTTTATATATTTGGATTCTGAATGTTGTTTCTTTTGTTATGCAGGGTGTCTCTGGTGGATGATTAGTGAAAAGTTTCTAGGATATATTATAGTTCTCTTTGAGTTTTAAAAATGGAAGCTTTAAGCGGCTCTGGTTTGGAAGATCAGAAAATTGACCTCAATTCTGGTAAAAGGTCACCTGAGAGCTCCATTCTTCACTGATTACTGATTTAGGAAACTAATTCAGGATTTTCATTTTCGTTATTTCCTTTTCGTATAGTGTGAATTGCTTTCACGCTTCAGTATAAATAAAGATGTGGTCTAGTTTGTGAGACTCATCCTAGTTAGAGAGAGAGGGCATTGGAGAGTTTATTAGTTTTCAGTTAAAGGGAAAAGCTTTGAGCTTTTGTTTTGGGTTTTTGTTGTCTTATATCTTGTTTCAGTAGAGGAAGAGCTTTGGGTTTAAGATCTGTTTTGTGACTCTTATAACTCTATATCAGGTGCAGATGGGGAATGGAATTTAGACATGGAGGAAGACATGGATATAACAGAAGATGATTTCAGAAATGTGTCTGGCCAGTTTTCAGGAACATCGGCAGTCTAGTTTGTGAGACTCATCCTAGTTAGAGAGAGAGGGCATTGGAGAGTTTATTAGTTTTCAGTTAAAGGGAAAAGCTTTGAGCTTTTGTTTTGGGTTTTTGTTGTCTTATATCTTGTTTCAGTAGAGGAAGAGCTTTGGGTTTAAGATCTGTTTTGTGACTCTTATAACTCTATATCAGGTGCAGATGGGGAATGGAATTTAGACATGGAGGAAGACATGGATATAACAGAAGATGATTTCAGAAATGTGTCTGGCCAGTTTTCAGGAACATCGGCAGTGGAGGTTAGGGATGCTGTCAATGTGAGTGTCGAAAGCAAGAGAGTGGATGTTAGTTGTATCCTTTGAGTATAGTTAATTCACAAACACTTTAGGATTGACTATGAATCATTTGCTCTGCGACTTGAAATGCATGTGATTATGATTGCTTTTGTTTTCCATAATTCAATGTGTCAGCTAAATCTGGTGTAAAGAGAGCCAGAACAATCTCTCAGGAACAGCAACCATCGGTCCATGTTACTTATAAACACTTAACAAGGTTAGGTGATGAAAACAAGACTCTTTAACTTGACCACAAGTAACTTTTTGACATTTGAATGCTCAAGCATTGCTTTCATTATATGATTGTTGGTGCTCTACTTTTTGTTTTGATTCTTGTTATCTTGTGTTTCGCAGAGCTAGTAAGCAGAAGATGGAAAGTTTATTACAGCAATGGGCAGAATGGGAGGCAGAGCAAAATGCTTTGTCCCAGGTAGCTGCTAAGATTTGAGCTTGTCTAAAGTGCTTTCTAAATGTATTATTGTGAATGAAGCTTTAGGAAGCGTTGCAAGAAATGATAAGAATCTTTTCTTTGGTAATCTGATTAGGATCAGGATCAAGATCAAGAACAAGGACTTGAGTCTGGCGATAAGACATATTTCCCTGCTTTGCGTGTGGGATTGCAGAAGACATCATCTGTGGTGAGTGACAAATGTTGTCAAGCATATAAGGGCTCAAAGCTCTCAGATTTTTGCTGATTGATACATTCTTCTTGTATGTGCAGTCGTTCTGGTTCGACTACCGAACCGGTCGCAATTCATTGAAAGAGTTTGTTCCAGTGGAAAGTATCACTACTCCTCTTTATAACCGTGGATTCTCATTTGGTTTAGATTCAGCCAATGGCTCAAGTAACTCGGAAGGGTAATTTCCTATAGTGAATGTGAGATTGATCCTTTAGTATCTATCTTGTGCATTCTTTTGAAAATTCTGCTGTCTTTTAATTGTTTTGCAGAGGCCTAGAGATTACTGATGATCCTCCACGTTGCTTCAACTGCGGCGCTTACAGTCATTCCATGAGAGAATGTCCAAAGCCATTTGATAGAGCAGCGGTTAGTACTGCGCGTAGGCAACATAAAAGCAAGAGAAACCAGACTCCTGGTTCTCGTTTACCGTCTCGTTATTATCAGAGTCCTCAAGGTGGAAAATATGATGGCTTGAAGCCTGGCTCAATTGATTCAGAGACAAGACAGCTTCTTGGTTTAGGGGTAAAGTTTCAACCTTCTTCTTGTTCTTGTTCTTGTATTCGAATTAGACTAGAGAAAATGAGCGATCTTTTCGTGCTTGTGTAGGAACTTGACCCTCCTCCATGGCTTCACAGAATGCGAGAGCTTGGATATCCACCTGGATATTTAAGTAAGCTCTTCTTGCTGCCCTTTCATCATCATCATCATCATCATCATCATCATACCAAAGTCAGCTTTGTTCATGACTTGGTTGTCTTTTGCTTTCTGTTTAGCTGTAGAAGAAGACGATCATCTCTCTGGAATCACTATATTTGGAGAGGAAGAAGAGACTAAACCAGAAGAAGTAGCAAAGACTGAGGAAGGTGAGATCTTGGAAGAAGCAGCAAGCATTCAAGAGCCGGAAAAGAAAATGACAGTTGAGTTTCCGGGGATTAACGCACCAATACCGGAGAACGCAGATGTTTTGTTATGGCAAGAGAGGAAACACTCAGGTAATGCTGCTTACTATCATGATCTTCTCCATCATCAACCTCGAGATCAGTATAGAAGCGAAATGGTTCTTCTCCAACATTGTAAAAACATGTCATTTATATATTGTTCTTCATAAAGCTCTATCTCTTTCTGTCACAGAGTCATAAAATCAAACCTTTAATAAGTTATATTCATTAAGCTTAAATCTGTTTTGCCTCCGATGAACTGTACCAAACTTGGAACATAACTACACATTTTGACTTGGAAACTTCAAGATCCTCTTCTCTGTATCCATCAACTTCTTCTCCAACATTGTAAAAACATGTCATTTATATGTTGTTCTTCGTAAAGCTTTAGACTTTCTGTCACGAGAAGAGGCAGGTCATAAAAATCAAACCTTTAATAAGTTATATTATTCGTCATTAAGCTTAAAGTCTTTCTCTTTCGATGATTCCAATGAATCACTCTTTCTCTCCTTAAATCCCATTTTCTCTCTCTCTCTCTCTCTCTCTCTCTCTCTCTCTCCCTGTCTGTGTCTTTCTCTCTTTCTTCACTCGGGCATTGTAATTGCCGAAGTCTCTGAAGAAAATGTCTCGTCTTCTACAAACATCATTCCTTCAGTCGACTACTTCGCTCCATTCGAGAACCGGAGCCTCCTCTGTTCCGGGTTTCCGGGTTAACAAGCCGAGAATCGTCCATGTGCGAGCGAAGATCAGAGAGATTTTCATGCCGGCGCTCAGCTCCACCATGACGGAAGGCAAAATCGTGTCATGGATTAGATCAGAAGGCGATAAGCTGAGCAAAGGAGAGAGCGTTGTGGTGGTTGAATCCGACAAGGCGGATATGGACGTTGAGACTTTCTACGACGGTTACCTCGCCGCAATCATGGTCGAAGAAGGCGGTGTTGCTCCCGTTGGATCCGCCATTGCTCTGTTAGCTGAAACAGAGGAAGAAATCGCCGATGCTAAGGCTAAAGCTTCAGGTGGTGGCAATTCTCAATCTCCTCCGCCTCCTCCTCCTCCGGCTTCTTCTCCCGCCGCTGCCGAAGCACCTGTGGCGGTTGAGAAGAAGGTTTCCGTTTCGGTTCCATCTCCGATTGCGTCTGCTGTGCATCCGGCGTCGGAGGGAGGGAAGAGGATTGTGGCTTCTCCGTATGCTAAGAAGCTAGCAAAGGAATTGAATGTGGAGTTGGCTGGTTTGATTGGAAGTGGACCAATGGGAAGGATTGTGGCTAAAGATGTGGAAGCGGCGGTAGCTGGAGGAGGAGCTGCTGTGAAAACAGAGGTAGCCACCGTGGCAGCGGCGGCGCCGGCTCCTGCTACTGGTGTAGAGCTGGGATCGGTGGTTCCGTTTACGACAATGCAAGGCGCTGTGAGCAGGAACATGGTGGAGAGTCTTGTGGTTCCTACTTTTAGAGTCGGATACACTATCAACACTGATGCTCTTGATGCTCTTTACAAGAAGGTGAGTTAAGTTTTTGAAAAATTAGAGTTAGTTTGGTGGAGATGATAGAAAAATTGGAGCTTGCATTGATTTTGATTGAAAACAGAGAAAAATTGGAGCTTGCATTGATTTTGATTGAAAACAGAGAGAAATATTGGAGCTTGCATTGGTTTTGATGGAAAACAGAGGAAAAATTAGAGCTTGCATTGATTTTGATTGAAAACAGATAGAAAAGTAGTTAGTTAATGGGAATGATAACGGTAAAGGTTTGAGCTTTAGGATTATTAGTAAAGTTGAAGAAGATTGGAGCTTTAGGATTATTAGTAACAACGCAACTCTATCTCTAAAGGACCTATAAGAACCATTGCACTGATTTGGGTGTCTTTGTTTTTTAACGTTTGATGTCATTAGTATACAAAGATAGTTTCTTGGCTCCACAACTTGTAAGTGTGTATATTGATTTGGTTAAAACTTGTTGTTTGTTTGTTTGGTTGGTTTTAGATTAAGTCGAAAGGAGTAACAATGACGGCACTACTAGCAAAGGCAACTGCGCTTGCACTAGCAAAACATCCAGTTGTAAACTCGTCTTGCAGAGATGGCAACAGTTTTGTGTATAACAAGAGCATCAACATCGCTGTTGCTGTTGCTATTGACGGTGGTTTAATCACCCCGGTGCTTCAGAACGCCGATAAGGTCTCTCTTTTGTTCACTAGTTTTTGAGTTTTACTCTGCTTCTGAAACTGGTATCTTAATGCATTGTTCTGTTACAGGTTGACATTTATTCATTGTCTAGAAAATGGAAAGAACTGGTTGATAAGGCCAGAGCCAAGCAGCTGCAGCCTCAAGAGTACAACACTGGTAAAAACCTGATACTAGAATGTAAAGATAGTCTTGATTCTTGATTCCTAATGTCCTTTTTGTTTATTTTAGGTACTTTCACTCTCTCTAACCTCGGAATGTTTGGTGTTGACCGGTTTGATGCCATTCTTCCCCCTGGAACTGTAAGTGTTTATTATCTTTTAGCCTAATGATTTTGCTAAGGTAACAGATCATTGATTGTCTCTGTCTGTGATCAATGAAGGGAGCGATTATGGCTGTAGGGGCATCACAACCTACAGTGGTTGCTACTAAAGACGGCCGCATGGGCATGAAAAGCCAGATGCAGGTAACTCTTAATATCAACCATCGCTACAACTAGTTCTTCGTCTCCTTGGGTTTCCATGGCACTTGTTAATGATGATGAATGTGAACACGCAGGTGAACGTGACGGCGGATCATCGTGTCATTTATGGAGCTGATCTTGCACAGTTCTTGCAAACATTGGCCAGCATTATTGAGGACCCAAAGGACCTTACATTCTAGGCAAAATTACTGGGTTTTTTTGTTTGTTTGTTTGCAGCACGAGTCTTCTCTACTTTTGGTTCTATTGGATCTTGTATTTCTTTATGCAGTAATCAGTTCCTTTGATAGAAAGAGTCAACCATTGATGAAGAGTAATGCTGAATATAATCATTTCTTTCTTGGTTCAATAAGAAAATTTGAAGTGTTTTTTTTTTTTGTGACTTGACTTCTTCGGTTGTATCATCAGTTGCCATAGTAGCATAGTGCTATTGGTTTTTGGCATATTATTGAGCTTTTGAGAATTCGAAAATTTGATTATCTTTAGACTTGAGTGAGTGAATTTTTTTGCTTTTCATCAACTACAATTTGCCACTAAATGGTCAGGACAAAGAGCCAGCAATAGTATCCATTACGTGTGCGTAAGGCTATGTTTTTATCCTCAACTACCCTAAGACACATGTCAAGTACTCTCTGTTCATCTTTGTCCTGTATTGTAATGACAATCTTTGGCCCTGTCTGGTATATATATATAAGTGACCAAAAACTAACAAGAAGCACAAACAGAACTAAGAACAAATCCGAATCAAAGAACCCTTTCAACAACTCATCCAAAACCCTAACAAGAAACAAACATGGCAAAGTTAAGAATCTAATTTCTTGCTCCCAGGACAATATAATATGGTTGTAGTTCCACTAAACTTGGAGCATAAGAAGAGAACACAAGTTGGTTATAACAGTATTCAAGTGGTTCCCTAGCTTCTCTGATATTCACAGTTCTGAAGTATCCATCAACTCCAATGATAAAACCTTTAAAAAAATGGTCTGATCCGGAAACAAGAGCGATTTTCTTGTCCTCGTCGATGAAGAAAGACATATCAACAACAAACGGATGGAATTCCAGTCTCAAGAATCTGCTCCACGATGATGCCGCAATATTGACCTCAATCTTCGTTGTGATCCAAATCTCCAATGAAAGATCCTCGCTGTAATGTGACACAGCGAGCTTCTCATCCCTAACACAGGATATGGTATTCTGAATGGAGCCAAACGGGAGAGCAAGAAGCGTTCCAAACCTCTCTGCTGTAAAATCAAAACAGAGTAAACCATCCGTTGATTTTCCTGCTTCTCGCCCTAAAAAGTAAGCGTTTCCCTTGAGAGACACGCAACCGCTTCTTATATTGCAGCCGGGGTTGAGATGAAGAATCCTCCATGAGTCAGAGTTAAAATCGTAGATTTCGTAAGAAACAACCAAAAGCCTCAAGATCTTGTGGTTACGGTTGTTGTTCTTGTCCTCGTACCCGACAGCATACATGTCTGATGAGTGAGACCTGTGAAAAAAGTCTATGGTTTGGAACCACTTGATCTGGCTCAAGTAAGGGTTCCACACAAAGCGCCAGCTATTGTCTTTGATGACACAAAAGATCAAACCGTCCCAGTGAAAGACTTCACATATCTCGGAATGGTTAGGTCTATGTGCTTGCTCTATAGATGGATCAACGAAGATGCTCTGACCGTGCAGCCCCCAGACGTGACCAGTGAAGATCTTACTCTTGGCTATGTTAAATATGTTTACTTGCTTTACAAGGAAGTCGCCGTCTGGGAATCGTTGGGGATCGAGATTGAATTCCATTGAACAAAGCTTAGAATCCATCACCATGAACCCTGTAAACTGTTTTCGATTCCTCGTTAAAGCATTCCAGGGTTTACAAGTACGTCTCACTGCCCTCAGATATTTCAATGGAACCCTAGATAATATTTCTTCTACCAATTCCCCTGGAAGATCTGACATTCTCGTCACCATTCTTTCAAACTTTAAAATAAACTTGTCCACTCTCTTCAACAGTTAAGTTAGGGTTTTGTGTTGGTTTCGGTTTCCTTCTAGGGTTTATATAACTTTCCAAATATTTTTACTTTTTATGTTTTAACTTTTCCTAAAAATATTAAAAAGTCCAATTTTTGCTTCTTTATCTTCCTCATCAACTAGCCCTAATCAATGCGTTACCATTTCTAACACGTCAAATTCTTGTAGCCAATCTTTTAGATAATCTTCCTCTTTCTTCATCTCAGACTGAAACTGTCCTACAATGGTTAAAGTGTTTACGATGTTCTGTTTCACCTAAGCCAACTGACGACATGTGAAGGAGCAAGGTTGAGGCAGTTTCTTGCATTGCAAGTTTCTTTTGTGACTAGGGCAATGTGGTTCTTCTTCTGCCGCTGTCTTCATCGTCTTGCCATTGGCTGTAGGAGCATCACAACCTAAAGTGGTTGCTAAGAAAGACGGCCACATTGGAACGAAAAACCAGATGCATGTAACTCTCTCTAAATATTATTAGCCATCGCTACAACTTGTTTGTCTTCTCCTTTGTCTCCTTGGCACTTGTTAATGATGTCTGGTCACTTGTAAACACGCAGGTGAATGTGACGGCAGATCATCGTGTCATTTATGGTGCTGATCTTGCACAGTTCTTGAAAACATCGGCCAGCATTATTGATGACGTCCTTACATTCTAGGCCGAATAACGGAGTTTTTGTTTGTTTGCAACACGCGTCTTCTCTACTTTTGGTTCCATTGAATCTTGCAGTAATCAGTTTCTTTGATAAAAAGAGTCAACCTTTGATGAAGAGTAATGCTGAACATAATCATTTCTTTCTTGGTTCAATAAGAAAATTTGAAGTGTTTTCTTTTTTGGTGACTTGCCTGTAGAGTGATGCATCAAAGATATTGGCATAGTGCTATTGGTTTTTGGCATATTATTGAGCTTTTGAGAATTCGAAAATTTGATTATCTTTAGACTTGAATGACTGATTTTTTTTTTTTTCATCAACTACAATTGATTTGCCACTAAATGGTCAGGACAAAGAGCCAGCAATAGTATCCATTATGTGTGTGTAAGGCTATGTTTTTATCCTCAACTAAACCTCAACTACCCTAAGACACATGTCAAGTACTCTCTGTTCATCTTTGTCCTGTATTGTAATGACAATCTTTGGCCCTGTCTGGTATATATATATATACAAACAGAACAAAGAACAAGTGACCGAAAACTAACAAGAAGCACAAACAGAACTAAGAAAAAATCCGAATCAAAGAACCCTTTCCACAACTCATCCAAAACCCTAACAAGAAACAAACATGGCAAAGTTAAGAATCTGATATCTTGCTCCCAGGACAATATGGTTGTAGTTCCACTAAACTTGGAGCATAAGAAGAGAACACAAGTTGGTTATAACAGTATTCAAGTGGTTGCCTAGCTTCTCTGATTTTCACAGTTCTGAAGTATCCATCAACGCCAATGATAGAACCTTGAAAAAAGTGGCCTGATCCGGAAACAAGAGCGATTTTCTTGTCCTCGTCGATGAAGAAACACATATCAGCAACAACCGGATGGAATTCCAGTCTCAAGAATCTGCTCCACGACGATGCGGCAATATTGACCTCAATCTTCGTTGTGATCCAAATCTCCAATGAAAATTCCATGGTATGATGGGACACAGCGAGCTTCTCATCCCTAACACAAGATATGGTTTTCTGACTGGAGCCAAACGGGAGAGCAAGAAGCGTTCCAAACCTCTCTGCTGTAAAATCAAAACAGAGTAAACCATCCGTTGATTTCCCTGCTTCTCGCCCTAAAAAGTAAGCGTTTCCCTTGAGAGACACGCAACCGCTTCTTATATTGCAGCCGGGGTTGAGATGGAGAATCCTCCATGAGTCAGAGTTAAAATCGTAGATTTCGTAAGAATCACGCAAAAGCCTCAAGATCTTGTGGTTACGGTTGTTGTTCTTATCCTCGTACCCGACAGCATACATGTCTGATGAGTCGAATCTGTGAAAAAAGTCTATGTTTTGGAACCACTTGATTTGGCACAAGTAAGGGTTCCACACAAAGCGCCAGCTATCGTCTTTGATGACACAAAAGATCAAACCGTCCCAGTGAAAGACTTCACATATCTCGGCATCAGCATGGTTAGGTCTATGTGCTTGCTCTATAAATGGATGAAAGACGTTGCTCAGACCGTCCAGGCCCCAGACGTGACCTGTGAAGATCTTACTCTTGGCTATGTTAAATGTGTTTACTTGCTTTACAAGGAAGTCGCCGTCAGGGAATCGTTGGAAATCGAGATTGAATTCCATTGAACAAAGCTTAGAATCTATCACCATGAACCCTGTAAACTGTTTCCGTTTCCTCGTTAAAGCATTCCAGGGTTTACAAGTACGTCTCACTGCCCTCTGAGATTTCAATGGAACCCTAGATAAGATTTCTTCTACCATTTCCTCTGGAAGATCTGACATTCTCGTCGCCATTCTTTCAAACAATTAAGTTAGGGTTTTGTGTTGGTTTCGTTTATATGATTTTTGGAATTAAATTTTAGGAAAGTTGTTGCGTATCCCAATTTTTGTTTTCTTTAATGTTTTAAATTGTCTAAAAAAAAGTAAAAACTAAAACTCCAACTTATGCTTCTTTGTCTTCCTCAGCAACTCGCCCTCATCAATGCGTCACCATTTCTAACACGTCAATCTTTTAGATAATCTTCATTTTTCTTCGTTTCAGACCGAAAATGTACTACATTGGTTAAAGTGTTTACGATGATGCTCTGTTTCACCTTAGCCAACTCACGTTTAGAGGAGCAAGGTGGAGGAAGTTTCTTGCACTGCAAGGCGGTTCTCCTTCTCTAGCCATCTTCATCGTTTGGCCATTGCCTGTAGAAGCATCACAACCTAAAGTGGTTGCTACTAAAGACGGAATCGGCATGAAAAACCAGATGCATGTAACTCTCTCTTATTACTAGCAATCGCTACAATTTGTTCCGCTTCTCCTTTTGTCTTCTTGGCACTTGTTAATGATGACCGGTCACTTGTAAACACGCAGGTGAATGTGACGGCAGATCATCGTGTCATATTAAGTGCTGATCTTGCACAGTTCTTGCAAACATTGGCCAGCATTATTGAGAATCCAAAGGACCTTACATTCTAGGCAAAATTACTGGGTTTTTTTGTTTGTTTGTTTGCAGCACGAGTCTTCTCTACTTTTGGTTCTATTGGATCTTGTATTTCTTTATACAGTAGTCAGTTTCTTTGATAGAAAGAGTCAACCTTTGATGAAGAGTAATGTTGAACATAATCATTTAATTCTTGGTTCAATAAGAAAAATCGATGTGTTTTTTTTTTGTGACTTGCCTTCTTCGGTTGTATCATCAGTTGGCTACTTTGTTTTTGGTAGAGTGATGCATCAAAGATAGTGCCATAAGTGTTATTTGGTTTATGGCATATTATTGAGCTTTTGAGAATTCGAAAATGTGATTATCTTTAGATTTGAATGAGATAAGTTTTGTGGCATATTACACATGTATTTTAATGCCTCGTGTACCTGTCTACGTTTCTCATACATATTCTCAAGCCCAGTCATGGCGAATAAATCCAACGAGAACCCACTCTTCACCAGCAACCCATGAATCTCCTTTCCCATTCTAAGATTTGCCTCGTCTCCGCAAACTTTCAGGAGATAAGTGAAGTTGTACACAACAGGCTCTACATCATTGTACCTCATTCAAACAAAAAAAGTTAACACCTTTATCCAAATCCAAAACTTTGTGTAGTGCACCCTTCTTGCATGTGATCATCACAATCCTGAGAGAGACTACACAAATTGCATGTGATCATCATTTTTGTTTGTTTGTTTGTGTTTAGACTCGGCTCATAATTTACAAGGAAACAAAAAAAATGCACATATGTTAGACTTGTGACATAAGCTTGTTGAATCAAATGATCTTGAACAGTTCTTGCACACATTGGCCAGCATTATTGACGACCCAAAGGACCTTACATTCTACGCCAAATTACTGCTTCTCTACTTTTGATTCCATTGGATCTTGTATTTTCTTTCTCAGGTAATCAGTTTCTTTGATAGAAAGAATCCACATTTGATGAAGAGTAATCTATGGTGCATTTGGTTCAATATAAATAAATTTGAAGTGTTTTTGTGACTTGCCTTGTTCGGTTGTATCATCATGCAATATAACTTGCCTTGTTCGATTAAATTGGTTGATGCATCAAAGATAGTGTTATTGGTTTTTGGCATATCTTTGAGTTTATGACTATATTTAGACTCAGTATGCACAAGAGGCATCTCATATTTTACAAGGTAACAAAAAAATTCAGATCAGTTATACTTGTGACACAAGAATGACAGAAAAGACAAAAAGATGCAGCATCTCTATAAAAACCCTTAGGGATTGGAAGCTAAACTAAATAGGGTTAACAAAAGAAACCATAAATTGCCGCTCAATGTACATGACAAAGAGCCAGCATTAATATCTAATATTTGTGTATATTGCTTGCTATGCTATCTTGTGAGTTGTGACGACCCATATTTATTATATAAAATCGAAGCCAGGTTTTAATCCTCATCTATCCCTCAAAGACCCTAAGAGGCTAAGACACATGTCAAGTCCTCATGCTTTCCTAGAAAGCTCGAAATATCTAAGTTATATGGAAGTTAGCGAGGGGTTGATTGTAACAGCCAACTCTTGTGTCTCTACTTATCTCACATACAGAGTTTGGATAGTAAGCTTTTTGTTAATGTCGAAAGTAGTGAAAAAGACTTACTGCGGAATTTTTTCTCTTCATCTTTATCCTGTGCTGTAATGACAATCTTTGGCCCTGTCTGGTGGTGCCTGAGTAAGAAAAAAAGATATATAAGTGACCAAAAACTACAAGAAACCCAAACAGAACCAAACAAGAGAAACAAATATCCAAAAGTTAGTTAATAATCTAATCTCTTGCTTTCCGTTTCCTTTTCCTCCGAGGATGTTAGGTCCCAAATTAGGACAAACAAATGTTGATCAAGAGACAGCAAGAAACTAGAACACTTTCGTTCTTAAGACACAAGTTACTTCAATATTTTCTTCATATCATTCTTTGAGACAATCGTCTCTTAAATACACAAAAAGATTAACAAAATAACCGCTATGGAAACGTGAATGAGTGGGAAACAATCCCACTAAAATAGGAAAACACACGATCTCATCAGAGGACGACGTGGTTGTAGTTCCACTAAACTTGGAGCATAAGAAGAGAATACAAGTTCGTTATCACTATATCGAAGTGGTTCCCTCGCGGCCTCGCCCCTCTGATATTCACAGATTTGAAGTATCCATCAGCTCCAATGATATAAGCTTGAAAAGATTCGCGTGATTCGGAAACAAGAGCCATTTTCTTATCCTCGTCAATGAAGAAAGACCCAGCCGCCACAAACGGTTTCATTTCCACTCTCAAGAATCTGCTCCATGAAGATGGAGCAATATTGACCTCAATCTTCCTTGTTATCCAAATCTCCATTATATGATCCTCGCTGAAATGTAACACAGCGAGCTTCTCAATTAAGTTAAGTTACGGTCTCTTATTTTATAATATCAACTCGAATTAAAGTTTAGGAAAGTTTTTTTGGTTAAAGTGTTTACGATGATGCTCAGGAGCAAGGTTAAGGGAGTTTCTTCCACTCCAAGTTTCCTTTTCGTGGCTACGTCAAGGCGGTTATCCTTCTGCAGCTGTCTGTCTTCACCCACTCGCCATGAGCTTCATGAACATTTTGTGCTACAAACAACGAACCAACACAAGGCTGGGTTTTACAAGAATCAGACGGCAGTAGTCAGTTTGGTTCTTGTGATTATAACTGAATCAAAAGAATCGAGCTTTGAAGAGTAATCTTTTTGCAACCCCTTCTTCTTTTGATTCCATTGGATCTTGTACTTCTTTCTGCAGTAATCAGTTTCTTTGATAGAAAGAATCGACCTTTGATAAAGAGTAATGTTGAACATAACCATTTCTTTCGTGGTGCTTTCATTTGGTTCAATAAAAAAGATTTGAAGTGTTTTTGTGGTTTCCTTTGGTTAGTTTTAGGCTTCGATTTCATTTAACGAATGTGTCGTCAAAGCAATATGTCACATAGAAAGTTTGGATATAAACTTTTTGTTGATGGAAGTTTGAATGTCGCAAGTAGGCCTGGGCGTTCGGTTATTCGGGTCGGGTTCGGGTCGGTTCCTTTCGGGTTTCGGGTCTTTCGGTTCTAGAAAATTTAGAACCATTCGGGTATTTTTTATTTTCGGGTCGGGTCCGGTTCGGTTCCGCCCGGGTTCGGATCGGTTCCGGATATTCAAACTTTTGTTAAAAAAATATAAAATAAAAATAAAAACTGTTTAACTTATACGAAATTTAACAAAATTTCGGAAAAAAATATTGAATATTAACAACCATAAATAAAGATTTTCGGATTTCTTTGAATATTTTGGTTATTGTTTTCTAAATATAACTATTATATTAGATTTATAATTATAATTTTATATATTTTGGTTATTTTAAGTCTAAATATAACTAATATTTTTGGATATATAGTTATATTTTGAATATTGCGGGTATCCACAGGTTTTCGGTTCGGTTCCGGTTCGGGTCCGGTTCTTTCGGGTATAGAAATTTTGGACCCATTCGGGTATTTGTGTCGGTTCCGGTTCGGTTCGGTTCCACTTATTTCGGGTCGGGTTCGGTTCGGTATTTCGGGTCCGGATAAAAATGCCCAGGCCTAGTCGCAAGTAGTGAGAAAGACTTACTGACCGTTCTGTTCATCTTTATCCCAATCACTTTCACATCTTTATTAGTAATGGCCTAACTCACACCCAAAAGTTAGCTTATGAGTGGAGGATTGCCTTATACTATATATATATATATTAGTGAAGAAAGGCTCCCACTTTTGATGTGGAACTTTCTCACTCTAATAGGCCACCTCGATGAGGGCGGGATAATACACCATCATCTCGGAAATACCACAACAAGACGGGCGACTTATACGGGCCACTTTCAATGTGGGAAACCGTTTTTTTCTTTGTGGGAAATCGCTTGTTGGGCTTAACCATGGGCTCTGATACCATATTAGTAATAGGCCTAACTCACACCCAAAAGCTAACTTATGAGTGAAGGATTGCCTTATACTATATATATTAGTGAAGAAAGGCTCCCACTTTCGATGTGGGACTTTCTTACTGAATAATCTTCATCTTCAATTACAACCTACACATGTATAAAAGTAAGAAAAATATACAGTATATGAGTGACCAAATACTAGCAATAAACCCAAACAGAACTAGAGTAAATTAAAAACAAATCCGAAAGTGAATCAAAAGAAACCTTTTAACCACTCATCAAAATCCCTAACAAGAAACAAACATCGCAAAGTTAAACTAATAGTCTCTTGCTTTCCTTTTGCTCCGGCGACGATATGGTTGTAGTTCCACTACACTTGGAGCATAAGAAGAGAACACAAGTTGGTTACAAAAACATTCAAGTCCAGGTTTCCTAGCTTCTCGGATATTCACTGATTTGAAGTATCCATCAACTTCAATGATACAAGCTCGAGAAGATTTGTATGATTCGGAAACAAGAGCGATTTTCTTCTCCTCGTCGATGAAGAAAGATACAGCTTCCAAAAAGGTAAACGACGGTTTTAATTCCACTCTCAAGAATATGCTCCATGTCCATGACGTCGTCATGCCGTTGTTGACCGTAATATTCCTTATTATAAAAATGTCCATTCTATTATCCTTGGTTAAATGTAACACAACGAGCTGCTCATCCCTAACAGAAGACAGAGCCACGGTTTTCGTTTTCGGACTCCTCGTGCCAATCGGGAGATCAAGACGCGTCCCAAACCTCTCTGCCGTAAAATCAAATCAGATTATAATATCCGTTGATATTCCTTCTTCTTGCCCTAAAAAGTAAGAGTTTCCCTTGAGAGACACGCAACCGCTTTTTATACTACACCCGGAGTTGAGATGAAGAATCTTCCATGAGTCAGAGTAAATATCGTAGATTTCGTAAAAAGGAAGGAGATGTGAGAACTTGAAAACATCCAAAAGCCTCAAGATCTTGTGCGTACCGTTCTTGTCGTACCCGAGAGCATACATGTCCGATGTGTGGAATTTGTGGGAATCGTTTATGGGTTTGATCCACATGATTTGCCTCAAGTAAGGGTTCCACACAAAGCGCCACCTATCGTCTTTGATGACGCATAAGAGCAATCCGTCACAGTGAAAGACTTCGCATATCTCTCCTTGGTTAAGTATACTTGCTTGCTTTATAGATGGCTTAACCAAAAAGTTTACTTGCTTTACACGAAATCGTTCGAGGTCGAGATTGAATTCCATTGAACAAAGCTTAGAATCCAACACCATGTACCCTGTAAACTGTTTCCGATTTCTCAAGTAGGCGTTCCAGGGTTTACATGTACATCTAGCTTCCGTCAGAGATGTCAATGGAATCCAAGATAATATTTCTTCTACCAATTCCTCTGCAAGATCTGACATTCTCGTCGCCGCCATCTTTTTCTTTTGAGAACTCGTCCACTCTTCTTCTCTCTCTATATATATATAAACAATTACGTTAGGGTTCCTCTTTTTTATCTTTTTGGTGAGTCGTTAGGGTTCCTCTTTTGGTTTCCTTTTCCTATTTTCTAACTTTGTCAAAGGTAAACTCAAATTTTATGGATAATAAAGAAAAAAAGGATAGTGTTCGAATATTATCTTTTGAAAATTTCTCTAAAAAACTATACGTGTAACTTCTCTATGAATTCAAACAGCTGGGAAGACCATATTACAAACACCTGAGAAATAAAATATAAAATTCAAACGTGAACAACAAACATAAGCAACTCTCAACATAACACATAAAAGCTAAGTAACACATCATAAAGTCCATGGAGAGGCAGATAAGCAAGGAGGAAAACGATATCGATCAATCATATTGAAATGGGTTCTCTGCTGATGCCACTTTCTGATGACGTGGATTAATGTACTAAAGTTTGAAAATAATTGGATACATATATATATATGGTTTACAGTTTACACTTTACAGGTTTATTATCTATCGTCCATTGCCAAGGAAGCAACACTCAGTGAATGTGAATGTGACAGCAGATCATCGTGTCATATATGGTACTTGTTAGGATCTAAGAGCCTTGAGGCGTCGACTTTCCTCAAGATAAGAACCAAACACACCAAGAACAGAACACGTTTGTTGTGAAAACAGAGAAGAAGAAAGAGCTTTGTGTAAGAACAGAGGAAAGAAAGAAAAACAGAGCACACAACCAAGTTTACCCAGTTCACGCCCGTTAACTAGGGTCGTTACGTCTGGGCCGAGACTCACCTCGGAATCCACTAGATTTAGAGAGTTTACAGCACAAGAAGATACAAGTAGTCACTCTAATACCCTTCACTAGTACTTAGACACTACTCTGTTATCTTCTTGTCTAAGAGAACACAATGAACACTTGTTTATGCTATTCAAAGTTTCTCTCTCAACACTCTCTCTAAATCTATCTCAAGTCTCTCGTAACTCTCTCTCTTGCCCCTTGTGTCCTTTTATATTGATGACACACTAGGGTTTCTTGTGCTACACAAGCCGCCGCGTTAACGTCTCCGAAACGCCGTTAGCTTAGCAGAAGCGTGGACTTTCCTTTTTGAGCACAAACAGACTGAGGTCGTCCTAAAGGCAGAAACAGACTTAAGCTTGTTTTATATTGCAGAAAGCCGTTACCCCTGATTGTGGTCCAAAAGCAACTTAACCATGGTTTGGTTTATTTCCACCATAGTTAGTCTTTACTTTCCACGCTGGCAGAATCACGTGAGCTTGATCATCAAGTTATCTTCTTCACAGTACTGATGTTGCACAGTTCTTGCAAACATTGGCCAGCATTATTGAGGACCCATTGGATCATGTACTTCTTTCTGCAGTAATCAGTTTCTTTGATAGAACGAATTGAACCTTTGATGAATGCTGAACATAATCATTATTTTCTTAATAAACACAAACACAACTAAAAGCAAAGAAAAAATCCGAAAGTGAATAAAAAAAACCTTTCAACAACTCATTCAAACCCCTAACAATAAACAAACATCACAAAGTTAATTAATAATCTCATCTCTTGCTTTCCTTTTGTTCCGACGACCATATGAATGTAGTTTTTTTTTCTTTTTGACAACTCATGGGTAAATCACTAAATACCCTAGAGGAGGTGCAGCCCACGGATAGACCCTCTCTCTGGATATTCAAATGAGCCGTAAGCAGGGGCTCCGTGTAAGTGTCCAGAGACAATCGTGAGGAAGTTCCCTCCGGCAGGGTTTGAACTCACAACATAGATGCAGGAAGGAGCCATCCATACCAGGGCGATGCTCCGGACTCATTTGAATGTAGTTCCACTGAATTTGCAGCATAAGAAGAGAAAACAACCTGGTTATAACAACATTCAAGTCCATGTTTCCAAGCTTCTCTGATATTCACTGATTTGAAGTATCCATCAACTCCAATGATACAAGCTCGTGAAGATTTGTGCGATTCGGAAACAAGAGCGATTTTCTTTTCCTCGTGGATGACGAAAGACACAGCTTCCACAATGGAAGACGACGGTTCCAATTCCACTCTCAAGAATTTGCTCCATGACCATGACCATGACGTCTGAATATTCCTTATTATAAAAATCTCCATTGTATGATCCTTGCTTAAATGTAACACAGCGAGCTGCTCATCCCTGACACAAGACAGAATCACGGTTTTCGTTTCCTGACTCCTTGTCCCAAACGGGAGAGCAAAACGTCTTCCAAACCTCTCTTTTGTAAAATCAAAACAGATTATAATATTAGTTGATTTTCCTTCTTCTTGCCCTAAAAAGTAAGAGTTTCCCTTGAGAGACACGCAACCACTTTTTATACTGCACCCGGGGTTCACATGAAGAATCTTCCACGAGTCAGAGTAAAAGTCGTACATTTCGTAAAAAGGAAGGAGAGATGAGCACTTGGAAACATCCAAAAGCCTCAAGATCTTGTGGTTACGGCCGTTGTTGTTGTTCATGTCTTCGTACCCGAGAGCGTACATGTCTGATGTGTGGAATTTGTGGGAATCGTTTATGGGTTTGATCCACTTGATTTGCCTCAAGTAAGGGTTCCACACAAAGCGCCACCTATCGTCTTCGATGACGCATAAGAGCAAGCCGTCCCACTGAAAGACTTCGCATATCTCGCGGTTAACTATGCTTACTTGCTTTATACGGAATCTTTCAAGCTCGATATTGATTTCCAGTGAAAAAAGCTCAGAATCTATCACCACGTACCCACTAAACTGGTTCCGATATCTCAAGTAGGCGTTCCAGGGTTTACATGTACTTCTCGCTGCCGTCAGAGATGTCAATGGAACCCTAGATAATATTTCTTCTACCAATTCCCCTGGAAGATCTGACATTCTCGTCGCCATTCTTTTTTTTTGAGATACAAAAATAAACTCTTCCACTCTTCTTCTCTATATATATACAATTACGCTAGGGTACTCTTTAGTTTCCTTTTCTTATTTTGTAACTTGCCAAAAGTAGATTCAAATTTTATGGATATATAATAAAGAAAAAAGGATAGTATTCGAATATTATTTTTTAAAATTTCTCTAAAAAACTAAACACCCAACTTCTCTATGAATTCAAACAGCTGGGAAGACTATATTACAAACACCTGAGAAAGAAAATTTAAACGTGTACAACAAACATAAGCAACTCTCAACATAACACTTAAAAGCTAAGTAATACATCATAAAGTCCAGGAGAGGCAGACAAGCGAGTAGGGAAATGATATGACATCAATCATATTGAAATGGGTTCTCTGCTTATGTCACTTTCTGATGACGTGGATAATTAATGTATTAAATTTTGAAAATAATTGGAAACATGTATGGTTTAGAGTCTTACACTTTACAGGTTCATTATCGTCCATTGCCAATGCCAACTAAACAACGGTCAGTATCTTGTCTCTCAATATGTTCCTAGTGGAAGCGTTTCCAGTTACATTTCATGTACGGTAACTCTATGTCCTTAATACAGATTAGTGATGTTTTTTGTTAATAACAAATTATTTTCGATGTGTGTGTCCCGTTTAGGCAATGTAGTCATTATTCGGATTTTCTTCCATTAGGTGTTGGTGTTTTAAGTACCTGATAAATTAGCTACAATTCAGACAGAGACTTTTGATTTAAAGGTAAATACCTTGCAAAAGCCATGAAAATTAAGCTCATGAGGCAGCTATAAACTATGGTTTTCCATACACCTTTTCTTCAAGTCTTTATCATATTGTGCTAATACAACAATCCATCCGTTTTTTACTTCAGTGTGTTACCCTTGCCGAGAGGCTAATACGTTCGACGGAAAATGACAAAAGAGCGTAGATTTGTACTTTTTTTTGCAAAAAAGCTATAGACTTTTTAGAGAGTCATCTTCCATTCATTTTCTATACTCTCTCCTTTTTCCCTTTAGAAACGCAAAGAAGAAAGTTATGTAGGATCCTTCAAATGGGAGGTTTAGATTTCCTTTAGTAGAAGAAAGTTATATAGGATTAGGTTTAGAGAATATATAAAAGTGTCTCTTATTTCTACCTCTGCGAGGAAGATAAAGGATTGAAGGAGTGAACAAGATTCATGAGTCAAACATCGATCCAATGAACTAGATGATGCTACAAAACAAGATGGGAACCAAACTAGAGCATGTTCTACTATTAATCTATTTTTTTTAAAACAAGATGGATGCGGATAATGAACTACATAATATGAAATTGATACAGCAAAACGGGAGAGTTAAGTTTCTTATGTAATTCAGTAGCTTATACAGGTATACATCGTATGGAACTATAGTAATTTTGTCAACAAAGAGTTGTAATGTCAAAAATGATTAGAAGCAAATTATATCCCAAAAAAAAAAGATTCTAGATAGATAAATGATAAATCTGTGTCAAACACGCTTTGATATGAAAAATGTTTAGAAGCAAGTTTTAAAAAATATCGCAGATATATAAACCTGCGTCCAACACAACAAAGAGATCTATCTAATGTAAAAAATAATTGTTGTTTTGAGAAAAAAATAATGTAAATTTTTTTTTTTTGTTCAAACTCTTAATTCTATTAATTAAGCTTGGGTGTTACATAATGAAGAGGAAATTAAACATCCTCTTTGAATACTACCATACAACATCAGAAAATTAAAGCATAAGAAAGATAAATCTTCAAATGACAGCAGGTTATAAGCAAAGCTTAAACGCGTCGGAAGATACATCACGGGGCCGGATTTTTGTAGCCTAGTCACAATCATTGAGATCAAAGGTGACGTTGAAAAACAATTTCTTCCTCCGAGATTTGATGAATCAAATCTGGTTGCATCTTCAAGTTCCATGTAGACAGAAATGCAAGATGACAAAAAGGTAAGAAAATTGTAGAGCTTACTCGGGTGTGATTCCGAGAAGTATCCGCTTCTCATGGAGAAGGGAAGAGGTGGAGAATTTCTCTCTCTGTAAAGAGAGGAAGGTGGGAGCGATCTCTCCATGCCAACGGAGGAGGTTGAAATGTTAAACAACTCCCAAACAAGGAAGAATTGGAAACATTCCGGCAATGAGTCTTCGTACAATTTCACGAAGCTTTGAGACCTTACTGTCAAAATGAGCCGCAACATCAGTTGGACTAGCTTTGAAATGCGTTGAAGGGAGCTTCCTTGATATAGACTTCTTCAGAACAGAGCTCCAGTGGACAGGACATGGACGAAGTCCAAAATTATACAACACCGGACCAAAATATGCAAATTGACGTTGACGGGAATCCAAGATCCCGATGTCCCTTCGCCGGCGAGGAATAGGACGAGAAGCTTCGGTTGGCCAAAGCTTTGGAAGATGGTGGAGGGAAATGACAGATCTGGAACGAGGGAAGGAGATGGGTGTGAGGAGAATGGTAGCAGGGATGACCGTAAAGGTTAGAGAACCCAGGAACGAGATCGCGGATGTAGATCCGGAGGCTTCGACGGAGGTTTCGGAATCACCATAAGGATGCTCACTCGGAGTGAGAAAGGCTCGATGACCAGACGTACTGGCTGCTCTGGTAAGTTGAAGAAGAGAGGCGAGAGATCCGTCCTCAAGATCTCTGCAGATCCATTCTGTCACCGGAGGAGCAGCACGGCCGAGCAGCAAAAAGAGATAAAAAAAGTCTCGTCGGTAAAGATATCACCGGCGGAAAGAGAGTCATAGTCATCGGACGCCAAGTCGGAGCCCGGGAAAAAGCAAACCACGCTCCAATTTCAGGAGAAGAACCACCGGTGAAGGGGATTCATCCCGAAATCAGAGCAGAGCAACGGTGGGAAATGGAGGACGGCGGACCTTGGGAAGCGTGCCTGGGAGGATAATTTTTAGAATGTAAAAATATTTAGAAGCAAGAAACCGAAATCGGTATCAATTTCTTCTCAGTCTCTTCTCCAATATCTCTTTTGCTGAAGACGAGAAAGTCTCCTCCGGTCTCTTATCAGAGCTGGAAATTAAACCAAATTCTTCTATTTGAAATTAAAATTTTATCTCTTCTTCAAGATCTTATCCCCGGTATTTGTTACCCCTAGAAATAAGATATCGACAGTAACACAGTATGGACATCGTTTTAAATCACATCATTAATAAACGTACCTCTTTACTAAACAAGTGTTAGAGTTAACAGAAATTAATATCATTACTAGCCATGTCAATAGAAGTTTGTGTGTTCTTAAATACACCTCTTAAGGTCCAAATATTCAAAACTACACTTATAGTGTGGAAATTTTCAAAAATACATATTTTCCCAATTTTAATATATATGTTTGGGTTCATTAATCCTATATTAGGATTTAGATTTTGGGGCTTAGGGTTTAGATTTAAGGGTTCAATATTAGATTTTAGGGTTTTGAATTTATATTTTAGGGTTTAGAGTTTTTTTACTAAATGAAAAAAGTGTAGTTTTAAAAATTGGCACCATAGAGGTGTATTTTTGAAAATTTGCACCTCAAAAGGTATAGTTTTAAAATTTTCCGGTATTCTTTGGCTCACCGAAGAGTATTTACTTTTTTGGGTCAAAATATGTTAGGTTCAGTATTTTAATTAACATTTTTAAAAATGTGTTAACTCAGTATTTTAATGACCGTTTTTCTGTAATGTAATATACAGATTAACGCAGTTTGAATCGATTAAATAAATCATTTTCGAATTCTTTTCAAGCTAATTATAGTCATATATGCTTTCTACATATTGTATATAGTTTATATTCATTTATCATTTAACGGATTAAAGTCTATTACAAACAAAAGGATTGAAGTTAGATTTTTAAAACAAAAATCCTAAACGAACAAGGGAACAAAAAGAAGATAATTGTAACTGGTCAGCAAGTTCTACTGTATACCAGATAATATTTCCGAAACTAATTAGGAAATAAGCACCGGCAAGAATCTAGAAAATAGATTAAAAAAAAAAAACTCGCAAAGACTAAAGACATTATTTTACAGAAAAGGCCTCAATATTACATAAGTTGCTAATAGTTTACTCTATTTTATAATCTTGAGAAAATCAACCATTCATTAAATTACATTAAGAAATTGCCGAAGCCCTAAAGGTAAGTTAACAACAGAGAGAGATTCCCGAGATCAAACGAAGTCAGAGCTTTTTCAAGCATCTTTCTTTGTCTTCTTCGCTTAGGCGCGAACCAACCAGAGAGAACACCAATTCGAAAATATAATTAAGGTTTCACCTTCCTTCCTTCGTTCTTCGTCTCTGTTTCTCAGCTTCCTCGATTACGATTTCGTTCGGGCAATTCGTAAAGCGAATTTTAGGGGTTTTGTCGGAGAATTTGATCGTCGCTAATTAAAGGTTTAATCTTCTGCTCGTACGATCAAATTCTAGGGTTTCGAACTTAGGAATTGAGGTTTTGGGGATAATGTTGCAATTGATTTGGGGATTGATTTCGTAAGATCATCAAAAACTTAAGCTGCTTTTAAAGTTAGCTCCTTTGCTTTAAAGATGGCTTTTTTCTTCGTTTCTGTAACCTGCGCATCGTTTTAGAAGCTAAAAGCTGTGAAACTGAGTGTGAATTTGACTGATTGATTAGTATTCAGGTGGAGCCTTAATCAAAGACTTAGTTTAACTTGTGAAACAAGCAAAACAACAATCTAGAAATTGTATAGCCATGTGAAAGTTTTCATGTTCTCTGTGTTCACTACTTTTATGATTCCTTGTATAATCCTGACATGTCTTTGATGGAAATCTGCAGGGAATGTTGAGAACCAATTGCTTCTAAATCCGTCTTCTCTGTAGTATCTGATGATGGCGATGCCACCTAAAAGGTATCGGGGTATGATGCCTACGTATCTCAACCCCGAGCCTAACCACTCAGAGATTGATATGTTGAATCAGCAGCTGAACATTCTACCAGATTTGAATGTTGTTACATCTGAGGAAGAAGTCAAGCATCTTCAATCCAGAAAACCTAGACCGTTACATGTTAGGTCTGAGGAGGAGGAGTTTTTTTATCCATGGAAGCGACAGAGAATCGAAATGCCACCGATAAAGTTGAATCTACCTCCGTGGAACGATGTATCTAGACTCCCTTCTCTTCGGACTCTCCCTGCTAACTTCAGTGTGGAGAAGAAAGCTCCTGTTCAGGCTAAAAGTTTTGATGAGGAGGTTTCTTCATATCCTAGAGGAAGGTGTGTCCAGACATCTACAGTGCCGGTTAGTTTCGGTGTCGTTGCTGATAAAGTCTCTGGGAAGACATTGAGCGGGTGTTCTGACATAACGAAGCTGGATTCTCCTTTGGATGATGATAAGCAGCATGTTCAAGGCCTTGGTGCTAGCAACAACGTGAAACCAGCAAGAGGAAATGTAACCACAGTTTATTCTTTTGAGGATCTGTTTTCCAGCAAGAAAGAAACTCAAGCCGTGGAAAAGCCTCTGAAGCTGGGATCTGGAGTTGACGTTGTTGAACATGAGCCGATGAAATGTGATGATGAACAGAGCAAGTGTGAGGTTAATGCTGATGACACAATGTCACTGCAAAGGCCTCTGAAGCATGATGCGAAGCTGGGATTTGGCGTTGACGTTGTTGAGCCAATGAAATGTGATGAACAGACCAAGTGTGAGGTTAATGCTGCTGACACAGCGTCACTGGAAAAGCGTAACAAGAGAGATGTCTCACTTGTGGAACGTTTCACTGAAGAAGAAATAAAGTTGCATATAAAGAGTCTCAAGGAGGGAAGTATTCAGGTAACACTATTACTTTGGCCTTCTCATTGCTTTTTTTTTTTGCTTGTCTTTTCATCCACTTGTTTGGTTATATTAAATCCTTTTGTTTCCACAGGGAGGAATCAGTGAAATGTGTGACCTCAACAAGGAGGAGGCATGTCAACTGTGTTGCGATGGCGTGCTAATGTTTCCAGCACTACCGATATACTGCTCTATTTGCACTTTCCGGATTAAAGAAAAGTCTTTCTATTACGTCCCCGAGGAGAAGATAAGCGATGCGCAGCATCAAATCTGCAATCCTTGTTACAATCGCTCTAGAACCAAATTCACTCTATTGGACGTCAGTATCACAAAAGCCAAAATGCTTAAGAAGAATAACGCTGACAACCAAAACATAGAGGAGGTAATAAGCTTCATCTCTCTCTTTCTCTTTCTATTTCTCCTTCTCAGGAACATCAAGTCTTAGAGATTTACATAACTTGTTTTTTTGTTGGAACAGTGGGTTTGTTGCGGATCTTGCGGGAAATGGCAGCATCAGATATGTGGTCTATACAATGTACATAAAGACGAGGACAAAACCGCAGACTATATATGTCCCTACTGTTTGTTAGAGGAGCGTAAAAGTATCAACAAGACGGGATTCATCAGTGACAATTCGGATTTGGGGGCCAAAGATTTGCCTGAAACCATCCTCAGCAGCTTTATAGAGAAAAGGCTATTCAGGCGCCTCAAAGAAGAAAGACTTCAAACCGCAAAAGCGACTGGGAAGAGCATCAATGATGTAAATATGATGTTTTACTGTTGATTTGAGATTCGGTTCGATTGTGCCTTTATACTGAACTTGTTTGCTTTTTTTCTTTCCAGGTATCGGAAGCAGAAGATCTTACTCTCAGGGTCGTGTTTTCTGCTGACAAAAGCTCACACGTCAACAAAGCATTTGCTGATTTGCTTCACAAAGAAAACTATCCTAGTGAATTCCCTTACAGATCAAAGGTGAGAATTTATATCAAAACTGAAGTATCTTTTTGTTTGATTCAGTTGTGTATGTCGAATTGTACTTAGTTGCTGTATGTTTTGCAGGCTATTCTTCTCTTCCAGAAAATTGAAGGAGTTGATGTATGCATCTTTGCCTTGTTTGTCCAAGAGTTTGGATCAGAATGTAGCTTACCAAACCAACGCAGCGTATACATCGTATATCTTGATTCCGTCAAGTACTTTAGACCCGAGAGAGTGACATCCTCAGGAGAAGCTCTTCGAACTTTCGTCTATCATGAAATATTGGTAATCTATGATTCATTTTTCTGTTTCGTCGTCATTGCTTAAAATACCAATTCTTGACATATTTTCAACTTTCTCTTTTGATAGATTGGATATCTTGAGTACTGTAAGCTTCGGGGTTTCACAACAGGTTATATATGGGCGTGTCCACCTCCAAAAGGAGAAGATTACATTATGTATTCTCATCCTGAGACTCAGCAAATCCCCAACACTAAGAAGCTTCGCCAATGGTCAGCTCTTTCTTCTTTTTTCTCCGCTGGATTATGTTTTGTCATTAGTTCTTGTGAGGAAACTGGATTTTAACATCTAACAACAACAATAATGCAGGTATGTGTCATTGCTGGACAAAGCAGCGGAGCAGAGGGTGGCGACGAATGTTACAAACTTGTATGATCGGTTCTTCGTTTCGACGGAGGAATCATCTACCTGCAATATCTCGGCTGCGCGGTTGCCTTACCTTGAAGGCTCTTTCTGGTCCTGCAATGCTGAGCTTCTGGTTCAGGAAATCGAGAGAGAAGGCAATAAAGAGTTGGAGAAGAAGTTCAAGTCGCTTTCTAGAAGAGCACTAAAGGGTACCAAAAGTAAAGACGGTGTTGATGTGGATGACGCTAAAAACATTCTCCTCATCCAAAAGCTTGATAAGATGATACACAAGAACAAGGAGGATTTCATGGTGGTGGAATTGAATTATTCATGCTCACGCTGCTCCAAGGCCATATTGTCAGGATCTAGATGGTTCTGCGAGAAGTGCAAAAATCTTCAGTTGTGTGAAAGGTAATCAAATCTCTCTATATCTTTCTCTGTCTGTGTATTTAAGATTTCGTTGGTTTTGCTTCTCTTAACAAAACTCTTCCTCTATTGCAAACAGATGCCATGAAGCAGAGCAAGAGGTTCCTTGGGAACACACACATACTATGAATGGCAAAGAGAAGCATCCTCTCTCGAAAGCTGAAGTGAACGCCATACCGTCTACAACGGAGGATAACGATCTCATCATTGAAAACAGTATGTTTGAGAGCAGACAAGCGTTCTTAGGTTTTTCTCAGAAGCATAACTACAACTTCGACGTGCTTCGACGCGCCAAGCATTCTTCGATGATGATACTTCACCATCTTCATACCTCAAACAAGAAGCCTCACCATTGCTCTGAAAACTCTAGTCAATTGACCTGCACGGACTGCAAAAAGGATGTTTCGACGACGATTTTCTTCCCTTGTTTGATTTGTTTGGACTTCCGACTTTGCAATGGATGCTATGACAAAAACAAAATCCTTCGTCTGCTTCATCTTTTCCCCACAAGCCCTTCTGCTAATGGAACGCCGCCTAGAACCGTTCCGGTGAGTATATGTTTCAAAAAAACATAGCTTTTACTCCGTTTCTCTCTGTTCTTCGGTTTTGTTTTCGACCCGTTTACTAAATGAAGCAACTTTTCTTGTAGGTTCTTGGGATAGTGAATGCTCTGTTTCACGCGCATGCTTGCCAAACCACGGCCACTGAGGCGTGTTCATACCCGAAATGCAGTCAAGCTAGAGTATTGTTCAAACACAGGTCATTGTGCAAAATCAATGAGCGAGGAAGTTGTTCGCTTTGTAACAATTTTTGGAAGATTTTAAGGATTCACGCTTACCATTGTCAAGATCCCAATTGCCCCATACCACGCTGCAGGTAAAGAAAAAAAATCATTGGTTTTTATGATTTTTCAAGTCTCTGCAACTTCAGTTTTTTTTAACTTGATGCAACTCTTGTGTGTTCTCAGAGATTTGAAGGCGAACTTTCATAGGAATAGTTTGAGGATCTAAAGAGGAGTCACAAGGAGGAAGTTGTACATGGCTTATGATTATGATGATAATACTCATGATAGTGTTGACTATAGAAGAAGAAACTGTACAGATCAGAAATCCTTTTCTTACAGAAATGAAAAAACTATTTGTTGTTCATTTCTGTCAAAAGTGAGCATAGTTTTGTCTAGTTTAGATTTGTCGTTAAGGATCTTGTTAGCGTTCAATGAAGAGAAAAGTTTTCCTATAATTTTGCTTGTTGATCTATCTGTTTTTAGTTTTTACTTTATTCATGAAAATATTTCTTGTTTATTACCGTAAATTTGTGTACGTACCTGAACGTAGAAAGTCCGAGTTTTTGATAATTGTTTGTCCACGAAAGATTTCTGATAGTATTGAATCAAGATTTTGGTTTGGATTCGGTTGAAACTTTTGGTTTCGAGAATTTTCGTTTGGAAATAGTATCCAAAGTAAAAGGTAATTGTTGAGTCTTCAACGTTTTAGGTTGAGTAATTAGAAGAAGACAGAAAGAAGAAGAAAAAAAACCAACAAATAAATAGCTTAAATGAAAACACTTGTGGTTACACTCATAAAGGTAAATAAATCATCTAAAACAGACCAAATGAATTGAGAATTATCCTCTTAACCAGATAGCAACTAAGTGGTAGAAAAACTAGAAAAAAACTACATTTTGGTGAAAAAGATCCACACGTAGTTAACACCAAAAAAATAAGAAGAGTCTCCTAAGAATAGCTAAAGATGACGAAGCAAACACTAATATTGTCAACAGAAGAAAGATTAGTTTTCTTCATTCATAGGCCACAAACTACGCCTGTGTCAAAGACCTGGCTACGTGGTCAAGAAAGTCCATAGCTTCTTACTCATGGAGACATTCCCGGGATGTTCTGATTCTGATTCATCATCTTCATCGTACTGGTTTCCAGAGTCAGCCCTTTCAGGTGTTTTGTTCCCATCTTCACTCATTGCTTCACTGTCACCTGTTCTTTTCGGCGAACCTGCATCTGTATCCTCAGAGTCTGCCATGGCTTCACGCTATTGAAACAGGCAAATTGAAACAAACAGACTTGTCAAGAAAGAGGAACCGCAAAAACAAAATGTAAATGTAGCTGAGCTGTGAGAGTATTTTACCTGCTCGACATTTGTGCTTACTTCGTTATCGCTAACAACAATTCCTACTGATGCTGTCGCTGTGGTTTGAGCACAGTGAATTCCCTCGCCTTGTTGCACTCCACTAGTTTCTACATTCTTCTTAGCAAGTGCGGTTTCTCCAGCTCCCCTAATAACCCAAATATAAAGGAAAGAAGCATAAGCAGCTACAACGCATTAACCTCAGGCTGTATATTTGAAAAGTATGATTAAAAGTTACCTTCTAGGTCTTCGGAAATTATATCGTTGTTTCACCACTTCTTGTGGCTCTGCTGCAACCTTTTGCCGCCTCTTCCCACGCTGACGAGCTCCTCCGGTGACACTATCTGATTTTCCATCACTCTCAGTACCATCCTGCTCAGTAGTACAAGTTCTCAAGGAACCCACACGCCCACGTTTCCGGCCATTCTTTGAAGTTCCTTTCTCAGAAAGACCAGGCTCCCCCATGCTTCCATCATTTCCTGCAGCAGAGTCCTCAACATTTTCTGTAGAACCTTCGGGCTCGTTGAATTCTATGGATTTTCCATAGATAGCTTTAGCATCTTGGACGACATCTTTGACAGAGCGTGTTCTTATGACTTTTTTCCTTCTCCTGCGAGATTGACCATCCGCATTTAGATTGGACGTCGAATCTGCAGCAACTTCTTGAGCCTTGCTGTTGATGTTGCTATGATCGCCGTCTGAGTTTGCATTGGCGACTTCGACTTCTCTTGTGTCTGTTTCAGATTGGTCCCTTTGAACATCAAAGGAGAAGTTTGTCGCTGCCTGAAGCATAGTTGATGGCCCACTGTTTACGTTAGCTTGCTCAGTATCAGAGGTTTCTGTCATTTTTATTGGGGACAACTTGAGAATCTTTGAAGTACATTTCCGGAGCCATGACACCGTCCCACTAGGTTTCTGTAATCCTAAGGCAGTCGGAGTTGGGGATATAACCCTCATTTCCTGCCTTGGCGCTTCGTTCTCAAGAATGTTTGCCAGTTTTGACAGATTGGGCATTTCTATGTTCTCAATGTCAGGAAGCGCAAACTCTGAAAGCAGTTCATCGCATGGATTGCAGTTCCTATAACTTTCCATGGAAGCAAGGAAACGACTTCTCTCGCTAATGAATTGTTCCCGCTGTTCCTTCAGTTTCTTGGTCAACGCAACAAGGTCATCAACATCTTTCCGGATCTCTGTCTGCTGCTCTTCCAGATGTTTTTTACTAGCATCAACTTCTATCTTCTCTTTCTCTATTATCTGTCTATCGCTCTGCACATCTGCCATTTCTCTTCTGGCTACGTCTTTAAGGTGGTTAATATTGCTCAATTCCTTTTCTCTCTCTTCCTCAAATAGCTTCTCTGCAGCTTGCAACTCCCTTTCTCTTTCTTCCAGTTTGGTCTGCATATCAGCCTCGAGTTTCCTTTTGAGCATGTCGATGTCATGAAGCAGTTGACTTCTTTCACTCTCAGCTTTCTTAGCGATCACTGAACGCTCATGCTCCATACTATCTGCAAATGAAACTCTTGCGGCTTCAAGAGCTTCTAGCTCCCTTTTCATGTTGTCATTTGCTGCCTGCTTTTCCTTTACCAGCCTGTCTTCTTCCAAGTGATTCTGCCTCTCTAGTTTTTCCTTCTGATCAGTTATATTCTTTCGTTCGGCCTCGATCTCAGCTTTCCTCTCATCAAGCTCTTCCCATTCTTTCTCGAAACATTCCCTTTGGGCCTTCAGATCATCAACCTCTTTTGAAAGCAGATCCTGTTGAGACCTGCACTTTTTTATTTGTGCCTTTAATTCGGTTTGCAGACGAAGATACTCAGACCTCTCTTCCTCAGTAACTCTAAGCCCCTCCTTCTCTTTGCGAATTTCTGATAGCTGTAGTTCATTTTCAGCCTTTATCTTCTCGACTTCAGCTAAAAGACTGAGAATAATTTCCTTATCCTCAAGCAGTTTTCTCTTCTCAGTTTCCAATGCCTTCTCCTCGCTTTTCAAGGCTTTCTCTCTGCCAGTTATGTCTTTTAGTCTCAGTTCGAAATCTTGTTCTTTTTCTTTATGCTTCTCCAGTTTCCTCTCTAATGCTTGTTCACGTTTAGCAACTTTCTCTTCCGTATGCTTCCACTCAGCTTCCCTCTTTTCCACTTCCATAACCTTGCTCTTCAAGCTGTCATCAATGGATTTTCTTTTCTGCTCCATTTCCAACTCAAACTCAGACTGTGTTGCCTCCAATTTAGCTCGGTGTTCATCAATTAGCTGCTGAACTGCAACCTGTCAATTAGCCAACAATAAACAATAAGCACAGTCAATACTCTGAATGTCCACATAACAATCACAAACAAGCAAAATCAAGATGGAAATTGAAAAATGTTCATGCCAGAGAACTAAGCTTAGAATGAGACACAAAATATGAAATCAGTTGCACAAAGATGGTAACACTCCGCTATAGTCAGCAAGTATTTAGCCAACCAAATATCAATGCTCGGGACTTGCTTTCAACAGAAGAAGGTTACAGAGAAATGCATATATATTTCTACAGAGAGAGAGAGAGAGAGGGGGCTTGCCTTTTCTCTGGCATCCAGTTTCTCTTGGAGAGCTAGTAGCTCTTGCTCTTTCGTCTCTAGGGATTTCTTCAGCGCATCAGTTTCCTGCATCCAGAGGAAGTATGTAAATGGACAAGGTTCGAGGCACTTTTAATAACATAAAATACTACATGAAAAAAACGAGCTGCTTACTTGCTCCTTTAAAGCAAGAGCTTTGGTCCTTGAGCTGAAATCGTCTTCTTTTTTCTTCAAAGCAAGGTTAGCAGCATCAATCTTCTTTTGAGCCTCCTCGAGTTCCTTTCCCTTTTGCTTGATAAGCTTATCGCTTTCATTTGCCCTATCCTCTCTCTGTTTCACAATCATTTGAGACTTAGCAACTCTGTCTTCTCCTTCTTGCAACTTTCTTTCCCATTCACGCAAGTCCTCCCTCTGCTTTATCAAAGTTGCCTCGTCTGCTTCTCGTCTGAGAACAAAACAAAACAAAACAAGTTGAACTAATTAAGTCATCTCCCAAGGAAGATAAATTATTCAAGATACAAGGCAAGGCAAGAAACCCAATACGTACTCAGCAATGTAAGAGAATCGCTCCCTTTGAAGAGAACTTTCTCGAGCTTCCACTTCCTTTGCCTTCCTCTCCACCTCCGAACTCTTTCTACTAACTTCAGCGAGCCTCGCATCAACAGCACGCAGCTTTGCTTCAACCTCGAGAGATTTCTCTTCGACACTTCTAACCAAAGCATTTGCCTCAGTCAACTTTGAGTCAGCTGTAAATTTGATCTCTGCGTTCTCAGAGCGTAGTTCCCGCAAAGCCTTCTCCAGCTGCATCAGTTTTACGAGTATCTCAATTAGAGACTACAATCATATGCATACTGAAACTATGTATTAAGGAAATGTGAAACATAAAGTAACATAAAGGACAGATTTTCAAAATCAACAAGGAATTGAGAAACATAAAGAACAGTATAGGAACTTGAAAGTTGGATTTTTTTAGTCTTACATCAAGTGCACATTGCTTCTCAATCCCCAGAGCTTTCCTCAGCCCTTCTTCCCGCTTCTCAACATCTGCTAAAGCAACCAGATACGCATTGCGTTCCCGCTTAAGGCACTCGTTTGCGTCTTCAAATTCCTGTTGAAGCTCTTCGTATTTGGAACTCCACTCCTTTTGCTCAAGCAGAAGAAGACCCATATTGTGTTGGTACTCAAAAAGCTGTTTTTTAAGCACAACAACAGATTAGAAGCAGTAACAGTAAGAATTATTCACAATTGACAATTTTACATCCATAATTGCAGAAGAAACTAAACAATAACATTGGATACAAAAGTCCCCAAATTCATATAAATCCTTGAATTACAATGTTACGTGAGACGCAAATCTTGAAAGTGTAAACCATTTTTTACAATGCTAATGAGCTGTATAAATCGTAAGGCACATTCAATATCCAACTGTAAACAAACTAGGAGAGACGAAGATAAAAAGGCAAAAACCAACCAGAAATGGAAAAGTAACGAACTCAGAGATCAGAAATCACAAATCAGAAAAACCCACCTCGTTTTCAAGCTCTGAAACTTTCTCAGGCAATATTCTCGGGTCGTCGTACTGGATCTCACTGACCCGACCCGGAACTGGGGTCACCATGTCTAAACCCTTTCCATTCGAATCCGGATTCGTCTCTTTCGTCGGCGTAGACCAACGTTGCCACACCTTCAAAGGCGTGGACATCCTTTACAATTTTCTCAGAAAAAAATGGAAATTTTGAAGAGAGAGAGAGAGAAATCTGAGTCAAACAAAGCAAAAACCCTAACTTTCCCTCACAGAAGCATTCAAATCCGAAATTGAACTCGAGAAATCAAAAACCCAGATACCGAAAACAACAAATTCTCAGACTTTCTGACTTCACTCTCTCTGAAATTGCGAATAGAAGAAGAGAAACGGATAAAAGAAAAGTCTTATCCTTTTTTTTGTTATTTTGATGGCTCCGGATTTAAACGGAGTTCCTAAATTCCGGTACCGAAACTGATTTGAAGTCCGACAACGTCTCTAAGCAACCTCTCTCTTCTCTCTCTCTCTCTGTGCTGGAACCTTTTTTGTGTGGCTTGCGCGGATCGTTTCACGTTCTTTGCTCTCTTTTTTTCTTATATTATAAAAGTGGACCCTCAGCTTTTCCTTTATTTACATTTTGGCCGCCGTCTTTAGAGATTTAGCTTGCTCGAAGGTTCTCCAAGGGTAGATTTGGAATTTTTGATTTACAACGGTTATGCGCTTGCAAGTGTGCAACTTTGTTTAAGACGAAAATACCCATGACGGTGAAAAGTAGTTTTAGACGAAAATGCTGATTTATTGAGGGTATTTCAGTGTTTATTCATTTTTTTTTTGTTTAAAGAGTTTTACTCAGTAATTGAAGAAATTATTATTTTAAAAATGTTGGTAATACATTATTGTTATAGAAATATAGTTACCAAAAAAAATATATAAATTTTTTTACTGTAATTATGTAAATATAGTTATTAAAAATATTCAAACAAAAATATTGACTGTAATTCTTTTTACCTTATATAGTTATTTAAAAATTTGCCAAACTCGGATGAGGTTCTTTTAATTATAAGGTGGCGAACAACCGACTGTAATGTGCTTTCTGCAAATGAGACATTACTTTGATAGCTCGTGTATGACTTGATAGCTTATGTGGTACATCACATTTGTCGGCATAAAGTGTGAATAGCATGGTAGCGGATACGTTTTTTTTTTTTGCAAGTAGCGATACGTTTAACTATACGAATGTAAAAAGGTGAGTGATACTCATAAGATTTGCTTAAAGAAATGATCATTAACCTACATCTTGTGACATATATGTACGATGAATTTACAACCAAAAAATCATCTCCCGGAGTGTAATTGTAAGGAGGAAGTAGGAACATGACAATTTAAGTTATAATGTATTCCTTTTGTTCTCCAATAATTGTTCTTTTAACTTTGTGTACACAGATTAATAAATCATTAAATTTTTACTTTTTTCAAAATAAAATATGTTTTATCATCAACTTCAATATAGTTCAACCAATAAAAATCAATCAATAAAATTTAAACAGTCAAAATAACAAAAAATCATAAACTTTGGCATTGATTTGTGAAAAAGACACTTATTCGTGAATAATTTTTTTTTCCTAAAATAAAAGAACAGATAGAGTAATAAAATGCCACACACAGCAAAAACATATACAAATGAGTTTGTTTGTCTATTGGGATCACGTGATTCAATCTTTCTAGCATATTATTTTTGTATGTTGATATCTAATTTATTAAATGAACATTTATTTCTGCTATATAAACGTATGATTTGTTTTATCAAAAACAAAAAAAAACTTTCTATTTGTTATTTTGGAATATATATTATCATTGAACTTGCTTTTACGATTTTATTCATTTACATAAATATATCAATCCCTCCGTTCTTTGAAGATAAATTTTCTAGTTTTTCACACAAATTAAGAAAAAGTTGATTTTCAATCATTATTGTATAAATTTTTGCAATAAAATAGTTTTCTATAATTTAAAACCAATAAAAATCCAATAAATACAACTAATATTTCTTGAAATCTGAAAAGTGCATCAAAAAGCTATAAATTTTATCTTCGTGGAACATCAAAAAATTGCTAGAAAATTCATCTTTTATAAACGAAGAGAGTATTATATACTGTAACATTTTTAATGATACAATCCATAAAATCATGTGTACTGAACTGAAAAGAAAAAAAAACAAGAAGATCACGCATTAAATGTTTGACCTAATAATTTGGGAAATCACTAATAACATTTAGCTATTTGCTGATCAAAACTTAACAAAACATGAATTACTTAGCATAAATAATTATTTTCATTCTTTTATCAAGGGAACTATATTAAAAAAAAAAAAAAAAAAAAGAGAAAGACAGACATGTGCACTTTGAAAAATGGATAAATCAAAGAAAAAGGTTTAAAGGAACCCACAAAAATAAAAGCCAAGGTGGCATATATTAAATGAACATTATTTCTGCTATATAAACGTACGATTTGTTTTTATCAAAAGAACTTACGATTTGTTATGTTGGAATCTATACATTTAACGTGCTTTTATTATTGCATTCATCTGTAGAAATACTAACACTTTTAATGATACAATCCATAAAGAGTCATGTGGAGTCAAAAGAAAAAGAGAAAGAAAAAAAACAATAGGATCACGCATTAAATGTTTGTACCTAACATTCTGCTATTTGCTGCTCAAAACATAACAAATTACATATTACTGTATTACTTTACAAATGCATTATTTTAATTCTCTTGCAAAATGAACTCTTTTAGCAAAAAAAAGACATGTGCTAACCCTTTAGCAGAAAAAAAAAAACGTGTGCATTTTAGAGAATGGATTAAAAATGGATAAATAAGAAGAAAAAGTCATAAAGGAACGTAAAAATGAAAGCCAAGGTGGCTAAGAGCTGTGTGCATATGGGCGTTGTAGTGTTTTGATGTTCTGTCCATCATTCTGCTTTTAACTCTCTCCATCTATTTGTTTTCCGTATAATACTTGTTTTCTGCATAATTTTGTGCTTCGTATTTTAATGATACTTTAATGATACTTTAATGAAAACATCACTTCAAACATGATTTATTGTTAAACAAAAGTTTATTTGATACCCAAAACAAAAATACTAATTTAATGGGTCGTCGCTGCAGACAAGTCAAGTCTGGACCAAACTTATTTGTTTTATTAATAGAACACTGGGGAATGTTTTTTTTCTTCTTCATATGAAAAAGAATGTGTTTACTTCTTCTTGTATAAAAAACATATTTTTGCCAATTTATTGATTACCGAAGAATAAGAATCTGAGGGAAGGGAGGAAATCAAAATGTTTTGAACTACTAGTGTTCAATTATTACCTTCATAGTACTTGTGTAGAAAGTTTATAGTATACACTAGCAGATAAATAATGTGACTGTACTATTGTTGACCAACTACTTAATCATATCTAAAAAAACTTCTACAAGTTTTGAGTTTTGACTAATAGAAATACAATGAATTTCAAAACTTATGCCTGTTTACTTTTTTTTTTAAGAAAACATATTGCAAAGTTAGTGCTTTAAATAGTAATTTAATATTCTAGTGATAATATAATATTAGAAAATTAGAATGACAAATCTCATAACTATATATATAAATAAATTGAGTTTTGAAAAGACTGATACATGCACGTTTTAACCATTTTCTAAAAATAAACAACAAAAAATACATGCACAGCACGTTTTAGAGTTTTACGGATGATGTTAGAATATCTCCAATGGACCCTTATTCCTTTATAATTTAAGGGGTTTTGCATTCCAATGGACCCTTATCCCCTTATATTTTAAAGGGATGAATAGTGCACCCTTAAATATAAGGGGTCACTGTTCACCCCTTAAAAATATTTTGAATTTGCATTTTAGTCCTTGTAATTATACAATCTTACAAATAACATTTATAATACTTTTTGTGATCAGTTTAGTCTAAAATTATATTTTTTTTTAACATTTACTCTCTCTAATAAGAAATTTAATTACCACCACATAAAATCAAATAAAAACATTCATTGATTGGAAAATTATGGAAACAATATTGTAATTTTAATTTAATATTTTTATATATAATTTTATGTTTTAATGTAATTTTATATTATTATGTAATGTTTTAATTAATAATATTGTGTAATATTTTATTAAAGTGTTTTTATTGCATTTTATGAAAGTTTTAGTATTATAATTGATTCTAGTTATTTTTAAGGACTATAATGCAAAAATATTTTTTTAAGGGGAAGGATAAGGGTCTTCCATTGGAACAAAACTTATAAACCCTTATTTTAAAGGTGTGTCCCTTTATTTTAAGGGTGACCATTGGAGATGCTCTTAAAATGTCAAAAGAGAGATAAAGTGTAGGAAACGAACGAAAATGAGACGTACAAAGACTACTCCGTTTTATGGCACAACAATTTCACACAAAGTTAGTGATATTGCAAATTGTTACTGTGTCAGTTTTGGTATTGTTCGTCTTATATATACATACCCCGTACATAGTAACCATTTGGAGAATCTTTTGAGTTTTGACTAATAGAAATACAATGAAATGGAAATATGTTCTCTCTGGTATGAAGCAAGAGATTATATTTGTTTCACTTGATATTGACATATTCTTAATCCACAATTTTGATGGAGACATGTTGAACAGAAATCAAATGAAGAGCGCAGAGTAAGTGGGTTGTTGGCTGCCGCCGTCTTTCAGCCATACTATTAATTAGACAACTCCCTCTCCAGTGCATTTTATTTAATACAAATATTAATAACTACATTAAGAAAACTTTTCAATAAATACATATGTTATTTTATGTCTACAAGATTGCTACTATAAGATAATGATGTATACTAGTATTAGTATACTATCAGTGGCGGAGGCAGAAATTATATTTATTGGGGGCATGATTAAAACTGTTTAAAAAACTAGGTAGAGTTGTAAAGAATTTTAGGGGCAGTGTTGAATTTATTAAAGAATTAACATGGGATGTTTAAAAAGCAACAACAGCCCCCTGTTGTACAATGTGACTCCGCCACTGTATATTATCACCTTCGATGTTTCACCATCTAGATTTTGACAAAAAATAAATCATAGTGATGCACATAACTGAGCGACTCTCGAGTTTTCTGAGTCGCGCATTTTCTGATGTATTTAAAAAAAAAAAGAAAATTATTATTTTTAGTGGAAAGGAGAAACAAAAAAATTGTAGAAATTTGTTGATACAAATGATAATATAACATTCTTTGTTATAGTATAAAACAAAGAAAATGGTTATTTTTTTAGTGAGAAAACAGAAAAAATTTACCCACGTAGATTTATAGATATTTTTTCTTTAAGGTTCATCCGTTTGTATAAAATCTTTGACAATCAAAAATTTGTGAAAAAATAATAATTTTGGTGACAGAAATGAATAGAAGAAAGTGTGATAAGAAGTGATGGGTAAATGGAGAGTTCGTGGGCCTCCTCTCCTCTCTATAGAATCCTTTGTGACCGTTGCTGATATTATTATTTTTCATCTTTGCTTTTTGTTTTGGGATATTTTGGAGAATAGTTTTTGTTGGGAATCAATTTAAAAGAAGACGTTAACAAAAAGCATCTTTCCCAACTGAGAAATTAATAATTAAAATATTGGGCGTGACCAGGATTCCATTTTGTCAGCTGACGAAACAGTTGAGAGGAGTTTTATATTTCTGCTCAATTTCTCTGAGTTATCTTCATAAAAGAAAGGAGTCATTGTTATCAAACTAACTCCAAATGGTCAATGTAAAAGAATGAATGAGATGGTAATGAATATTTTCATTTCATTCATTTTTTCTGCTTGAGATTAGTACATTGTTGTTTTAGAGGAATGAGACTATGAGTAGGGTTTCTTTTCTTTCCCATGATTTATACATATAGAAATACAGATAAATTACACATGTTCATTTCAATTGCTTGCATATCTCTTGATAACTCTCAATAGTAAATTCACATTGATCTCACACACAGTATAGCGGAATTGGTAACATTTTTTTTCCATGAATTTTCAGTTTTCACTATAAATGTTTAAAAGTTAAGTTCTCTTTCGAAATGTTGGGGTCTTTGGATATTCACCATAGCCTTCTACTAAAAGGCTACAAACAAACATGGCATCTTCAGTTTCGTAAATCTAATAAACATTCTAGAATTGATTGGTCATTCACATTCATCTGTCTCAGTTGATTTCAAACTTAGGCCAAGAGAGAATAACAAGTCTTAAGGTCGAAACAAGTTCATACACGATCTCACTTGACTCATCATCATTCAAAGGCTAAAACACATAACATCCAATGAAACCAGTAAACCACACCCATAAGAGGTGTGGCCTTACATGAAACTTGGGGCAACCGGACCCTTTGAGATACCAAGACGAACTTCCATCCCGTGGTGCAAGTCTACAGGCTTGAATGTCTCCGAGTCACGAGGATCTGCAAAGGACGAACAAACTAGTATCAATGGCGAAGAGCTTTGTAAGAAAATGAACAATAGTAACAAAGATGATGCCTTGAGGAATATTCAGCATTGCAAGTATCAAAGTACGAATTTTTATCAAATCGTGTTCTGTTAGTAGCGCATACTGAGATACCATAAAACTGTTGTCCACTGATCTAGAGAAGTGAGTGTATAGCATTAAGAGAAATGCAATAAGAGTAAAAGGACGATTACCATTCAAGTAATCCTCAAAGCCAAAGTTATCCAACGCTCCTGTGCAGACTTCTAGACCGAGCATTGACGATGGAATTGGCCCGGAAGGTCTCTGAAACCTAAAACATTCCAGAGTGACAAAAAATGAGAACACGATTAAAATATTGTTCTTTTATGCAGCAAACACTTTAGCCCTTATGCTCCTCGATGCACACACAGAGAGAGAGTTTCAAGTTCCAACTACTAAACACATAGATACCCGACGTAGTGCACACAATTAATCATATTTCCGATGAAAACACGAATAAATGGAATCTATAAAAGTGTGTGCATCTTACTTAACACCATAGACTAGCTTCCCAGTACATTGATTCACACATAACAATTACATTCATCTACAAACTCGTAACTTACGACCTCACAAATTGTGAACAGCAATGTAATTAAATGGTAGCTCGGAAACCATATATTGACCTAGCAGAGTAGCAGTATTTCCAGATTCAGAGAAATTAGGTTACAGTAGTGCAATTACCGTGAGAGGATTTGCCTGTCCATATCCATCTTCAGTGGAAGTGCAGATCCGTAGATTTGCGCAGTCATATTCCTTTTCATCGCCTCATGCGATTTCTTTTCCTGATTCCAAAGAAAAAACAAAGTAATTGATGATCAATGGAGGTTTTAAGAACATGTAAGCAGTACGATAACGCCCTAATTTTGAGCAATTGAGATTGAAAATTAGTGAGATTGGAAACCCTAATTGCTACTCGGATTAAACCCAAATCGCCAACATGAGAAGAAGTAAATCGAACTAATCAGGCGATTGAAGAAACGCAGAAGGCTAAATCAAACACATTCAAGTTCCTTTCTTAGCTAATTCTACACTTTCCCGAGAAAAATAAAACATATTCAATGAATAACCCAGAAAAGCACATAACCAAAAGAAGAGCTCAAATCGGGGATAGTTTACAGACAGATTCGTAAGACGATTCGAGAGGGTGAGATCCGACGATGTCGCTCTTAACGCCTTGGAGACCAAAACGAAGAGGGTCGTTCTTAACACCACCGATCTCGTGAGCTATCTTCTTCGGAGATTCCATATTTTTCTGGTTCCTTCTTCTTTCTCTTGCTTCTGTGATTCGCTCTGGTTCTCTTCTTCTTCTACTAGCTTCCTCTCCGACTTTCGGAACAAGCAAGAGAGAAAGACTAGTAATGGGCCTTTTCTCGAGGAAAACCCCGAATGTTAGGCCCATTAAGACTGTATGTAGGCCCGTTTTGATTAAGATGGGTCTCTGATTACTTACACCTTTGGGAAAGAAGTCTTTAGGGAAAGATATATTTCAAATTTTCGTAATTATAAATATAACGAAAATGGAAATTTTTGAATTAGTTTCAGATTTTTTTGTTTTTGTTTTTTACTTTCTGTAAGTATTTTTCATTAATTAAATTAAGCTATAAGCAAAGACACCCTAAAGATTGGACGCAGTGAAGGAGGTCCAGTCAAACTCAGACTAATAAAAAACTGGATATAGTACCACAAAGACAGATTGTGTGAGTATTAAAATAAGCTATTTCGGCGAGTTTATTTCATAGGATCTGACAAATGAATTTTTATATAATATAATAAAGTTACTTTCACAGTTTCACGTTGCAACAAAATCTTTAGATAATCAGTTTCCAGGCATTTCTTAATTAAATATTCATAGGTACGTAACTAATCCAGCTAGGCAGGGCAATGTCTAGATATTAATGTCAGTATACTTCTTCTTACTTTTCTTTGAGACGACCAATACACTTCTTTTTTTCCTTTGGGGTAAATATACACTTCTTACTTGCGCAGAAGAAGAAGAAGAAAATGAGATTAAACAACAAAAAAGAAATGAACAAAGAAGAAGAAGATGAAGCAGTATTCGAGATCGCGAAAAATTAACTATTCATCATAGATGTGGTCACTAATACGAACCTAAATCGAATGAGATCCGACTTGAACTATTCAAACAGTAATTCATACCGGATCATTATTATTGTTTTTATGAGGGAGAATTAATTAGCTAAGATTCTAGTATTAGTTTTGTCACACTTTCTAGATCGGTTGAAACTAAATCATCAGATATTTAAAATCAACTACCATCTACACCTTTCACATTTTACCAAAAAAAAAAAAAAAAAAAACTACGTACCATCTACACCTTAACATTCATATCCAAAAAAAACTACCCTCTACACAAATTTTTGAAAAACATCCAAACTTTGAAAAACTTTCCTAAGCTGTCAAAAATCATTTAAAGGTAGTTATGGATAGATTTAATGGTATGACTGGTTTAAATGTTGAGGTTGCAAAAGCGAACTGATAAGAGTATTACTAAGGGATTTTGTAATATAATAATAGAAATATATGCATTTGCGGAATATTTTTTGCTAGGTGACAATGTAAAAGCAGTTAAACAAAATATTAATAAAATAAACATAATATATGATTATTAATAACATCCAAACCATATCACTATGATAAAATATAAAAATTACTAGTTCAGATCAATATTGAAAGTGGCAAATAAAACACTAAACAATTATTCAGACAATATAGTAAATTGTTATCGTAAAAGCAAGAAATGAAGGTATAAAAGCAAGCAAGAAACTCCTGTAATTGTCTTCTTCTTGTTTTTTTTTTTAATCTCTTGAAGCTTTTTATTGGAAATCTCTTGAGCTTTTTACATTCATAGAACGAGTCTAAGGAAATCTGTAACTTGAATAAACTCCAAGAGATGCCTTTTTTCTATATATAAAAAATAGAGACTTCAAGAGCATTAGATTCTTATTTCAAGAAAGGAGAAATAACGAGGAACGTCGCTTACATGAAAGAAAAAAACAAAGATATAAAAACTTACAAACCATGATTTTAATGGAGTCAAACAAAATTTTAGGGATTAGTTTAGGTAGACAATTAACTTGTAAGAGCCTGATTGGTTTAAACGCTGCGGTTGCGGTTGCGGGAGTTTGCGGTTGCGGGAGTTTGCGGAAGCGGGAGTTTGCGATTAAAAGCTGTTTGTACGACTGGTATAGCAATTCATAGCGGTTGCGTTTGCGGGATATTTTTGACTGGTTAGCCAGCGGGTGCAAGAGCGGTTTAACCAAAAGTTACTAAAATAAACATAATATATAATTATTCAAAACATTTATAACCATATTATTAATAGATTTTTTTTAAATATATTCTTTGATGAATTTTTAATTTGAAAACTACCCTTATTTTTTTTGGTTTTGAAAAATACACTTTTTATATGTGAAATGATTATTCCTAATTTGAACTAACTAATTTAATAAAAACGAAATTCAAATAAGAAATATAAAATATTAAGATTTGATAATAATTTTGTATCATTTTAACATACTAAACCATCCTAATTACCTGTTTAGATTTTTTTTTAAAAATCAATAAAAATATAAGGTTATTTATATAAAGTTTAAATGGGGTGAGATTAAAGTTGTTTATATAAAGTTTCAAAAATATTTAAATTTTTCAAAGATAAACATTAAAAATGAAAGATATATTTCTCCATTTTTAAATTTTTAATAATTCATAAACTTTAAATATATGTAAAGTTTTAATTTATTTAAAGTTTCATTTGGTTGGAATGTGTATGAGGTTAAGTTGTTTACATAAAGGTCCAAAATATTAAAATTTGTTTCAATTTAACATATACTGAAAAAAAACTTATTAATTTATTATTTTTTTAATTTTCGTTTTAATTTGTAATTATTTATTATTTTTGTTTAAATCACGTCAAAACATACTTTTTACATTTTAAAAGTGTATTTTTCAAAACAGAAAAAATTTAGGGTATTTTCGAAATTTTTAAACATAATTATGGTATTTTTCAAAAAAATATACCCTTATTCCAAATTTGGAGATATTATGTTTTTTTTTTTTTTTTAAACCGCAACCGCCCGCAACCGCAAACGCTTGCGGAAAGGAGCTTTTGATTTCAGCGATATAGAGCGGTACAGAGTGGTATAGAGCGGTTGAAAGCGGTTGTCGTGATTGTTATAAAACGCTAAGAACCGCTACGAACCGCAAACGCTGCGTTTGCGGGTGGTAGCGGGAGAACCAATCATCACCTAAGTGTTACAAATATATATGAATATTGTGACTTTTTTTTTTTTTAAAATCATTCGCAACGCATGCTACCATAAACGCTTGTAAAAATGAGTTTTTGATTTTCAACGATACAAACCGGTACAAAAGACTTGTTATGATTGTTTTGATTTTGATTTTTTTTTTGTTTTTGTTAATTATTTTTAAATTGATTTTTGTTTATATAATACTAATATTATTTTAAATCTGTGAATACTGTAGAATTTTAAATATACTGCAAAAAGACCTAAAACATGATTTTAAATATATATATACAAACTAATTTCTACAAACAATGAACGTATGACCCTTAATTTTAATGTTTTTTCTTCTATAAGTGATGCAAATAAATTCTAACACTGATATAGTTATTAGATTGTCCTACACCCATATTCAATATTCATACATCTACCAACCCGAAAAGTCTTACTTTTCATTTTCTACTTTAATATCTCTCTTACTTCTTATAAATTTTATCCAACATGAGTGGTTATATTTTGTGCGAAGTTCAGAATGCCATTCTGCTTTGAAGCAACGAGAAACAACTTTTAAAGGTATGTCTCTCTCTCTCTCTACTCTCTCTCTCTCTCTCTATTCTCTTTCTCACAAAGACATAGCTGCAGAACAATTGCTCTTCATTTTGTATTCTGCTGTCTGTTTTAGTGAAGCACTCAACTCTTCTTTCTTTAATTCGAGGCATAATTTTTTTCTACGATCTAAATTTAGACAAACTACTATAATATATAACTATAAATATTGGAGAGTCATGTAATATATCACTCAGTGTATCACACTTTATATCTATTTTTTAGACTAAGAAATTGTCAATCAGCTTCGTAGCGTTTGCAAGATCTTATTGTAATGTGTGTTTGTGAATTTTTTAAGTTAGGGAGAAGTCGAGACTTCTCTCTTCTTTTGCCCTTTATAATTTGTATTGTACAGTTTGAAAAATATAAATAAGACCAGATGAAATTTCATCAAGAACTTTTAATCATTTTCTTGGTTATATTAAAGCAAGGATATATATATATGGTACATACATCTATGTAAGAAAATATGTAAATTAATCTCGACGTCTGGTGAAAATTTTAGATAATATAAGAACCTCGATCATGGTCATATACATAAACAAGAGAAATAATTTTTTTGCTTTGTTTTTTTTTTCTGTCAAATATATGTTTCCAAAATTTTAAGGTCAGAACTCAAAATCTATCATTTACTAAATAATGTAATTGAACCCGATTAATACAGAATTTCAATTGTTAGAGTTCTTATTTAAGATATTTCTGTATTTAGATTTAAAATGTATTCATTTTTTCAATAAGCATTTTATGCATCACTTCAGACATCGAATTTTATTCTGGTGACTACTAAAATCAAATTGAAATAATCTCCAGTCAAAGGAGTTTTCCTAACAAGCTTTGAAAAATAAAAAACCAATTCGAAAGTGTATAAGTTAACAATCATGTTCTCCAAAAAGCCAAACTTTAAACCAAATAAAAAAAGCAATTTAATATATACTATCAAAAGCATATTTGGATGGCCAAATCAACCACAGACTCAGATAGAAAATGCCTCCACAGTCCACACACACTGCTGAGTTTCGCTTCAACTTGCAATGTAACCTAATCAAACTTGTGTCTACTTGTATATGATCTTCAATATTCATCATCATGCATGTTTGATTTTGTGGACCATAGTGAACTTTAATTAGGGTTTTAGGAAATAACCAATCTCTATGTGAAACACTAAACTACAAATTTGCCTAATTTCTTAGACTCTTGTGTAGTTGCCTAATCGAATTATGAATCTTGGATTTGACTGGGATCACCAAATATGTAACATAACTCATAGCTGATTTCTTCAGAATACTTGAAAGGTTACAATATCACTCGAATATACTAGCCAATACATTTCAAGGTAGACGAACTAAATCTTTTAAGAAGACATGATCTGATGAATGACACGGATAACATAAATAAACACATAATTAGTATAAATTTGAGAGGAACAAAGGATTATTTTGGCTTACATGTTTAGTCCTTGGAAAATATCAAGATTTAAAGGAACCCTGCCAGAAAATAATCAAGAAAAAGAAACACATCATGGAATGCAAAGACAAGATCATAATTGATAACTGAGGCTAGATAAGAGTCTTGAGTCCAAACTATACGTACCTCTGGAGAAATTTGTGTCGGTGACTGCACAAAAGGTTTGATCAAGAAAAGGGTTTTGATCATAATTATAGTCCAAGTTTTGAGGCAGAATGATATTGTAGTTGCTGCTAGAACCCTGATCCATCAACATAAATGTCCCATGGTCATGATGATTGTAACTTTGACCCACATTCTTTGGTAGATTGATCTTCGTCTTGGTTAAAATAGATTCTTGATTATCAAAATCTACGATTGCTTCCTTGTAGAAAGATTGTGTCATGTCTTCTCCTTCATTGAAGATTATAGACCTTTTGAATGGGTCCATGATTTCAGATTGTGTGATATCTGAGACGGTTTCTGGATGATCAAATTTCATCTCTCTTGCTCTCTCCGTTTCTTTTCCTCTAGTTTTGGCTCTTGATCCCTTTGAAGATATATTGCTCAACTCACTCTTCTTCTTTCTTGTCTCTGTCTTCTTGACCTCACATACCACTTCTTCTTCAAAGAACTCCGGGCTCGATCCATTCACAAAGCTCTTGTCTCCATCCTCCTCCTCCTCCTCCTCTTCCTCTTCTACATCACCTCCATTGTTTCCAAAATCTTCATCATCATTGTTGAGCCTTTTTTCTTGGACCTCTTTGATGGCTTTTCTTGATTTCTTGAGTAGCCATTCTAATGTTTTACTGGCTTTATCAAACCCCAACATATCCTGGAGATCGAAGAATTGGCGAGCAATCCCAATAGAAAGCCTTACCCTCCTGTCTCTAAGACCTTGTGCCGTGTGAATCTTGCTATGTCTGTCTTTCTTCACCACCTTCTTGATTTCCCTCGATACCTCAGGAATCTCAAAACCACCTTGCTGATTCACATCATTGTTTGAGTTAAACGCCATGTAATCGTTCAGAGACCCAGGCACTGCTGACACCATATGGCCTGGAGATGCTGTTAACTGATGATTGTAGGGATTACGGATGATGTCTTGATGGCCGGAGAGTGAAGAAAGGTAAAAAGAGAGAGGGTACACTCCACTGTTATTACCATTATTGTAATCATTATTGGAGGAAGCCATCACGGACTTGAGCAGATTCAAGAACCAAGAATCAAGAATATGCGTTTTCTTTCTGGAAAAAAACCACAACTTTCACATCATCAAAAAGAGAGAATCAGCTAAAAAGGAAAGAGAAAAAGAAGAAACCCAGAAACAAGAGAGAGAGAGAGAGAGAGAGAGAGAGAGAGAGAGAGAGAGAGAGAGAGAGAGAGAGAGAGAGAGAGAGAGAGAGAGAGAGAGAGTATAATTCTCACACCATGACAAAAAGCTATAGAGATATTAATGGTGTATGCATGAGGGAGATGTATAACAAGAAATTGGTTAACTGTAGAGTGATGAAGACATGATTTGAAGATCTGGTTTCTTTTTTTATTATTTTTTTGGCGGAGACTGAAGATCTAATTTATGATGTTTTTAGGTCTAATTTAGATTAACTGTTTAATCTCTCTCACTCAATTACTGCAGGTTAATTTTTTAGCCTAGGGTTTACAAATTTTGTTAGGGTTTCCAATTCCAGATCCGATACTAGTTAATTAGCTTATAGCCTTATATAGTGGGAATTAACCTCAAACTCAACTACTTTTAGTATCATCTTAGAATATATACTTTTACTACGTATGCATAAACAAGTAAGGTACCTTCATATGTAGTGCTTGACAAAAGCAAATATAAATCTAAATAACATGGCCCATGAAATTATGAAAAAGTCCAAAATAAATACAATTTAACAACAAATGATAACCTGTGAGGAGAGTTGTTTCCATTTCGGTGATAAAAAATCAGGATTCACCGATGTTCTTGAATGTACAGTATTTCCTTGTCGGGATCTCAAATAAGATCTGCTTTCTTTCTATCTACTGTATTTGCTTTTGAGAAAAAGATCAGCTTGGATTGTGTCCGGCGTTTCTTTCATTTATCCAATGGTTACAAATTCTTCCTACTTGCCATGGAAATGAAATTTCAGAATTTTTGTTTTTGTTTTTGGTAGCTGAAAGTTGACTGGTTAACGAAACTGTATATCCGGAATAGATAGATGTAGAGTGTGTATATAGCATAAACATTATCCCTTTTTGTAGGGTTTTGTCAAAAGAAGAAAACTGCTTTATTGTGACCCAACTTGGTTCCCCCGGTACGATTGCATAAAGATTGTGACAAGATTTGTCGTTTTCAAAATTTTCTGTTGACGTCCCTGGCTATTAGTCAAGGGTTGTTCTTATTTACAGTGGGCAAAAACAGAAAACCACAGCAATTTTTCGTTTTTGCAAAGACATAATTAAAGAAGATAGTAGTGTGTTTTAGCCAACTAAAGCATTATTTAAAAGTATAATTAGAAATACACTATTTTTAAAAATGAACTTGATTCTTTTTGGCTTTAAAAAATTTAATTAAAAGATAGATTAAATATTTACAGTTTGATAAAATATACATTAGAAGTTTATATGGTTTAAGGTTAAGAATTAAGGTTTGAGGAGGAGTTAGATTTTAGTTTAGTTTCTAGAACATAGAGTTTAGGGTTCAGTTTTTTGGATTTTGAATTTAGTTTTTAGTTTTTGGATCTATCTACTTAGGGTTTTAGCTTTTGGCTTTTGGATTTAAGGTTTTAAATTTTAATATTTCGATTTAGGTTTAGTTTTGATTTTTTTATTCTTTTTTTTTATAATAGAAATCTAAACTATGTTTACCCTAGTTTTTTTTATCAATATATATATTTTTTTTTCTTTTTTCTTTTTTTAATTTTGGAGTGATATCATTTAGCTAGTTGAAGGAAAAAAGATAAAGAGAAAAATATATCTTCCATAAAATATATTACTAGGTGGTGTTCCACGTCACATGTGAGGGTGTGATTATTTTAAAATAATTGTAAGTTTTATGATTGCAGTTTAAGTATAACACTAGTAGAGGACCTGCCCAAGTGTAATGTTGCAATTTTGTGAAGAAAAACTAAATCATAAACCTAAGCCTGATCCAAAAACCCTAATCAAATTTTTAAAAATCCAAACGTTTTAATATGTCTAAACCCGAAAATTTGAAATCCAAAAATCCCGAAAATCCTGAACCGAGTAAAAAAACTCTAATTTTTGACCCGAAACCCTAATCCAACCTAAAAACCCTAATCAAAATTTTAAAATACCAAACTTTTTTAATATGTCTAAATCCAAAAACCCGAAATCCAAAAAATCCGGAAAACCCTGAACTGAACCCAAAAAAACTCGAACTCAAACCAAACAAATTTTCAAAAAAACCCGAACAATTTCTATATTCTATATATCTATAAAATTAGGTCTGAGATTTTCACCCAAACCCGAACTTGTTTAGAAAAACCCAAACCAAACCCGATTCAGAAATTTAAAAAACTTGAACGACTTTTATATCACTAAAACCAAAAACCAAAAAAAAACTTTAAAAGAAACCTGAATTGAACCCGAATTAAAATTGAAAAAAAAACTTTAAACCCGAAAATCCAAAATCATATTCTATTGATTTGGTATTATCGTTAGATTATGTTAAGTTTTTTTTTTGCAGATTTTTAAGAGCTAAAACGTTTTCTAAACCATCGGTTTGTTTTAAGTTATTATTCTTGTATCCAAACAATTTTTTTCCATTTATTCTTCTATCCAAATAGCATTTTCTCTTATTCTTGTATCCAAATATTACAATGTACTAAATTGACCCTCATTAAATCTGTTGCCAAACACTTTCTCTTCATAATTAATTGGTTTTTTGGTCATAAATTTTTCATGTACTTCTCAATTAATAATATAAAGATAAAGATTGATTAGTAGATTATTTTTCTCTTAAGTTAATTTCATTATTAAAAACATTATTAATAAATGAGAAAATTTTCATGAGGGAGATGGCGCCCAAAGAGACGGCGGACCTCCTTACGTTACAAGTTTGATTTAAGAGAAATGCATGATCTATTTAATCGGTCTCATGGCAAAAAAAATGTTTCCAGAGTTTTGTACTCCGTACTCGTGTACTTTATGCTCTTTATCTTTTTGAGTATGGCGAATTAGTTGCGGCAATTTTATTTGTACTTAAGACATGTAAAAGAGATAAGACTTATATGAGGATTTCATATATAAACAAATCTAAATCGATCTTGGGTGCCTTAACTTCGATCTATTTCTAGACCTCTAAGAATAAAAGTTAGTTATCTTATCTGATTTGAAATGAATTTGGGCAGTTGTCCAACGAAGGCATGCCTGACATCTTCAGGTCATGTTACACCACGTTAAGGTGACTAGGAGAGTGAGACCCAAACATCTCCAAGTGAATGAAATGTTAGTATGTTACAACACGTTAAAATTGACTTTCCTCATCAAAAAATTTAGGCTTTGTAGGATGAGTAAAAGTGTGATCCCCAAACATCTCCAAACTAGTTCAAGGGACCAAAAATGTTTTTAGCCCTGTTAGAACTAGTTAACGACTTAGCGTAATACCAAGTATCTTACTTAAACTACACATAGAGCTATGTGATTCTTTCAAGATTTGGTGTATAAGTATATAATATATTGTTGTTAAAAATGTGCAGTGACAATTTAGATCAAAATAGGATTAGAAAGAAAAAATGAGGAAAAATCACTGTTGGATTTTTTAATTAGAAACTTTAATTATAGTTTTGTTATTTAGTTTTTTAGAAACCTAATCACTATTGAAATTTATTTAGTTTGGAAATAATAACCAGGTAGTAAATCAATATACAATTTGTAATGCATTGGGAGAAAAATGGAGAAGCAAAAACAATAGATGATGGGCTGTCAGCTGCGTGGGTATTGTGAGTGATGGGCTGCTGAAATGCTTTTAGGAGTAAATTTGTGATCATTTTCAACGACCCAAATAAATATAATGGAACAATTATTAACGAATATTTTGCGATCTAATTCAACAAATGTGAAGTAGGGCTGGACAAATGATTTGGAAGATCCACACCCATTTTAGATCTGTCTCGAATTTATAAATACATCTATGAACATTGGGTATGACCGTATGAGTAACAGCAAGTAAGAATCTAGAGGTACATGTACTGTATATGTCTGTATATATAAGTAATAATACATGTATGGGTAATAAATATTTTAGTTTGATTGATTATATGAATCTGGCCTAAAAGATATTATTAATTTTAATATATACATGATAAAAGCATACTGTAGTCACGTTTTGAAGTGGAGCCTCCTCCATGGGTATAGGTTTTGAACTCCATGGACAACTTTTATGAAAATGATGATAAATCTCGAAATATTCAAGGTATCTTTTCTAATTTACACTAATATACTTGAACCTATATATTCAAATTGCACATGCCATGCTTAACGAGCGAGATGACCAAAATTGTTGGTGGTGATCAGTCAAATCAATAGAAAAAATTGTTGGCTTTAATGGTATTAACTATTAAGCATTGTTGGCATCATGGTTAATTTCGTGGTACTTTCACGTTTCTCGACTATTCATAGTTTTAATTGTTTGCGTAATGAGCTTAATCTTGTCGCTTTCGCTCTACATTAATGTTGTCCGGTGGTGATCAAGTTGTCAAAATGGACAAATTCGTTCCAAAATATACGAAACGTTAGTTTAATACGGTTTATCATGAAATGCTGTTTCTGCGTATTGTTGTCATGAAATAAGTTTGTCTACCGCATTGCTTTTTTTTTTAATATTCAAAAAGTTTTAACTCTTCCTGTTTAGCTATATTTTTGGAATTATAGGTGTTTACCTATTTGTTTGTCATTTTAACTCTTCTTAATCTTTTGTCATTTACCTAATTCACTCTAATATTTTTGTTACGGAAACAGTAAAAAGAACAGTAAGAAGTTGACCAATTACCAGCAAAACGACTCACCAACTTTCAAAGCTATTGCGTGTTCACAAGTATATATTGCATTCCTCTATATGTTATACATGGATAGTACTAGACTACTAGGCCTAGATCAAAGTCACCTAGCTATGTACTTCAACAATTTTGTTTTCTTCTTCTTTAATCACTTATAACACCATCATAACCATTTAGCTATTTTAAG